GACCGTGGATGCCACGTTTTTCTTGTGCCAAAAGGAGGGTTGCACATACAAATCCTTCGCGTCCTCCTTCGCCAATAAGCGCCGTATGTTGCGTTGGTACCTGCAATGTTGACTAGTACACATAGAGGCGAAGGATTCGAGGTATCCTCTCGTTCTAGTGCTGCTACCTATAGTAGTAGTTATGCTGGAGACCGACTGACCGCGCCTGTGCGAGAAAGGGGAAGCAGATATCTATAATTGTACCCCTCGGGAACGAGCAGAGGGTAGATGCGAGTAGCCCCTTTCGGAAGGACTTCATATTAGTCTACATACTTGCATAGCTTGCCCGCATAGACGTACAAGGCTGTGGCCCTCACACAGAGTAAATTGGGTAACATTGACGAGTTAGCTGTTGTATCAGATCCGCGCATCGATTGACCAATGCTGCGAGTTGACTGGCCAGTTCGTCTCCAGCTCGAAGCAGCACTTTCACGTAAGCGGAGTCTCCTGTAGATCCCACCACGTGTATGCATGCGAGAGAAGCCGTCTGGAAGGTCTTCTGGAAGACTGAAGTACGAGCGGGTATTGTTCTCTGCAACCCTACCTAAACACGTAGCATTTTTCTATAGATTAATTTAGACCATGCATATCAGTCCCTGAGCGCTCAACCAATAGGTCTATGAGGAGAATTTCTTTCGCAATGCTCCTTGACTTTGTTGTTCGATGGTACGCTACCGGATGAGGATGTCTCCGAATGGTTCGTTAAATTACTCTGTTATGGGGATATCAGAGAGAGTGGGCTAATTCCGACCCGGTCCCGTTTCTCCATAAGGACTCGGATCTTGATCTCGCGGCACCGAGCTACCCCATCTCGGAAGGATTATTTGTCCTTGGCAGGAACAGGAAGTATTGCGCCGCACAATGCTGATTAGGGCATAATACTGATTACCTACCTAGGTACTGGACATACTAACTGTTTAGTCCGCCAAAGTGCAAATCCTACGCAGGCTGCTATCTGTGAGTTGAGGGGGCCAAAAACCGATATAGCTTGTCGTCATACTTCTTTCTAGTCGTCGTAGCAACAACGCCTTATAATACGAGGTCGTTTGGACTAGCCTAGACAATCTGGGGTTTAATCTCTAAGTAGGCTAGAAAATTGTATTGGTCCAGATGAACGACTCGTACGAGAAATAAGGACTTTAAGATTGCAAAGCCGCAGAATGCCAATGTCAAGAGATCTTGGCTAAGATAACATCGTTACGTTACCAATGACGCCAATCAACCAATTGCTCCCGCTCTATGAATCCCGACTCCCGACTTGTCCTTATGAGGTTGGGCTAAGCGAAAGGCGGCATTGGCAAACCCTGTAAGGAGAATTAGTATTGATTCAGCTGAACGGAGATCCTGGGGAAAAGTAAACTTCCGGTAGTGTAGTAACCGAATCATTTCAACAGGATCTAGGTATGTAGACGGGAGTGACCTCCTTGGAGGCCCTACATAGGTAGGTATGTACGTTAGGTACATATACAAAGGACATGACTTACATAATAATGTAATCTCAGCCCTACAACAATACCCCTGCACTTTTGACAAATACATACCATACCTACATACGCCGTATTAAGTGAGGTATGAGGTGCGAGGTACATAAAGTACCTAGATACCTAGCCTAACTTTGTTTTACGGGGCTAGGCTGATATATGTAAGCTGACAGGGGCTAGCTAAGGCTTTTTGAGTTGCATTAGATTCCATCGTTCATCATTTCATAACTTATTCTGGATGTACTGTACTTTTTTTCTACCATGCTCTCCACACGGTCGTTTCGAATTCGCAAATCAGTCAATCAAGGCCAAGCATAAAAGAAATGTCAGCGTCGCATCGACAGAATTGGAAATCTTCTAGAAGCGATTTATGATGTATGATGTCGCATCAAAGTACAATGCAGCTGTATTAATATTATGCAAGCATGTCTCGAACAAAGGACCTCGATACCCAATTAGATCGAGTATACCATTCATCTCTCCCTTGAGATGTAACGTCGAAAACAAAAGAACAATATCACTTTACCGTGTTTGTCATCCTGACGCGAAAGTCTCACCGTTGCTATGTAGTCGACGGGCGTAACAAAGGTTACGACGCAAGTGCGCAAACGGGTGTGCCTGAATCCCTCGTGACATAGCACTCATGGTGCGCCTAGGGTATAGCTGCGTTGCATTCGTCTTTGCAAACTGCGCCATGTGGACAACGGGCGATCCCATATGAATCAACTGGGGAGAGACCGCTTGTATCGTCTCGATCGCCTCGATCGCGAGACCTTACCGAGCGTGATAAGAAACTGCTTTACCTGCTACCATCACCGCATGTGTTGTATAGGTGCCTTACGTTAGGTAGGTATGCAACTTGGCGACCGACGGACGCCCAACAGCCTCAAAAGACCTAATTGATTCTCTTGCGGATGTCACGGGATGGTGGCCTTATGACGGACCCGAGATACGGAGTATATGAAAAAGTATCGGGTTTGGCAGTTAAAAGAAATGTTCCCAAAACTCCGATATATTCCTTGCCGAGTCCTGTGACGAAACATCCTTGTGACGACTGATTAGATTGCAACAGCATACCTTGTAGTGCACCTTGTAGTGCACCTTGTATATAGTGCTTGTAGTGCTTGTATTAAATTACCGCGCTTTGTTGTTTTGCGGATTTGTCATTTTATGCAAGGAGGCTTTGCTAATTGCATGTCGTCATTGATATTGGGCCGATATTTGAATTTCAACCTATTAACCTACGATTGTTGTTATGCATGTGCTTTAGTGATCGATTCTATATCTTGCGCTTGTGCGCGGAGATTTGCGGATTTGGGGGGTTCACCGAAAGGGCACATCAGCATTGACGAGGGAAGAGTCAGAGATTGTGGTGATTGTCGATGAAGAATTTTTATTGTGCCGCTGCGTTGCGAATGCGAGAGAAATCATGACGAAAATCCTCATTTACCTACTACCAGGCTGCCAGGTGGATGAATCATACTAGTTAGCGATCATGGATGCTGTTAGTAGGAGGTAGTAGGAGGTAGTAGGAGGTAGTAGGCAACCTGATAAAATAGCTCCGGAGGTTCGATCCGAATCTTGTATCCGACTCGGCGTTATGAGTTATGCCTTTCAAAGACTATTCCTTGTACGGATCCGTCGTTGGTAATTATTAATCGCTACTAGGCAAACTTCTTTTCCCCAGACCCGACTATTCCATCCTTACCGGTAGATCGCCGGATTATGTGTGCATGTATTGTTTGTATGTATTGTATTGTTCATGTATTGTTCAGCAATCCCGACACAGATCCGATTCGTAAGCAACCTTTCGAACACGGTCTATAATACTCATTATAGTACTCATTAGTAACACGTAGAATGTTATAATGATCAATTGAGAGTTAGCGTATTGCATCAATCTGACTCTTGTGCGGGCATGTTACAATATGATAGATAATATGACAATACGATAATATGTTGCAACGATAGTGTTGAGTTGTGCAATAAAATAGTACCTACCATTTTGATGTCATAGTTATGAACGGGTTGTTCAGGAACCGTCAATCCTAGATTCTTGTAAGCGGACGGATTGGAAAGCGAAAGCGAGCTCTTTAACGAATATACGGTACATACTACCTAAGCTACAGGTAGATAGCATGAGAGTTCGTAATACGTGCGGTGTCACGGCAGAGCCACAATCCGGTCAGCAGTCAATTCCCGACTTTCCAGGTGGACAGGTAACTTCAATATAAGACCTTAGCATACGCAGATACGGTCGCATTCCATCCCTGTCTGTCCTCCCGTTCGCAAAATGACTAACTTGGTTGCTCTTGCTTGTCTCCGATGACCGATGACCGATGACCGATGATCGATGACCTAACGGCAGCACGTACATAGTAGCATAGTAGCATAGTAGCATATAGACGGACGGAGGTAAAGGAGAAAAAAACCCCTACGGAAACGGGCTTATGACTTAAGCAAGCTTTAGGAGCGGTCGGCGATGTTAGGTAAGTTAGGTAATTGCGAATCGATATCTTGTGCAAGTAGCCTAGGCTCTTGGCCCGACTCGCACGCATACATAAGTGTAGGCACATCGGTGGGAGCGGTACGGGTACTTTTGTTGCGGTGAAGGAGCAACTTACGTGCATCGCGCAGTTCTCGCATTTGCATAAGAGCGACAGGGGTAGATTGACGCTGCCTGCACGGTCTTTGTATGTACATGTACTGTTGTACATGCATGGGTGTAGGTAAGGTTCCAAGGTTCCAAGGCTCCAAGGCTCCAAGGCTTAATGTTGTCAAGTACCGTACCTTGGTACGTACCTCTTGTACATATGTACCTAATGTATCTACCATAGTACAACCTAGAATCATTGATCGTAAGGCCAAGTCAATTATAAATGTACCTAACCTAATGTAAAGCAACCGGGGCCTTGTACTGCCACGCGCGCCCATTACGAATGATCCGAACCCCCCGCCAATCCGTTTAAGCCCGAGGGATCAAAAGTCCATCCGTAACCCCATCGTGGCATAGGTAGGCATTTATTACAACTCGATACGTTTGTACACCTATCGTTTGGAAAAACGAGCACCCATACGTCTAGTCAGCGGACATTACAAAAGAAGCTCTTGTTCCCCCATCCCGTCTTCGTCCCGGCCAACCCAGCTCGAACTCTTATCTATACATAAGACTCGACATCCCGGAACCCTAAAGGCAAACAATATCAAGTCAAAGCAAAGCAAAGCAACGCAAAGCAAAGCAACGCAACGCAGCGCAAGGACCATTAATCTATCCATAACTAGCAAATATACCAAGAACGTATCAAGGACGTATTCTAATAGCTCGAGATCTCGAGATCGTGGCACGGTCCAGATTCAATATTACCTGTCTGCAGCACAGTGGTTGAACTTGGTTTGGCTAGATATTACGCAGATATTACAACAGGCACGGCGCCCTTCCAACGCAACACTCTCAACTCCACACCGCAAGCCTCGAAATTCCACAACAGCGGTCGGTAGGGTACACGTACCTTGGTACCATTGTATCTTTGTATCTGGTAAGGTACCACACCCCGGTCGCTCCATCCACCCAACGCGGACAACTATTAAGCCCCACACCCCTGTCGAAAAAGTTCAAACCATCGCAACTGAACATAAAAGACAAGGACTCGCTGTTTGGTCATTGCTTTTGCCCTTGGCCGGAAATCGGTGCCTGACTCACACAACACAACAAAAAAATCATAATTGCTACCTATTGCACCATATCTGCGGCAGAGACGCATATCAACATAACATAATACAAAATGGTTTCAGCAACCTCACCGTCTCCTTTCCACTCCCCTACTCACTCTTCCTACCCGCAAACTACACCGTCACCACTGCCGAGGAAGAAGATCATGTCCGTCACACAGACATACTTCCTCGCCCACAAGGCACGGGCTAAGCTGTCTAACGAGGCTGCCCGCCCCGACCACAACCTCCGACTACTCGTTGGTCACGCCAACCTACTAGACTCCTTGATGCTCGATCTTGCCGAGGCCGAGCGGGAACAAGAGAGCTGGTTCAACCAATCCGTCCGGGGAGCCACGCCTAAGGCTGAAGAGAGGCACGTACAATGGGCCGACAACGTGGCCGCGGAGGACGACTGGGAGGCGGACTCGTCCGATTCGGACAGCGACAGTGACGAGGAGGACGAGGACGTAGAGATGGCAGACGCATTGCCGCTACAACGGATAGCTTCTCGCACGGTACTACCACCGGCATCTCCCCAATTACATCTAATGGATGAGGATGAGGATGAGGACGACTTCGAGGACGATGACGAAGACTACGACGCTTTATCCCTTACTCGATCACCATCCCCCTTTATAACATCACCACCCGAGCTCGAGCACGACTCGGACTCATCAGAAGACGAGGCAATGCCCCCGTCGCCGCCAGCGGCATCAATACCTACATTCTCAGAGAAGCAGAGGGAGAGCACAGTCACAACCAAGTACCTGGACTCGAGACAAGAGGACGAAGAGGACAACAAGAACGACTTCTACAGCGAAGGATACTACCTGCCGCCGCGAAATACAGCACGAATAGTATCTACGATATCGGTGTATTAGGAACAGGAATAGGAACGTTGTATCACCTCTTCTCCTTGGTCTTCATAATTGCATCAGCATAGGGTCTGGTTCCACATAGTGTGCTTTATTCATCTGCATCTGGGCGGCGTTTTAAAATACCAATAGCGGCGTGGCATTTTACAAGCGCAAGCGACTTCATTTGATCGATTTCCTTTTCTGTCTCACTCTCTATGGTATTATGAGGAGGAGGATAGTATCGGGTATTACCGCGGCAGCCTAGAAACCAGGCTTGGCTTTTTTAGCGGGAGGGAGATGTCACCGCTCACAAGTTATTTTTTCTATTGGACGATGGAGGATTATCGGAAGAGTGTTACCGAAAGCGGTAACCATTTTGGCTACAAGCGGGGGCTTGCTTCGCTCCCTGGTTTTCAACCCACGCAAATCATATATTTTTTGCGCACATATCGGGTTTGGATCTCAAAGGTTGAGTGGAACACGAAAGGCTCTCGCTGCATCTAAATCTCATTTACATAGCGAAGGCTAAGAACAGCTTGCACATGCAAGCCATAGCCCATCAATCAAAATAAAACATAATTAGTCAACCTCTATAATTCCTCAACGTGCTAGTGACTGATTGCCTCGTGAACAAGCCTCATCACATTATCACATTTTCCTATGTGCATAGGTAGTTATATTGACAGGTGTACAGTGATTATCTGATTGATTGATTGATTGATCCAATCCAAAACCCGAGCGCAGATCATTTGTTGAGTCATGTGCTATGGAATTCGTGGATACGTAGGTACGAGATGCGCGCCGCGGCGTCCGCGATATCGGTAATACAAGACTTGAGTTGTTATCACGTTTGAGATGCCGAGGTGGGAGCGGATATTATTACTAACCGGTCGAACCTCTCCTAGTAATCGAATCCTAAAGAATTGTCTTCTTCCTTACTAACTATTATTTATTATTATGTATTCACTAGGTATTATTATTCCTTCTACAAAAAATCGACTCGGTGCGAAGATAAACCCCGCCTTAGTGCCGGACCCCGAGCCTCGCCAGGTCTGGAGCCCAAAGCCAACTAACCTAGCTTATTTAATCTCGAAAAGCCCGAGATGAACGAAACCCTGAGCTTGTCACGACAAAGGAATTTAGTAGAATATGAAAGGCGTCACTTGGACATGTTTAGCGAAACATGCCGGGTTCGTAAGGCATGGCCCCCCCTTGGACCCCAGGTTGGGAACAGAGACATGGGGGGGGGAGGTATGTAGGTAGGCATGTATAATAGAAAGGGGAAATTAGCTAAGCATTAAATCCATAAAGTCCGATTTGTGCCGGAATGAGGATATTGATCATTGGAACAAAAAAAAAAGGTCTTAGGTTTGCCTAAGTTGGATTAGCTACAGGGGTACGCACGTAAAGGAACTGAAGTGCAAGGAAGCTCTCGCTTACCCTAGTCGGTCCCTTGCTATGAGGTAGGTAATTACTCACCCTCACCACCAGGCAGTAGGTAGGCAAAGCTAGACAAGGCTCTCCCTTCCGGCTGGTGATTACCAGCGACTTGGCGTATTTCTCGTAGGTTAGGTAGGTACTCTTTTGTGTATGACAAGGGAACGTGCACAAGAGCGCGATTATGTAATGCAGTAAGTGACCTTGATATGTACTCGGGTCGTCGGGTGATTATCTTAGATCCACCGACCTAAATACCGTGGTCTAAACTAAATCAGGTCTAGCTTGCACTTTTTAAATCTATGTCAAGTCGCAAAATACCGTCGAGACTTGACTTTTCCAGTCCCAACCGTCTGGGTTTCCCGCAACGGGTGGAGGACTAAGAGCCAGCGGCCGTTAATCGTCCAATCAACTTCTGCCGCGATTTTCAGGCGGACCTTCGTTTGGGGGCTGAGCTGTCTGTGACACCTCCCCACAATCTCGTTTACCGTCCTGGCTGAAAGATGAAAAAATAAAAAATAAAACAAGAACTATAGATTTTCTTTTGTCATTTTCTTTTCGTGAAGCGTCGGCGATGACTAGGTTTAGCTATCAGCTAGTCTAGCATTTCCGAATCTACAAGTCATGGTTTATCCGCGGATCACTTGATAGGTACCTCATCGTACGAAGCGCGGAGCACGGGGCACGGGGCAAGGGGCACGGAGCACTCGACTTGTGCTCAATCTCCCCTTTCGGACGCTACGTTGTTTCTTACTTTTTTGCATTTGCAGGGTCTAGATCTCCTGAACGGCGACGAAAATGACGGGTATCTACCTATGTAATAGGCAATTCGGAGAAGTACCGTTTAGGCCAGAGAGAGACAATAACAAGGAGATAAAGATAAAGGGTATGTACATACATGATAGGTAGGTATGTATATGATGGACCCCTACTAAATCTAATATCTCGAACGGAAATGCTTTCCTCGCATCCGGCTGGGGACGAATAAGCTGTCAGGAGCCAGCCCTACACTCTACACTCTACACTCTACACCCTACACCGTCAAGAACCGCCCGTCTGGGAACAATGTCATCTTGGGAACTGTTTAGCGAAGAGGCGTCAATATGGTTGCCCTATCAATTCTGGCAAACGCGAAAGGAAGCCGTCTGACGCGTTGCGATTGCAATAGCTCAATCTCTGTCCTCCCTAAAGGGGAAATGCAGCGGAGAAGCGCGAACTCATTCATGACGATGCTATGCTGAGATAATATATGATACATATGATACATACATATGTAGCTCGCTGCGGTCGAGAGAAAGGTCGTCTCAACGCACGGCCGCGCCTTAACCCTTAACCACCACCCCTGCTCTCCCGCATACTAGGTAACCCAAATCTGCGGTCAGCTTCAACGCCTGTCACCGCTCTCTCCATAGATGGGGCGACGGTTTAGGGAGATGGCCAGTCATGGCGGTTGACTGTCGTTACTGTCGCCGCAGGTTGGGTTTCATCCAAGTTTTCTACTGGTTCCCCTTTGTCGATTATCATGACCGTGCATGTTCTATGCTGCCCGTGGAAGAGAGATACTGCTTCTTCCCGCTAAGACCAATTTACAATATATTGATCCGCTACATAGTGTACCGACCTAATGTAGGCAGGTGAGATGGTGAACAAGGTGCTTTTTTATTGTCTGCTTTCAAACCCCGACTTTACAGACTCAAATCACGATATCAACAATGCCGCAGCCTTTCGCCGTCTCAACATGCGAACATATGATTTTGGACTTGTCCATGTCGCACTCGTAGGTATTACACGTTGTATAATATGTATGATTAGAGTACTGTCATTATGATCACCATCAGACAGACCACCACTATCGGTAGACTGTAATCGCCGATATGACATTATGATAGAATTCTGACTGTATGACAGACAGATTACCTATGTATCTCGCGAATTGCCCATTGAGCAACTGTCGCACACCTCGGTATCTGATGTTCAAGGTCGCGCTTTGAATCAGATGGCAATATAATTGCGCATAGTCTCAATTATACGGAATCTAGCCTAATGATTTGTTAGGTACTTACTTATATCAGTACCTATGCAAGAAGAGATATGCAATTAATCAACGGCCCCCCGAGACAAACCCCTAAGGGAGATCTTCCCGTGATCCATATGTAGATCACCTCTTGGATGAAACATGTCTAGAAACATGTCTAGAGCATTCGGTGAAGATATTGCCAATTGTGCTATTGCGAACTTGAGAATTAGGCTTGGCTGGGGTTCGGACCATGTACTACGGATACGTGATCGATACGATACCTACGTGATACGTATGTATGCTATGTGTCTGTCTGTCTAGTACATAGTATACTTGCCTATATAATAGTTACCTAGGTAGGCCTACACAGCTTATATTGTGTACATGAGGGTTAGGTTAAGTTAGAGCAAGGCAGGTTAAGTTAAGTTAGGTTAAGTTAATAGACGGCTCGTGGACGTGCTACATACCTACGATGAATCGCCTTACCCCTAGCCGACAAAGCGAAGCAGGTTTATAAGTCAAGTTAGTCATCTTGCCATCGCCGCGCACCTATCCACTCGTCGACCGCCAGAACGTAGAGGGGCCCATTGCGGAGCAGCCACACAAACGGCCTGGTTTGGCTGCTAGCCTACGTAGAGGAGCGGTGAGGCTTTGCGAATTGGCGGGACACGACGGTAGCAAGGAGGGGACCGTCGGCGGGGAAAGCGACGCTGATTCATCGGTTTTCTGGTTCAAACGGCCGTGTGAATCATTCGGGCTGCATGTCACTCAACTAGCCATCGTCTTAGCCACGGCCGAGACTATGGAGAGAGCTATACGATATCTTGACTGGCTGCACCAAGGGGAACTAAGCTGTTAGCTATGTACTACATAGTCAGCTAGCTAGCTAGCTATTACATGCACTCGGTATTCGACATCTCATAGGATGACTAAACTATGTGGTTTATCCATTGAGCTTGGACTTTGGATGTCTGGGCATATAGTTGGGTCGTTGAGGATAATGTAGTTTGGTACAATACTGCCAACACACCAGCAGGATACTTACATACATACATACCTACATACATACCTATGTACATACAACAACAAAACCGCTTCCCATACCATACGAAAGTATGGACGTACCTCAAGTAGGGCGGATGGATCTATAGACACGTTACAGGTGGTGACACAAATCCGGGCTTTGCTCTTAATGCTCGCTGCTGCATGCAAGGAGATCGTCATACCTCTGGATGGTAGGTAATGGTAGGTACATACGGAGATACATATGCAGGAAGCCTTGAAGGTATCAACTTTGTTGGTATCGCACATAGGGGAGTTACCATACCCGGGCATTTGTTCGCGGAGTATTCCCTCGGCTGCAATGATTCTCTAACCGGGTAAAAATGCATAGTGGGTGTAGGAGGTATGTACGTATGTGTGTATGTATGTAGGTAGGTAGGTAGGTAGGTATGATAGGTTATAACGTGAATCGGATTAAACAAGACTCGTACGTGCGTAATGCAGAATGGAATTACCGATTGCCGAGTTGTTATTGAGTAGTAATATAGACGATCTATGATAGCGATCGTAAACAATATCCACATTGAGATAATGAGATAATGAGATAACGGGCTGTTCGCTGACGTGATAACCCTAGACCCTTCGGCATTACACGTCTCTCTTTTTACGGACTTGTCTATCTTGTACACGTGTTGGTGTAAGTAGGTAAAGTTAGTTATGCAAAAAGGGTCCAAGGAGATACGGGAGATATGCCTATGTAGGTAGGTATACATAGGTACCTACATAGACTCTCTGGTCCCGATTTAATATGACTAAAGTACATATCTAAGCCTCGATCGCCACAACTGTTGGAAGCCGCGAGGATCGCTTACTACTAGCCGGAGCGGCAGATTAAAGAAGACTGACGTCGGGTCGCGGATCACGGACTATACGGAATCCTAATCGAGTCGATGTGATTGTTCATAATAGCACCATGCGCCAACAGCATGGAAAACCATTCTTCGTATTGTATAATACATTAGGTACTACCTAATGTACAGTACATGACCCGGTCTAATGGATCTGCATAACAATCAAAGTTTACAACCTTAGTTGCGAACCGAGGCTACGGCGGATTTATGTTAGTACATTAGGTAGTGTCAATCATCGTAGGGCAGAATAACCCCTCCAAAGCTTGGCTGGCTAGGTAGGTACATTCCGGGAAGGATTTCATATTGCCGTAGAAGGTATCTAGGTACTTTCGTAGGTAGGGCTGTTAATAAGGTCAGGTGCCTAAACCAGCAGGCAGAGGCTGCTATATAGCTTAGGCACCGAAATAAAATAGAAATTACATAGTACCTAACCTAGGTAACTAGATAATACCTAACTACCTCCTACAAGTCCTTGGAGACCTACTACCTAGGATTTCGGAACCGAACCCTCCGAAATCCGTCCTTGGATACCGACGCCGAACCACTCCCGAACTCCCAGGAAAATTGTCTTATGTAATCATCGGCCGGAAAGTTTCGCAAGCGGCACGGCAACAGTGTAAAGACCGAACAGAAAAACAAAAAAAAATTACCTAACATCACACAGCTCTTTTCCATCCGAGGGCCAAACCAAACCCCCCGGAACGCACGGTTCGTTCAATTAAACACGCCAAGCCGACAAGGCTACCTATGTAACCTTGCCTTGCCGCGCCGTACAACCAATTCACCCCCAAAGCCTCGTGATAACTCCCCCCCCCCTTCCTCTAGTCAGGGATTCCAGCACCGCCCAGAGACTTTAGCCTCGGACTTCGCTGGTTATTAGCTGTCCGAAATACAGAATACCACGTATACAGAATACTACGTATCGCAGGCTGCGAGCTGCGAGCTTGCGTACTGCTTACGACTCTGCGGCGCGGCGTCTATATCATTCCTAGGACCTGGGTGGGTTAGTTAGTTATCCTACCCCATACGGGGGAGATTCACGCGATGCAGATCTTACCGCGCAGCGCCCCCGGACGCGGCCTAAGCCCCCTCCCTCTGCCTTTCGTATGCCAGTCGTGCCAGAGATCGCTGCGCCGTTTCTCGGTGACGTCACGCCGCGCAAGTGCTGCTACTGCTACTGCTCCTAGTACTCCTCCACCATCATCATCCCCACCTCCGTCCGGCTATGCGCTGCTGACGTCCCGGCGGCTGATCAGCCTTGCCGGTCCGGACGCGCCTAGGTTCTTGCACGGCCTGATCACGCGGTCCGTTGTTGACGAGTCCGGGGGCGCGGGCGCTAGACATCGGCATAACACGCCGGTCTCCTCTCACACCAGTCTCGCTGCCGGGGCGCCGGGCTTCTACAGCGGGTTCCTGAATGCGACGGGCCGCGTGCTGTACGACGTGTTTGTGTACCGGGACACGCTGGGGATCAGCGCGGACGCGGCGGACGGAGAGGCTTTTATCGTCGAGGTGGATGCCGCGCAGGTGCATACGCTGGCGTCGCATATCAAGCGATACAAGCTGCGGAGCAAAACCTCGTTCCGGGTCTTGGATGAGGGCGAAGTTGCCGCGTGGCAGGTGTGGGATGGGTCTTCTCTCTCCTCGCCTGGGAGTCCGCTGTTGTCGCAGCTGAAAGATAGTATCGTCCTGCCGGATACTCGTGCCCCTGGGATGGGGTATCGGGTCCTTCGACGCGGGGGAGCGAGTGGACTGGACGTGGACCTGGCGCAATGTGACGACGATGCGTATCGCGTGAGGCGGTACTTGCTCGGCGTAGCAGAGGGCCAGGCTGAGATACCGCGCGAGCAGGCACTTCCGCTCGAGGCCAATATGGATCTCATGGGAGGCATCGACTTCCGCAAGGGGTGCTACGTAGGACAGGAACTAACGATCCGCACGCGGCACCGCGGCATCGTGCGTAAGCGTATACTGCCATGTCTGCTGTACCCTCCCAATCCCTCTTCTTCTTTCTCTTCTCCGCCTGGAGCCCTCGAGTATAAGCCCTATATTATTTCCCACGAGGGTATACACGGGGAAGAGGGCAAGGAGGAATTATCAGCAGAGAACATCCCGGCGAACTTGAGCATAGGCAGAGACGGCGCCAAAGGCCGCAGCGCTGGGACTTGGCTTCGCGGGGTGGGAAACGTCGGTCTGGCGCTGTGCAGACTGCAGATCATGACGGACGTCGAACTACCGGGGGAGACGGCTGCCGGAGCACCGTTTGACCCGACCCGCGATGAGTTTGTTGTTAAATGGGGAATGGATGAGGAGGGTGGTGGAGGACAGTCTGTCAAGATAAAGGCGTTTGTGCCGGATTGGATGCGTGAGAGGTTGCAAGAGGGCACGTAGGAGTAGGTTGGCTTTGCTAACGGTTGCTGAATGGGTGGACTGTATAAATATTATACGTTCCTAGAGGACGTGTGTGACTATATTGCTATGAGATATTGCTCATAGCGTGAACTTGTATACTGTATTGTGTATACTAAAATCCGCTTCATAGATATATTGATGAATCTTCTATTTCAACTATTAGGTACATTATATATCACGAGGCATGCAAAGTCGGTAGCAAGCCGTGCCACAGGCTTGGAATTATCCCAATATTCGCTATTAAGAATTAAGACCTGTACTCTACGTTAGGTATTTTGAATATATATTCTCTCTATTCTAACACGTGCACTTCAAGTAGAATCCTTCCGATAGAAGGTCGGGGGGTATCATAACACGTAGTAGAGACAAAATCGAGAACAACGGCAGCTAGGTATCTAGACAGGGACACCTAATCCCCGTCGTTTAATTAGGTACCAACGCCATCAGCAGCCACAGAAGCAGCAGCAGCAGCAGCTTCTTCTTCTTCTTCCGCTTTCTTCTGAGCCTCTTTCTCAGCCTGCGCGGCACGCAGCCTAGCCATCGTCGACGCGAAGTCCCCTTTAGCCCTGGGCTTGCCGCTAGTGGAAGTATTGCCGTTGGTGGACGCAGAGGTGGAGAAGGAAAATGTTTTTGCTGTTCCCGACGTGGAAGTGCCTTTCTTTTCGTCAGCTTGTGGTCCCCGCGAGGCTTCGGGAGTAGGTATAGTCTCATGTGTCTTGTGCTTCTCATCGCCGTTCTTCCGCCCTGTCTTCTTTTCCTTCTTGGCTGCTTTCCGCTGCCGCGCCTCCTCTAGCCGTCGCTCGAGATCCGCGATCTGGTCATCATAGCCGCCGCCGTTCTTCGCTGGCGGCTCTGGGTCGATATCCATCCTCGACTCAGCTGCGCTCGAAGTATCTGGTGTTTTTCTTCGGCCTCCTCGTTCCTCCGGGTTTGGCGGCTGCGCCTTCTTCTGGTTCTCTTTACTCTCTTGTACCATTTGTTCTTTTTCTCGCTGCCTTTCCCTCTCCTCCGCTTCTCTCATTAATCTCTGCCTCTCTTCCAGACGCCGTTTTCCAGCTTCGACCAGTCGTCTCCTCTCGGCTTCGCTCATCGTAGGGCCGTCGTCCTCACCGCGCGGGCGCTTGATGGCCCCGCGCTCTCGCGCTTCGAGATCCTCTACCATGGCGCGTCGCTTAGAGTCCATGGCGCGGCGCTGCTGTTCGCGCAGGAGGGCGGCGGACCGTTGCGAGTCGTAGACCTCGCGCGCCGGGGCGTCGGACAGTACGTCCCGCGCTCGCTCGAACAGTTCCCATTTCGCCGGGTCGAAGTTGGCTCCTGCTTTGTCAGGATGGTATTTCAAGCTGCGCTTGCGCCTATGGATGGTACGTTAGTATTGTGATTTATATGCATGAGACTGTTAGATGAAGGATAGATTATGACGTACCAAGCGCGGTGGACGTCTTCTTTGGGCGTGTCAGATGTTACACCGAGAAGCTCGTATAGATCCTGCGTGGTCGCATACTCCTTAGCATATAATATGAGGTCGGACTTATCCATCGTAGTTGTTTTGCTCTTGTTATTCCCTGGGTCGGAAGGAGGGTGAAAAGTTGATTGTGTTATGAAGGTTGGAATCAATTGTATTAGGTAACGAGGTACCTAGGTACCTAATGTACTTCTTACAATTCCCAGCGAAAATTAATGGCCGGGTCTTGGCATTTAACCTCTTTAAATAATCAACGATTATAAAAACAAAACAAACGGTAAAATATATATAATAATAATATAATAATCTTAATTAATAATAAAAAAGGCTAAATAATCACTTTATATTTTGAATATAACACGTAATGTTGAACTCGGGGTAAAATGCGAAGGCCTGGCCATTAATTTTCGCTGGGGGCTGACACCCTGACGCCTTAAGGACTGCGACTAAGGGAAGAGATATAAGGTGTAGGTACTGTTGGAAGGTGCGATGCTTAAACGCATATATAGGTAAGATTTCTTACCACTAAAGTGGGGTATTAGAATTCCTTTCTAATACAACATCCTTTTGACCACCACGTATATTCCACAGTACCTAAAAAATGTATGTATTTTGTAAGATCTCATAACCTCACTTAACTACTAGAAATCTTAAATGCCTTAATGCTTAGGTATGTATCGTACTTTCTCACAGTTGCTATTACTAATCTGGAGGATAAGAGGTTATGTACCTAGGCACCTAGATATCTAAGTAATCTTCTTGATCAAATAATTGATCGATCAAGTCCATGAACTCCTTTCTATGCTGATCGGAAACCACCTCCTCCTTATCCTCCAGTACTTTATAGTAATCCCACACAAATTCCCAATTAACTAACTCCGATACAACTGGAAAACTATCATCGAGTTTATGACCGAATTCCCGTATTAGCTCCTTGAATAAATTCTCAAGTGGCTGCACAATATGCTGCCGAATGAAATGCTGAGCAGAACCTTTTTCGTTCTTCATTCCCCTATACTCCTTGAAGATTGCCTTGACCACATCTCCGTACTTAGACAATTTGGGATAATAATGGTTCATAAAGTAGGAGAACATATATTCATATCCCTCGACCTTGCATGTTGCAAATATTCCTGAACGGAGACGTGAGCAAACTCCACTGTCGAGTCCTTGTTTATCACGAGAAAGTTGCTTGTTACGCGCTCAATATATTTCTCAGTAATCCTACCTTCGGACTCTTAACTTTGTTTGTAGAGAAGCTCGTAAGTATCGTAAAGATTCAGCAACTGCTTCGATGAATCCAGCGTATTGGCGGTATTATTGAGATAGGTTGAGCTGGTCATATATCTGATCTCATCTAGGGACTTCCGGATATCATCTTCGTTGATAAAGTTGGCTATTATGGCCAAATGTAACTGTGTCCATTTGAATATGTTGGATTCGAGTCAGTATCTTACATTGATCCGGACGTATCAGTGCTAACTCACGCCCCTTTCCCGTGCTCAACTAAAGCATCGATGATATCTTTTCTTAGTTCATTATTTCCACCTAGGGGATGTGATTTGCTCTTTCTAGTGATATCTCCAATACCACTTTCTACAAATACTTGCAGGTCATTCGCCGTGTTTTCAGGTGTTAACATGAGATTTTCGCAAAGATTCGAATCGATCTGATCTAAAACGTCGACTTCATCCCGGCTAGAGAAAAAAACTTTGACCGTTGGGGTAGTCTTCTTCTGAAGCCGTTCCTCGAAGTTCTGAAATACATCAAGAAGTTCCTTCGGATCGGCACATTCATCAAGAGAGTCAATAATAATCGTGATGTGGTCGCTTAGGCCGAAAATCTTCCCCAGGCGGGTTTCGCATTCCTGTAGATTTAACTTCGGTGGTTCTTTATTCGGGTTATTTTGATCCAGAAAGTGTCTCCAGTGATACATTATGGGCTGGGTAGCTTGCTGACTCTTAGACGACCAGGATAGTTGGCGTACAATGGACGCCAGTACTTCCTAATGACTGGCTGCCAGAGCCCTGGGCCTTTGAACAGTAGAAATAAGCAACTTGGTTGTTTTCATGCTTAGGGAAATCCCAGGAATTCTGGAGAAATTTCTCGATGACTCGCGTTCTATCGAAAGTCCTATCGGAATAAGCGGTTCTTATATACGTAAAAAGACCTACGTTAGGGTAGTTTTCCCACAACCAACTGAAGTACATTAGGTTAGTGAAAACCTAGGAGGAATCTAAGTGGTCTGCTTACCTGGGCCGTGAAGCCACAATGATCGGAGCCCTTTACCCAGCGATGAGTCCCACTTCAAGAATTTGTAATTTTTGAAGATCCAGCTTCCAGTATCTGGGGTTTTAGAGAACCGATCAATTATATTTCTATAGTCGCCTAAATAGTCATGGCTTGACGTCCATTGAAGTGCGTTCTCTATTCGCTTATCATGATCTAAACGGTGGTTAGATGTCTGTTATACGTGTATGAAATTCGAACATACTGTCTCGTTCTCTTGCCTCATCAAAGCCCTTCATCTTATTATGTAGATCTCGAGTAACTGCATCCAATATGTTAGTCCCATATTATATAACTCATCGAGGGACTCCATCTGTCCTAGGCTAAATACACTTACGCTTAGAATCTATTATCTTGACTAGACTTTCACATTGCTCATCTTTCTCTTTAATCTCTTGCATTTTGACTTTCCACCCATCTACGTCAATAACTGTAGACCTTAGGACCTGCTCTGTGACCCCGTTTCGTATTAGCTGAGAAGTATCGGTTCTAGAATATTCATGGACCATCAAACCACCTATTCTAAACCTAGAAAGGAACATACCGTATCTCCGCCTCTGAAAATGTTTAGCCAAGTCTACTAGTATAATAAGAACTTCGAAGTATAAGTCAGGAAGAAGTTTCTCCAGTTGTTCAAGCTGGGTCTCGTTCTCTGCTTGATGTTTCTTATAGTCTTTTTCTCGTTCTTCATAACGACAGAGGAGAAGGGAAATAGATGAGAATGCGTTGAGAGCATCCTCATACGCCTCGTGGCTTCGAGTGGTAAGCTTATATGGGTTAGAATTACATCGAGTATCGGTAAGATGGTACTAACGTCTAGAGCAAGGATAAGCGGCACACATGCAAGTTTTCCATAGCCAGTTTGATCTAGATCTAGTAGTGGCTTTGCCTTTTCGAGTATAGCTTTGGCGTATCCTATGACATCGTGGAAGATACGCCGCCTATCCGATGGGGCTTTTTTGTACTGCACTGGGTGGCATGTTGATGCGTAAAGGCTGGCGTTGTGGCTGTGACTTAGTACAAGGTCAGGTTTGACTGGATATTATATAAATTAATATAACTATTGAGCAGAGGCTGAGCAATGTGGCATTGGCATCATCATGCATAGCTACCTAGGCGACCTCATTTGATTCACTAACAGGTAAATGACCGCGAGGGCTCCGAAAGCGTAGCAAAGACGAGAAGGAAGCGAAATAACAACTTGAGCTAATGATGAAGCTCGTAGATGCCCGCTTAGATACTTTCGAAGGGAGCTGAAGTTGATGTTTCTCGACGAGCCGGCGACACGGACTCAGAGGGTGTCCTCGAGGGGTTCAAGAATGTCGTTAAGACTGGGCTTTTCACTATCCTCAGAGACACCTTAGCCGGAGAGAGTTACGATAAAGCTTTTCGTCCACGTCAAACAGCAAGTTGAAAATTTTGATTAATAGGGAATAATACCTAGAGGTACTAACTACGATCTAGAAATGTGATTATCCGCGTGGACATGTATACGTACAAGTACAACTTTGCCACGAAAGGAGCGATTTCAACTCACAAGAACATCTTGGCATACATCTCTATATCTCAGTGGTAGACCATCGGAATGTGACAGTGGATGAATTGATCTACCTAGCTTCTGAGTTTGCCGGAGATGGCACTGTCAGCCCAGACAGCGGCTTTGAAAAATACGTAGAGATGATTACGAAAATATGGAATGCGCTTAAAATCATAGACCAGTTGACAATCGGGAGACAAGCAATCGACTACCCGGTAGTTAGCGGGTTACTCAACTAATGAGAATTATAGTGTCAGGTCTACATGGGAAATTCTATACATTCAGAAGCACGAACAAGATACTTCTTAAATTCTGTAATAGTTGTATTATTAAATATAGCCAATCAAAACTTGGCTATGCCGACGGCCGGCTTGTTTCCCGGAAGCTAGACATGGACTAGGATTAAGATCGACGGCATTCAGGGATCTTCATCCGTGCCGTACAGCATCTCCGTAATTACCCCACAGGTACCCGACTTTCGGTATATTTAGTATATTCAATGCAGGGATAAGAATAGCGTATGCCGGGCAGGCTAGGTCTACAAGCATCCAACGAATTGATTCTTCTGTACCTGTTTAAGACTTCATTAAAGGGATTATGTTTACTTGAAATGCCCGTATCCTCTAAGGAGAGAGAAAATAGTATAGCGGTGCCTTTTCTAACCATATGCTGGTAAAATGCACTACGCCAACGACTTGAATGTAATATATTAAGTTAAAGCTGAATTTCTTACCCACTATTATCCTTGATAGTAATCTGTAAAGGTGGCAGTGCGTCAGCCTCCATCGCGTTCTATGGTGATAGAATACGACCATAATAGATGACTACACGGGATTTATCTATAGCGTGGGTTTCAATACGTAAGAAGCATATTGCCGTTGTCTATTAAAAGGGCGTAACCTTCTGGTTCTCGAACGAGTCCGGTGATTTTATAACCTGCTCTCTCAGTGCTAATAGGTTAACCCATAGTTTTAAGACTGTTTATTTGGGCTCCATAATGTTGATTCCTAAAGGACTTGTTACTCTCACGACAGGACTCATCGCAGGTCTCCTGACCGAGCATGTCTCAGCTCAAAATGGTTGGCCAGCTCCCGAGGTCATGAAAGGCACAATTCCCAACAACCCTATCGCCCAGACATTAGACCCTGCCTTAATCCGGCGTCAATCGGACAACAAACTATTCTTATATACCACAGGCAAAAATGGTAGCGTCTGGACGGCTAGTTCTCTGTACGGTCCTTGGACGCACGAAGGCACAGCAAAATTCCGCGAGTATGGCGGTGCCCCTTCGATACATCGCGTGGGTGACACGTACTTCGTCTATATTAACAATCACGAATTCGAATATTCTACAGTTGGCGTGACAGATCCTGCCATACACACGTGGGCACACAACTCCAGTCTCCTCGTCGCTTCATCCAAGACGCTCGAAATTGGTGACTGGGAGTGGCACGGGCGCCTTGAGATCGATTGGGCGAAGAGGTACAACATCCTCGACGCCGCTCTCCTAACTATCGACGACGGAGGGAATCGTCGGAACCTTCTCACATTTGGCTCGTACCAGCAGGGCCTCTTCCAACTTCCACTAGCGGATCCGCCGATCAAGATCGCGGATGGTGCCAACAAGAATATCAACCACCTCGCCAACAACAAAACGTCGGCTTTCCCAACCGGTCCGACAGAGGCGGCTTACATCATCAAATGGCAGGATTGGTACTACCTATTCTTCTCGTCTGGCCGATGCTGCAAGCAACCAGATGGCCACTGGGTCGACAGGGGCGACGTATATAAAGTCATGGCGTGCCGCTCTAGGCAACCGGGTACCGGCTACGTCGATGAAAAAGGGGTCGACTGTGCTAACAACAGCGGCGGCAAGGAGATTTTGGGATCCCATAATGACATATGGGCTCCCGGCGGTCAAGGGGTCCTTGTTGATGACGAGGCCGGGGGACCTATTATATACTACCATTATGGTAAGTACTTTCACTATTACTCTTTATATGACAACGAGGACATAGACTAAAACTGTACGGTCTCAGTGCCATACAATGTTCAAAGCAAGACTCCTGCGAATGAGTTCCGCTTTGGTTGGAATAAGCTTGACTTCAGTTCCGGGTGGCCTGCGGTTGTTAAGGGGTCTTGAATTACTTAAATTTGTGATGGTATTTAGAATATTTATTAGTTGCCTTAGGATAACTAAACCAATAGAGCTCCTGCAGTGCATTGCTATGAAATTTAGCTCCTTATACGCCTTTGGGACCAACCTGAATATACCAACATTCAGCCTGGTTTAAGAGACTCGCTAAACAATCTGGAAACGACAAATAGGCAAGGACTTGATCTTTTCCAGCAAGCTCGAGGTTCTGAGTCTTATAAAGCTCTTTGATATCTCCTCCCAATCTATGATCCTCTTGTTGCAAAGTGAAGAGGTCTAGCCAGGAATAAAACATGAGTGAAGTTTCTGAATCTCCCTTCATTAGGTTGTTTATGTAGTCTGATGGAACAGCCAAGCCTAGTATTGACTGTCGGGTGAGGTAGATACTAAGTATGAAGTCTACCATATACTTAACTGGATCCTCGTCTACGCTTAGTATCTCGCCTACCCCGCTGACTTGATCTATGAAGTACCCCGTGCAAAATAGAGTTGTCGGGGTAGCATAGCATACACTTTTAGTGGCGTCCTCGGACTGGATGCGTGTGACTTGCTTCTGGAAAAGATATCCATCCAATGTCTCCCGATCCGACACCTTCCTTGCTGAGTTACAGGTACGATGACTTGCGTTAGAGTAGACAAAGTCAAGAACCCAGGAGGGACCAGAAGGCTCTTTTCCATCGCGAAATGCGGCTTCGCAGAGGCTCGTCCTGATAGAGAACGGTTTTTGGTTGACTAAAATCCGCTGTCGTTTCATCTTCGCCCCAGACGTATGACATGGCTTCTGGGATGCCATCATGTAAACTGCATAATACCGAAAAGTTACATTCCACCGGATCTTCTCCAATACCGCAATGGATCTCGAGGACTCTGACATCGGCTGTAGAGGGATTAAGCGCTCTTGAATACTGATAGCTGCTCTTTGGCGAGTTGCCTTTTCGGGATCTTAGTTCACTTGTTTTGGTGGTCGTTGTAAGGCTTTTGACCTTTTATATAGATCACGCAAAAGTTTGAGGCGTGTGGGTAGGGAAGGTACCTCCTAAGGTATTAGATTACAAGATGCACGCGGTCACTAATAACATATATTATAAATACTTTTGTTACTAATAGTGCATATAGATGTAGGTGAATTTCATGATTATCGGAGGATATATGTGATAATGATGGATGGTTTACGTCTAAAGGGGGCGAAAAGGATTTTGAGATATGCAACTATGCTTCGCGTGGCATTTAGGACAAGGCAAATCACCGATTGCCCGCCTCAATTAATATCTTGATATACACCTGTGATGGGCACGAGTCTAGGAAGTAAGAATGATATGTTACCTAATATACCTCAGCTGCCTGCTACTTTGCCGCATAATGTTACATCACCTTACTCCAATCACAATCGCTTTTTAATAGCCCTATGTATAGAGGGTAGTAAACGGGCAAAACCTTTATACAACATCTGGGGCTATGTGGCTCGCGGTCAATATATAATACATGGCGCACTTTCGCGAGTAACAGGCCCGAGAGAAAACTGGGACCTAACGGACGCCAATATGAAAAGGGGTTGTGGTCCCATTTATCCGGCCCGAAAACCAACGGGGACCCGAGACCGGGGACCGCTGATAGGTAAGACCGTTCGTGTTGTCTCTTACATCGGAAGTACCTATTTTGTTTATTTATAGTTAGCTCCCCTAGTAGTTACCCACCACGATCTACCTAACATAGCCCTTCGGATCTACGTAACTAGTCGGGAAAGTATAATGCATGCCGCCGAACATCGACAGCTTTCCAAAACTGCAATGCTAATTGGAATATTCCAACAAGCATAATGCGTTATAGCTCAAATCGCGAGCGCATTCGACAACCCACCAGATAAGCGATGTGATACTCAAACATTCTTAGTAAACTGATACACGTTCGTTGCTTTCCGGAACTCGAGGCTCCTAGCACCCTTAAAGCTAACACTCCCCAATGTGTGCGAGTTTCTACAGAGCCTCCATCTAAAAACAATTGTTCCCGATCAATCATTTGCTCCCGAGTCTTAGATCATATCAGAAGGCGCGGATTACCGGTAGGACGCTTATTTCCCTTTTCATAAAAGTATCCGGTCTCGGTAGTTGAAAAGTCTGGCCAATCAGATTGCGAGAAACCTAAAAATCATTCCCTTTTCGGAACTTTTAGCGTACCCTCTATTTCTAGCTAGATTATTTCTAGCTAGATTAGGGGCCGTCAAAGTCTTATGTAAATAGTACTAACTCCAGATGCGGATGGTAAACGGTTAACCTATGGTCTTCTACTCCTATCGCAATGTTACCGACTAAGAGTTCTCAGGCCACCTGACAGGGTTAACTAATCTGACACGACCTAATTCCATATGATCCAGGAATCCAGGATCATAGATAATCTAGGACCCGAGAGCAGGGTCACATCGCATTGAGTGAACCACTTATAGGCACCTGGGCACCTGAGCACCTCAAGGCTTGAGGTGCCCCAGCTGTCTGAGTGCCCTACGATAGATAGATGGAATATTGTCAGTAGTTAATCCAAGTATACACCTGGTATTAGATCCATATATCAACGTTGTTACCTTCAAACCAAGATCCCACCTCGTTACACTGTCATTCACTGTATGTCTTGCATACTGTCAGATTAGTCAGCCATGTCAGGTGACCTGAAAATCCCTAGTCTCATGTAAAATAGGTAGCGGTGTAACACGCGTTCCCACGATTTTACCTCAATGAATCAGATCATCAGGAATATCATCAATTAGACCTCATATATCGCCCATTCAGTACGTATTAGTTGTGTGACACATACCTACCTGTTACCCAACCTAGGTTGTTACGCGGATGAATAGCTGACTTAGGTATGGGATAGCCAAAGACAATCCTCAAGTTTACCACTGACGCTATGGTGTACATCATGGAGTTCGAAGTGGACGGTGGCTGTCGAGGCAACGGCTACAGTCACGCCGAAGGAGCTGCCGCTGCGTGCCTCATGACAAGAAGCTCCTCTTACTATACCAGGACGCGACGCCTAGATGCTACACCGCAGTGGGCGACGAGTCAGAGAGCCGAAATTCTGGCCATTATCATTGCTCTAGAATGGGCGTTGGAGAAATATGATGAGTTGGAATCAGAACCCAAACTAGCCGTCTCGATTAAGTCAGACTCTAGGTACGCGGTCAATTGCATGTCTAAATGGGTCTACAAATGGTGCAATAACGGATGGATAAATGCAAAAGGAGACGAGGTCGCGAACCGAGATCTAATTGAGGAAGCCTCTGACCTGGACGATCGTGTCAAGGAGCTGGGGACTGTTGACTATCTCTACATCCCAAGGGCGCAGAACACAGAGGCTCACAAAGCCTGCGATGAACTTCTGAGTGGCGAAGAAGACGCTTCGACCGGATATAGCTCTGACGGCTTCTGGTAACATATTTTCATGTCCGAGCGATGGATGGCCTCTCTTCTAGGTGTGCATCCTCTCGCACTCTTGCTGCTTCTTGTCGTGTTGTTAGTTGTGACAGAGCTGTCTGAGACCTGCTCTTCTAGAACTTACAAGTTACCCCGAGCATTAGGCTACTTCAATGAGATTCAAATAATCAATTTTATATTAATTTCATATTGAAACGTGGGGCTACTGAATATGCTGTCGGCTTATATAAGGACACTATCAAAATGACAATAATAGATCGGGTCGTTCTTGATGATGCCCAAATAATCAGCCAAACAAATACCTCAACAGACAACCTGAATAAGGTTATATAATACCTGGCACAGATTAAACCCGATCAACAACCATCCGAAACAAAATTCTATTCCAATATCCGTAACCCTTGACAGGCAATCAAAACCTATCGCGAGGAAAATGATTACAAGTTCAATGGAATGGCCAACTTCGAAGTTCGAGAAGAAGAAGAAGAAACGAGCGAAGCCCTTCTCACATACGGTGACGGCAAGAAGTAGAGTTTTAGAACCCTACACGTACATATATAATACCTTCTAGAAGTAAATGGATTCATCTGGTTAGGATTGACCAGGCCCCGTCATATCCCAGCCTTCTGGCTAGACTTAGCACATTTTACGCCGGCCCTAAATAGTGCAGATCTATTTGGCAGGAGAAACCTTACAGGTCATATCTGAATCGGCTTAATAACCGAGTCCCTTTCTCCCTTAGTTATCAAGGTAATGCAGTTGACGATGTTCAGAGAAGGACGTGTTAGTGCATTAATCGCGAACAGCTCCTAGCACTTCTGTCAGAGATATCCCTTGATGGATGTCATACGTAGAGTAAATGTTGGAAGCAGCAGCGAAGCTGCTATATAGTAGCCGTGTAATACTATAAATCTATTAACGCTTAACCTTCTATCCTCTTTCGAAGGCGCTTCGCGCCCTTTATATATCTGTTCTATGTAGATCTATACCTAATTCATACTAGTCTCACTTGTCCCCTGACAACTTCATAGAGGCTTAAAAAGTGTACTGTTGAGCATCTGGCATGGGAATCTATATCCTAAATGCGTAATCGTCAAGAGAATTAGTTTATCTATCTCGAGTTCCCTCCTATTAGCAATGATTCTATCAGACTTACCGTCAGGCCGCATTTTTCCGCGGTGATGCGGGATGAAAATGAGTGGATTATCTGCCCGTTTTATGTTATCCTATTGGATATATCTATTTAATACTACTATCAGCGACTATTTCACCTCGAGCTAACGAGTCCAAAATCCGGCTTGTCTCGTACCTTAGTGGTGCACATACGGAAATAAATTCATAACTCAGAGATGGTTGGATTTAGCCACAAGGCCCTTTTAGCCATCTCATTGAAATGGGCTTAGCTACAATATCATTTAAGTGACTCATAATGAATTTCGCAAGAAGTCATATAGTTGACTGTGTCGTGAGTAGACTTCGTTAAAGGAATAATCCGATCTTCTTCTTTGCAGCATGTATGCAAAACATGACATCATGATGGACAACGTATAACTAATGAATATGAGACTCATGAATATATGTTGCGTGTAGCATTAGATGGGTAACCTAACGTTGATCCAGAGGACTGAACATGAGTACTTTGAGTGATTTGGTTGACTACATGAACTGATTCAAGAGTTCAAGGAGAATCCTGAGTAGTATACACGTTCTTGCCAAGGTGCCTCGTGCTGTAACCAACATAAGTCCCCTTGATCACTCATTTCAGTAGTCATCAGTCTAGCTCTCAAGATAATATCTATTTAAACATGCCCGTATTGGGTATTCGTCTACTTCCTATCAACATCCACTTTCTATTTACGCAAAGTACCTTTTATACTCACAGCTTACGCACAAGCACGGTAGAATCAACATAAAACCAACTTTAATTCGGCAATTCCCACCATGGACAAAATTCAGAGACTACCTAAGTTCGCTATTATAGGCGTCAATCATCTCGATCAGTTAGTCGAGGCGATTTCAAGACTTGAGTCCGGCATTGTCGACTACCCCTATCGTAAAAATCCCTTGATTCGCGTGGAAGAAGAAGCTGTTCGAGCACATCTTGGAGATATTGTAAGCGCAAAACGTTCTCTCGAAGGCGCTGCGACTGAGGAAGAAAAGAAGTCCCCGGAAGAGAAAAAAGTCAACCCTTACCTCACTAATATGAGAAAGATCAGTCTCGCACTAGCCAAGTTGGAAAATATAAAGAGACGTTTGGAGGAGCTCATGGCATGGAACTTCAGCGTGAAAGCTAGGTACAGTAGGTGATTATGGCAAGTTTTAATGAAGAGAAGAAACCAGTCATTATTCGTGAGAGTTTTTTGTACTCGCAAGCATCAAAAGTTTCACGGCTAAGGGGCGAACATTAGCATATTCATAGGTCCCCTAATTGCATTTATATTCTAAATTTCCCGTTTGAATGAACTTATGTTACATGAATTAGGTAATAGGTATGTTATTCGAGCAGTGACGTACAGAAAGAAATATGTTTGTATTTGATTTATTTAGCAAAGTCCTGATGTTACAAAAGACACATTGGTGTCTAGGTCAGGAGTAAAATTACAGGACGTTCGGTCTTTTCCCTGGGTTTACTGAAACAAAATTCGCATAAGTTAGGTAAACTGCGTATGAGCCAATACTCGAGTAACTCAATGTGATAGCAATCGTTAATATGCAGTGATTCATATATCAATCTAGCATAGTACAAATCACCCAAGTTCTCGATATCTGAAAACTACCCCGTAGATATAGCTAGGTAGTTGTTGTGTCCCTTAAAGACTAATTCAACCCCTCCCCCCCTGAAGAATATTTTACGCTTTATTTCCATTTCTCCTATAGGTTAGGAACATCTAATTTGGTTTATTTATTTAGACATTGTTCTACACATTTCTTTATTAAATACGCAACGGCCAGATGATGGAAGAATGTAACAGTCGGTGCTTGTAGCGCAATAGTACGGCACTAGTTTCGTGGTGAGTAAATTATGATAAAGGCATTCATTCGGTCCTGGGACAGGCTCATTGTCCAGATAGATTGTAACATAGGTGTTGTTCTTCGCATTGTCTTTGTGCTACGGTAATGTGGTGTTTGCCCACCCAAGGTACAATATATAATAGAATCCTGGCCGGATATTTTCCTTCCTACCAACCATCACAATCTTCTAAACAACAATAGTAGTACATTGCAACTCGTATTGCCCACATTTTGCAGAAATCTATTAAAGCGTAACGCAACGTCAATCCCCACCATCATTCGCAATGCGGACTCATATTTCAATTCCGTATTTCGAGATCGAGTACGCCCGGGATATCGATAAGGTTCTAAAGCATCTCTTGCGAGTCGAAGACAGCCTTTCCGAGAGCACCATGGAAGCGCTTATGGATGTTGAACAAGATGAGTATATTGAGGACGATATCCGCGATGCTGGTTGCGTATTGCGTCTACTTTTGAGTATAAAGGACGAGTTTAAGGACGATCCCACCGCATTTAACAAGATCGAAACATCTATTGAGAAGCTACGGTATATCCAAAGAGAACTGCTGAATATACAAATCAGGAACTCCAGATTGAGAAGGGCTTCGAACCAAGGTGGGCATCGTGATAATTCAGATTGCCTATTGGCAGAAAGGCTGTTTTGTACGAACCTTCAGGAGTGAGTATCGGGGCCTCGGGAACCAAAGGAGAGATACATACTATCCACATCTGTATATCAATAGTTTGATTCCCAATATATTTTATTCAACAAAGATACTCTAAGATTCCTAGTCAGGGCATAGTTCAATATATGAACATATGATATGATATTGTTGTGAACGTACGATGTAAAGGACTGTAACTACTGTTAATATACCAGGTGGTTTACCCCTGATGCTGAATAGGTAAATTTGTCTGAATCTAACCCCTATATCTCGTTTACATTTTATCTACAGGGTTGACGGAGTTGAAAGATAGACTTGTATAGTCATTGTATATTGTCATTATAGCTTCTAAACATAAGACTTCGTACTGCTACAGAAAAGTAGAGTTTACATATTTTCCGATATGCCGTAACGTCACCCGGAATGTAACTATAGGAAGTCACATGCGGCAAAGTCTTGATAGACTAAACCTCATAATCACTCTTACTGGACCTTGGTTCGGATGAAAAGCCATTCACCCGAATCTCCATTCCATAACCGAAAGAGTGACGATTATCACAACTGGGAGGTGGATTATTTATCTAATGAATAGGCACAAATTACTTTAAAGTTACTATTATTCACAAATAGCAAATCGCTACGCTATTGGTTATAGGAAGTAGTAGTAAATGAACAAGTAGCCAATCATGCTGTAACCCAAACCAACCTGTTCCTGCGTCATTGGCGTCGACGTTGAGAGAGTCTCGAGTCGATACCCAACGTCGACACCACCATGACCGCAAAGTTTATAAATGGTGCGGAGCGGCAGATAATAACGCAGAGTCCATGCCACGTAAGTGACAACAAGCGAAGAACATGATCCATTCTGTCCTGCGTCCTGCCAATAGGGACGCTTTTAACGAGCATCGCTGCGCATAAGACCCAGTGCGAATAGCGTATTCTATTCGCCCCTCGGCATCATAGGAACCATCGCCGTCTCTGTTGCAGAAAATGTCTTATACACAGCCCAAGCCATATATCTATACTTCAGGAAGAGTAAAAGTCAAAAACGCTCGGCCCAACGCCATGGAAGACCGCCGCGGTAGCGCTGCCGACTCCGGCAGCACCATATCCTTCTACGCTACTCCTGCTCAGAACCCACAAACAACCGCTCGTCCTCAAATATGGATGTTGCGCAGAGACCCAGACCTCGGAAGCGATTGCTTCTCTAAGCGGGACTCTATCGTGATCCGGGACAGCGTCGCATACCCCTCCGAATCGAGCTTCGAAGACACGATCATCAAGGGCACGGCGCAGACGGGTCAGCGGAACCCAAGCAAGCCACAGCTGATCGACCTCGATCATATACGGCGCAAGATGCGGAGCGCAACAACGCGGCGGGGGTCGCAGCGGAGCACCAGGACAGACACATCCACCCTGTCGCTAGGGTGTTGGCTTTCCGACATGCGCCCCCCGGAGCATATTATGCTCAGCCCCATAACTAGCCAGCGAGCTGTAACGGAGATGTACCACGAAAGCCAGAGCGATATCGTACTGCATTCCAGAGTTCGAGCCTCTTCCCTACGGGAACGGGAAACGACGTTGCGATTTCAAAGCGGAACACGAGGCGGGCAATCTAGCGAGACTATTGGGAACACTCCCCACGAGAGCGAGCTATCAGGTTACACCCTGACACAACATGGTCTCCAGCCCAAGCATAGCTTCATGCGCGCGCTGTGTTGTCTGCCATATTGATTTGGGATGCTGGAAGCCCTGGTTGGATTGGTGGCATTGGAGCCGGCGAGCTCCGGAGCGTAAATACACATGCAAATCTAGGGAAGAGAACGATGTAGGTGTAGGCGCTACGAGGCGCTTTATCTTGAAAAGTTAGTTGACGGGCTAGTGTTATTTGTCATGGAAAAGGGGTATTATGTCTACTCTCGAGGGGTGAATGGTGCGACTGTATTTGGTACTCCGAGGCGTAGCCGGGGATAAAAGGGGTCTACGGCGTTGCATTTGATGGTCCTAACCGGCTTTAAATTGAGAAGAAACTAGTAGCAACAATGGAGAAGATGTTATTTCGAGCTTTCCTCTTCTCATACCATCTAGTTTTCCGACCCCGAAGCTGGTTTTTGTCGCCTTTTCGCCCAGTTAACGATAAACTGAATATCTATATCATGTTGCTCCGCCGGCACATACATCCATCTGTTATTTTCTGCACTCCACCCTCTGTTCGGGAGGTAAGCCTCCAACATGTAATAGTTGTCTCTGTGAAATGGAAAGTCAAAGCTCGGCGGTCCGCTCTTCTCTAAGAACAAGTCTGAACCCGACTCCATGTCTTCTTTCGACATGCGGAAACGCCGTCTCTTATTACCCTTGTTCGCAGCGTGACGACTGATGGACCTCGCCGTCGAGTCTAAGTGAGCTTCCAAAAGCCGTGCGTGCCACAGTGGACTACGCAGGGCTTTGCGCACAATAGCCGCGTTAGACTCCATCAGGCTTTGATTCCAAGTCGGATGCTTGCCTCGTGGAATCATGGGAATAGGCTCTCCGATATCTAGGTTTCGCTGCCAGTGAGCGAAGTCGACAATCAAGCATAGCGCCGACCATCGCAATAAGCATGTTAGACAGGTGCATATTTCCGAAGGATTCGGAGATTGGATGTGTTGATAAGGCTTCTTATGGATGACGAGGAGCTCCTGTCGCTCGGGACTTTGAATAACCGCGTGAATACTGGGATTGATATTCTCCATAAGCACAGGCAATCTAAAGCATTTATCCAGGCAGACGTAGCGCCAACTAGTGATAGCTCTTGAAATCCGGTGCTCCTCTTGGACAATGAACTGACGGAGGGCTCTATTAACTCGTTGTAGATTAAAAATATCGCTTGGACGAAGTAGAGCCAATATATCTAATACGAGCTCATAAGGCAAGCTCAAGAGATCTTGCGAATCGCGACTGGGCTTTTTGACTCTCTTTGCCTGCTTTTTCCGAGCCCTCTCAGTACGTTTTGAGCGAAGGGTGAGGGCTTCGGTCTTATCCTCCAGCTCGCCCAATTCTTCATCTTCGGATACCTCAACTTTCCGCATGATGTGCGTTAGCTTCTATGCAAATCCCTTATCCTTCGTTTTTCTGCATGTGGGGGGATGATGATCACGGGATTGAATGTTTATGTGTGTATAGGAGTGTATGAGTGGAAGCTAACCTAGGTTGTTGTGCCTTGATCTTCGGAGTTAGGATATGCCAATTAACGTTATCGCCACAGGTACCCGTTGCTACTAGGTATTCATAAGTCGCATATTTATTAACACAATAAACCCGGTAGTCTCCTATCGCTGGATTACAAATACTTTAAATGAACTGATTTAATTGAGATGTATGATGTATAAGTCTTAGCATCGTTTGATACTAAGTTGTAGTATGTAAGGATAACAAATTGATATACTCCCGAGTGGTATTAAATAAGAAATACCAATCATAAAGCTGACGGGTTTATGATATGAAGCAGTGTAAGAACTACTATCGGAGCTTTGATGTTGGATTGACTCTGTATTACGTAATAGAATGAAAAGGAATGCAAGTAAAGACTGTGTTCTGATTGGTTGTATTAAGGTAAGAGAGGAGGGGTTCCCCCGAGTGGGGAAAGATATCTATTGTACAAACGCGCGGGCTGTGCGCGGGCGGTGTGTGTGGGCATAACTCTGGTCACGTGACGAGGTCACATGACCGTTATCCCAACATTTGAAGAGCTTCGGGTATATAATAATACGCATGCTACAGCCGAGGGGTTGCTTTCAAATATCAATCCTAGTTTCGGGCCCAACGTGAGAAGAGCATTCAAACTTTTTCAAGAACAAACCAATTCTTTCTACTTAACTACAAAGAGCTTTGCAGCTACAGTATCTGCACTATGACTATCTTCCATGTTGTCTTGTTCAAATTCAAGGACCTTGTGTCCCCGGAGGAAGCCAAGGCGGTAGGAAATCCATAATAAATAAAAGCTAACGTATGTTAAGGGACTAACCTTGTGTTTAGGCTTGCGCCAGGATGCTGGCTCTAGGACCGAATTGCATCCATCCCACAACGCAGAAACCCTATGTGAAAGTACATGGTGGGGGGAAAGATAATAGCCTGGAAGGAAAGCAGGTAATATCTCGTATCTCTTTTATGTATATAAGCTTTTTTTCGGCTGACAGTTTTGGTAATACCAAATAGCTTGGAATGACGCACGTATTCGTCTTCGAGTTCGAGTCGGACGAAGACAGGGCTTATTATCTTCAGAAAGACCCAGCTCACATGGAATTTGTTTCGAGTGTTATAAACTTACTCGACAAACTTCAGGCTGTCGATTTTACCCCGGGTGAGTTCTAAGCATTGAGATGGCAGGATGGAAGCTTTGGGGTTTGTGAAAGTCGGGGGAAAGCGGGCGGGTGGAGTCAATAAACGAAATGACGTCGATTTGATTGGCGTCTAGCGAAAAGTGGAAAGGCGCGTACGCTAGAGCCAATTAAGATTAATTATAGCCCTACGTCATCTCCCACTTTACTAGCTTAGCAAAGCTACCTACCTCTACATATGTATGGATTACATACGGGGTCCTGGGGTTTGTAAGGTAGGCAACTACCTAGGTTAGCAGTATGTACAAACGTTCACTACATACAGATACGCAGGAACGGAACAACCAATGTTCATCTATACCTGTACCTATCTACGTGACCTGATTGTAAGGTTCTCTTCTACTACAGACAACAAAAGAATTGCTCATTACTCACCATCATCTCCGATTTATACATCCGTAATTTCACCAATTCAAAAACGAGGAGGTCCGTCTTCATTACCCACCACGGTTAATTAAAACAAAGAAAAAACAGTTTTCTTCTTGATACGGCCCTTGATATCCCCCCACCCTACTTTTCCATCTTCGTAACAAACCACCGTCAGCCCATATTTTCAAATCGTCATCGACCACATCTTAACTTCGCAGCAAGGCGCGCATATAACGCGATACTTAACATCGCATCCGTTGCAATTGACACATTCCATTGGCATATTCTAGCTTAACATATACGAAGATAAGCAAACATGTCGCAGCAGCAGACAGCTCCCATGCTCATCAACATCCCTCCCCCACCATCTAACCCAGACACTCCGAGCGATATGCCGTACGTTTATCAACATCAATCTTCCTCCACGCCAACTACTAACTGGAACAATCTATAGCGGTACTCCTACCAGCACAACTACATCGCTCTCAGCCCTATCAACCACAGCTATCAAGGATGGCCACCGAGGCAACGCCTATCACGGTCTCGCAGGTTTCCGAGGCCACCAACACCAATCATCCACAAATAGCCTCGAAGCCGAGCGCGCAGATCGCATTAGTCGGCTTGCGGGCCTTGAGCGCGTATCCACCCTACGCGCCCCGAACCAGCAGCACAGCGGCAGCCCCAGCCCCGCCCAGATAACCCCCATAACTAGCGCGCAACAGGCAAACGCCCTCACACCCGCGTACTTCGATTCGAACGGGCAGCCGACGGCGATGACTAAGATGAGCACGGTTGGCACTGCGTCCGCGACGGGTAGTGTCGGGGCGCGGACTACTACGGAGGGGGGCGACCGGTTCGACGAGGAAGACGAGGACGAGATGGACGCGGAGCTGACGGAGGTCGATGATGACGGCGATGGCATTAGTATGGATGTGGATAGCACGTCCGGTGCTATGGATGAAGACATGGCGAGCCGTTCGGTTAGTGGCTTTGAGGATCGCATGAGCGACGATGGCACCGCGAGCCTCGTCGGTTTTGGCGAGGGCGCCAACAGCACCGTTAGTGGCCCTATCTATCACAGAAGGCCGCTGCCTGGTGCGGCGGGGATTTGGGGTCTGGAACGCAGTAGCTCGGGACTGAGCCAGGAGGCTATTACAGCTCGAAGTCGAGAGATACGCGACGTGATCGCGAGCGATACCCCTGTCAGTGCGACGGCCGCGGCCGAGACACGGCAGGCGAAGTATGTGGATGGCGTTGCTGTAGATGGCGGCGGACACGTTGGTACATCAGACGATGACGTGTTTGTCGACACTACGACGCGCGGACCTATACCGGTTCAGCCGGGTCAGCCGCGGACAAGCGCTCTTAGAGAAGGCGTAGGCGGTCCCGCGACACGAGAGGCAGCAGAACGTATCGTACGAGACCGTCTCGACGGCGGCGAAGGCGGGCGCGCTCCTATTCTAGGGAACTCGAAGGAGGGAGATAAGTTAGGAAAGTTCTACTTCGAAGAGAAGAAGTAGGGTTGGACGTCAAGATCGTTCGTTACTGATCACGTGGGCTGGACTCTCTGGTTTTGTGTTATTGCTCTTTTATGTCTTGTTATCGCTACTTATGCTATGGAGTTCTATCGGCGTATTAAAGGGGAAATCACCGAATCGACCTAGGTAAGACAGAATGGTGGAAGGTAGAGAGAGGATGGATCAACTTCTACTGGTTGTCTCGCGGAGGAGACATACACACCGTAAGCGAGTGTGTATTAGACTGAGGAAAAAAGTAAAGATGGATGAGATGGAATATCTTGATTAGGGCTAAGTCCTATATGTTGTATTTTATTTGAGTGTTTACTCCTGGTGCGTAGTTGCGTCCTCAACGCAGATTTACTTTTCGATATTATTCGAGGTCATCCAGTTTTATATTTACATGCCTTCTCTATGCAGTACTACCTCCAAGGCCAGTGGCTTTAGGAGTATATAAACCATTCCTATAAACTACATAAATTACTTCTCCCTCCTTATACAATGGTAATATTGACGATCTTCGATAAATCTATATCAACACGTCTTGTACCGAAGTTACCGGCTGCAGTAAAATCTTCCCCATCCATCGCTCCGTGAAAGTAGCACTCACCAACAAACTCATACGTTGACGGCTCTTCATCAGCCTGAGCAGCAGACCCTGAGCTGCTTTCTTCCCCTGCCTCTTCCGATTGCCGAGACTTAGGCCGTAAGACGTACGGGAAGAACCCGCCAATGGCAGCTACGATGATATCTCCTTCACGCGTGCCACTATCCGTGCGCTGGTCGGGGTTCTGCCCTGGCATATCACCTCTTATAGCGCGGGCAAGAATAGGCGCTGTTTCTGGGGACCGCTGGTTCACGTACTGCTGGAATCCCTGCATGAAGAGGTTCTGAAGCGGGTTGCTCATCAACTGACCGAGATTCACCCTCACATCCCCTTCTGCGTCCTTCGGTTCTTTGCCTACTAAGTTGTTGTCGGCGGCTACCACGTCCTCGATGGCAGTCATACCGAACCTGCCGGCCGCAGTCCTAAAGAACCGGCGTCCACACGAATTGCTCAGTAATAAGTCTTCAAAGGGCTTGGCGTTGCCGCATCGAGGCACCAGTGCCGTTAGCTCGGGTGAGCTTTGTATGCGCACCGCGTTCTCGGAAGTCTGCAAATCGACCATGGTGCAGTCTAGAGCTTCTAACATGCTTTCTTCGGCTATTAAGCTATCGAAGTGCACGCCTAGAGAAGACGGCGGCGGCAGTCTGTCCCGCACGGTTGCGCCTGTCCGATCACTCGCGTTGAGGAGGATCGCGCGCCAGAACCGCTCTGTTCTTTGGGCAAGCGTTTCGTTATGGGATGTTTGTGGCGGGAGGTTTTTGAATTCGGTGAAGCACAGACGCCGGAAGTTACCCCCGTTGAACACTACGGGCGAGACGTGCACGATGCGATCTAGCGGTCGCACTTGAAGATGCACGGCATCGTCTTCGGCGGATACAGTGATAGGTTTCCTGAAGCGGCGGGGGACGCCCTCCCACCAGACACGCATGCCCAGATTTGGATTGAAGAAATAGTTGCTTCTGCATTGAGGCGGCGGGGCGCTGTAGTCGGGAACCCAGCTCGGTAGTCCCTTTAAACGTTTTGTACATGGCGGGCGTTCGTTATCCCATAATATAAAATCCTGGCGCTCCAGTATGGAATAACGAGCAACCTCGGTGAATACTTGCTGTGCGGTCTTGGAATGGTCGATCTTTGGTAGAGGTTGCACACCAGCTCCATGATATCTAGTGCGCCTGGACGGCATTGCAATATGCAGGATCGAGAAGACGTTTTCCCTCGGGTCTTTGAAATCGCACCCTCGAGCAGTCTGGATCATGGGTAACAACTCGATAGCCTCGCCCAGCCGCTTCTTACGCGCAGCGACCTCGATCTCGGTGGATATTTGGTACCCTTTGAAAACATGAGGTAGCAACGGGACCTGGAAGAACCTGAGCTGGAAATAGGGCATAGCACGAGTAGCGGCGATGTAGGCATCCCATGGGATGTTGCTTCGACCGCACACGATGATAGGCGCCTTCGCAAGCACGATGTCGGCTATGGATTGTACAGAACACCAGTATTTCGAGCCAAGAATATCGTAAATATTATCCCAATGACGAAAGTTGAAGGAATCCAGATCATTATAAGGGCAACTGAAAAGACGATTCTTGATTCCGGTCATCTGCTGCGGTGTCGCTTGAGACAGCCTCATATCAGGCCCAATTCCAACCTGCCGACAGGCTTCCGAGTAGCGACGCGCCATCTCATGAATAGTTTCAAAAGCCTTAGTCGTAGATTCCCCATTGTCTGGACCCAGCCAACATAACGTCCGCTCTGCGTTGCCTAATACGAACCGCTGTACCTCGGTTTGGGCACTGCGCTCTTCGACAGTACGGCTTACAAGGACATCAGCCCATATGGTACGCTGCCTATCTTTGCGTCTGAACATACGCAACGCACTTTCGAGATGATGAGGAATATCCCGATCCTGTCCATCGATAGAGATGGTCATCGTTTTGTCGGCAGGGGGCGGCGGCGGGGCACAACTTCGTGTGGGCACAGCCGTGACGCCCGAACGATCATAGGAGATACATTCATACGAGGTGTCTTTCAAGGCCGCCTCCGTGAGGGTGAGTTTAATAGGAGCGTCCCAATCAACAGCCGGCTGGATGATAGCAAGCTTAGTTGTTATATCACGAGGGTCTAACAGCGCTGCGAATGGGTTGTTGGTAGCCATGATGTGAGATGTTGAAGTGTATCTTGATCTAGGGGTGATGATAATGATTCTTTTAACAATGCTAGAAACTCTAGATAATATATATCCAGAGTTATAAAGGGATATTCCTAGAAATAGACATGGTTGCCTATTAACTACCTAACCGTTGAAAAGTTGGTTTGTTTAAAGGATTACGTGAATATCCTGCCTAACAGGTTTCTCATTTAAACTAACAACTACCTCCTAACAAGATGTTAGCTGGGCTGTTAGGTTGTTAGGTTGTTAGGTTGTTAGGTTGTTAGGTTGTTAGGTTGTTAGGTTGCTGCTGTTACTTCTTGCGTCTAAGCCGCAATTGGCTAACTAAACCAACCTAGGCCTGTAGCCTAAACCAACCCACTCCAAATCCGTATCTCGCTAATATCATTATTGTTAGTTACAGTAATAAGTTAGAGTAATAAATCACGAAGATATAAGTTTTAAGTAGCTTGATTAGTTTAATTCGTATCACAACTTGCCTTAAAGCCCCCACCAAATATCGATGTTCTATAATCAGTACGTACGCTGAGCCGAAAGAGCGTCTTAACCGATGCCAACGCAAAAACCAGAACATTATAACGAATTCAAAAACTCTCAATTTTCATGCTCTCTTAAAATAAAACTATACAATTACTATTAATACACGATCCTACCACTTAAGCGTGAATGGCTATTTGGACCTGAGGATAGACTTGGACCATCGACTGATACAGCTCGGGATGATTCTGCATCAACACTTGTGGCTCCCACGCGGTCGCCACGAATATCGTATCAATGCCGCTGCTGATCGGCGTGGTGAAGATGTTGCAGATCTGCAAACCGATGAGGAACGCAAAAGCCACCACAACTATATATACCAGTTTAGTATATGTTCAAGAGCGATGCCATACAAGCTGTATGACTTACCAGGTGTATATGAGCCGTCAGCATTGTATGATGGATGCGTGAATAACTGATACTGTGAGCAAGTGTTATCGTAAAACCAACTTCAAGAGGGAATCTTACAAGATATAGATAAGCGAGCAAGCTGGTCGCATAGCCTACAAATGTCGCGCCCATCGAAAGGACAGGACCGATGAGACATTCATTGATAAGAGCATCGATGCCGCGCTGCTTAATCATGCTCCATGTGTCTTTGGCAGCGGCGAAGTAAGACTTCCCGTACAAGGCAATATAAGAAAAGGCATAGCGATTGAGGAACTGAACCGCCCAATCAAGGATCCCAATAATACACCCAAGAATACAGAACATGATAGTTCCAAGAATGTTGCCTTGGGCGGCCTCATTATGTCGAGCAACAGAGCAAAGCTGTCTCAGAAAATTGATGATAGCAACGAGCAAGGAACCCAGGGATATGGAACCGAAGCTATACGTAAGTGCGCGTTTAAGACTGCCTCGGGTTGCGCCTTTAGGAAGGTTGTACGGGTGAAAGTACCAAGAACCGTAAACGCCCGAGATGGTGGTATGAATGGTATTTTTCAGCCACTCCGAAATCCAGTACATTGCAAACGTAATAAAAACAAGCAAGCCGGTAACCTTAGCGGAGCTGCAGCCGCCGGCTCCCTCTGCGCAAGCAGGGTTTTGGCCGGGCGAGAATTTCGCATACACGGCGACGAAGGTCACAGAGTACCATGCAGCAAGAGCAGTTCCGCAAAGACCACCCAGTGCGCTAACCAGATAAACATGGCCGTAACTTTTGGAGACATCAACAGCTGTCTTGAGCATAAGAGCGCTGAAGGGAATGCGCGGAATCCAAGACTACGTCAACTGGTAAGTAAAATACAATCAAGAGTAGTGACGATGAACTTACGATAAAGGCGAAGATGAGGAAGGCTACGAAGATCAGATATACTATGCCACCGGAGTAGTAGTGCCGGGAAAGCATATATATAGCAGTCACGAGGCCGAAGACAATATTGAGAATGCCACTATATTTACCCGTTTTAGTCTCATCCCTTTTTGAAGCTTCGGGAGTTGATACTTACGTTATCCAGATGAACTGCTTGGGGAATTGGCGGGCGAGTAGGACGTATAGGTAACTAAATACGGTGGCGACACAAAGGCAAAAGACAAACAGAATAAGCGTATTCGTATTAAGACCGACGTTCGATCCAGAGTCATAGATGCCATCGCCTTGGAAGCGTTTCGAGGAAGCTATGGTCTGATCAGTCCGGAGAGAATACAACGGCTGGTATCACGGGGGAGCATGGTATTCACTAACCGTAGCCATTGATGGAAATCCCGGAGACAGCAACATAACCCGCGACAACAATGAGGAACTAGCAAGTAATAATTAGAGACACTTTAGGTATACTGGAGCGAATATCACGTACGAGAATGCCAGCCCAAATATCATTGTACTTGGGACGCTCAAGCTTGAAGGCTTGGTCGAACATGGGCTTCTCGTTACCGTAGCCATTCGTCGGGTTCGGACCCGGAGCTGGGGGACCCTGCTGAGCATATTGAGGCTGCTGGTACTGATTGGGCGGCTGTTGTGTATTGTAGTAGTAAGAAGCAGCCTCGCCGTGCTCCTGATTGTTCGCCATCGTAAGACGCGACGTTCAGTCTGTCGCCTGGGCTGGGCAGCTATAGCCTAATTACAACGGAGCCTAATTACAACGGAGTAGTTTGACAGTCCACCGTAAAGAAACAATTTCTACAGAGGTAAAGCTGTTGTTGTTGGCGTCGGAGTAAAAACGACAAAGAAATGTAGTCGTAGGAATGAGAATGCCGGATATCCAGCAAAGGAGGTACCTAACATAAGATTGACATCACAAACGCGCTAGCATAAAGCTTATGAAAGCTCATTTCAGTAGTGCCAAGATGGTAACAGCTAATTTTCGCTTCCAAACTCTAGAGTGTGACCAGGCTTTTCCGTTTCTTAGCAAGTTCGACATTGCAGTCTTTCATTGGTGCCTTTTTGAGTCAATGGCGTCACGAACATCCCACCGAAACAACAAGATGCGGACACACCAAACAATCGTGCAACTCATTGTTATGTTTTGTATTACGAGGACATGGTAAACTATTAAATCTTAAGAATAGTACATACAAGAGAGTATTACAGGCTTGAGTTTCTGTCGCGGATGCTTTTATGAACTTTATGTGAGACTTACAACCCGCTGGTAACAAGTGCAGCAACGTGATATGTAAAATATTTACTCTCCCCTTTTGCCATTTGTATGGTAACTTCCGGCTGGTTCGTTGATACTGCAGTCATGATGGCGGATCTCTCGATAGGACCCTCAACGATTGGAGAGACAACTGTCAAACATGGCTCGTTGCTTAGAAATTTCAACGGAAAGGCTAAGCAGTTAGGCTGATAATCTCAATAGAATACGGAGCTCCATAGGGATATTTGATCTCGTGATTGTGAGAAAGCGCATAGCAGAATTAATCTGGTCTATACATTTTTATTATCATATATAAGGCTCCCGTGTATTAGTGTCATGCTGAGTTCCGAAGGCTGTCTGAATCGTATTAGAACATATGTTCTATACCCCTGTTCCCTAAGGGGTAAGAAGTCATAACCCTAGCTCGGCGCTTATACCACTGAGCGCGAGTATCCAGCTTCATACAATCAAGCAATCGATCTTGAAGCCTTGCAATTGCATCAGCCAGTGGCCGTTGACCTTTTGATCCAGCGTGCTGATTAACTTCCCGCCTAGAGCATTTTCATCTGTCGCCAACTCCCCAGGCGCTAATGAACTATCTCTCATCCGCCATATTTCCACCAGAGTTTCCATGGTGGATGTCAGCATCCCCCAAGGACAGACGTCCCTCATGTCACGTAGTCGATCTATCACCCATGTCCTACGAGACTCGTCCGCCGTTTCGACACCGGTAAGGAATATAGGCCAGGTAGCGAATTTAAATAGGGGAGTATGAGACGGGATGAAGGAAAGGTGATGTAAAATTGTGGTAGCTAGGTCAGCGGTACTAGGCTGGGAAGGAAAGAATTTACCCTCGCGGTAGGGATTTTGGTGTGGTACTTCTGGAGCAACTAGGAGGATATATAAGAAGACCGCAGCGCGGTAAGTATCAGCGATGTGTCTTCGATAGTGCAGTTCAGTTTCGTCTGCATAACCGACAACTGCTGCAATCTGCGTACAGACTTTAACAGCCCACGCGTCGCTATCAAAAGCTTGAACCTCGTCTAAAAGTGCAAGACAAGATTGTATCTGCTTGCCACTCAAAACACTGGCCTCGTTTGATCTTATGTTCCTCGCTAGCTGCGATGTCCGATAAATGGCGTACAGTAAACTGGAAGGGCAGCTATGATAACTGTTGGCCTCGGTGCGGAGGAGGATATGAAAGATTTCAATGTCATCTCCATCAAATGCCGGGGGTACTGTTACGAAGTTATTGCTAGATGATACAAGGGAGTCAAGTGCACTACTCCAGATATAATAAGCTATGGAGTCTGAAGCAATGTAATCACGAATGCCTAGGGACTGGGAAGACGTCGCAGGATGATGAGCGAATGGTAACGGAACAACCGCATCATACGCCGTAAAATTCGAACTAGAGCCAGAATCTTCTTCCAGCGTTTTTGGTCCCAATTCAATTAGTTTTGAAGGATTAGATGTCTGCATGCGAAGGAGTGTACCGACGAAGTTCATATGAGCTCGCCAGCCACCCTTCCCCGAATCAACTAGCGCAAAGTTGACGAAAAAGAGCACAGCAGCAAGCAGCGCGTCTCTACCTGCATCGTCGTTCTCAACGTGGCCCTGGACCTTATGATGCTCTATGACCTCTTGTAGAGATTTGATAGCTCTATGCCGCGCACGTAAAGCGTCTGCTAGGGAGTCGGCCGCGTGCCACGGGCTTTTGTGCCATCGCGCACCATTGCAGAAGTGTAATGCGGATGCCGCAATGATGATTTCCCGTAGAAAGGGGTACTTGTGAGATATAGGAACTAGATCTCTAAACGGGTTGGCGCCGCGACGGGGCGAATCATAAATAATGAGATCTTGACAGAAACGGGCGGTGTCTAGATATCATTAGGCCGGCGGTGAACAGCAGTGGGGATATATTGGAATGAGACTCACAATAATTAAGATAATGTCGTGATGATGTGTTTAGGTCTTGGAACAGTGGATCTAATAATGTGAAAGTGGGAGAACAGAGTCTAGTATTTTGAGGGAATACCACACGTTGGTCATCGTATACTGGAATATCCGGTTGGGATCTGATATGCTCCCGAGTTTTGGAGGTGGAGTAGACCGAAGGCTGTGCCGATATTCGGTCTCCCGACGTCTTACTGTCAACCCATTTATACAACTTTCCGTATCCAAGGCATTTTTGTCCGGTGCTTGAACATTTATGGCACACGGGGACAGATCGGTCACATCGTAAGCGTCGGCTACGGCAGTTGTGGCAAGCCTTTGGCGCAACCATGAGGTATTCAAGGCGCCGAAGCTGTCAAAGAGACGTGAGCAACGGTACTTGAAGTAATAATAGATAATAGTGATTGTTTAAATGAATATCGGATGTTACTAAATCAAGGGTTGTAGATCTGACGGGGATCTGTAGCTTGCTTCAAGGTCTAAGTGCCGTCTTGAATAATAGCCTCCCGTTGATCTTGTCAACTCACATCACATGTATGTTCTCTGGCATCTGACACTCCCTTGCTGAGAAATCGGGCTTTTAACGACTTTCCGGAGTTATGTAATAAAGCAAATAAGAAACCGACGATGCTTGGCCAATGAAGAGTATTTGGGTTATTTTCATTACAACACGATTTGTAAAAAGTTCTTTAGCAGGTGGGGTCAACGGGGCGACGTTTAAGCTTTACATAGCATCATGTCTGCATGTACAATTTATTTAACCTATCGGCCTATTCCCTAAAGGGTAGCCAAGACTCAAGTTGTGCATCGTCGGGTCCAGTATAATGTTCTCTTAGTTTCCGCTTTACTAATATCAACCAATCACAAGTTTCAATACGCCGGAAATGGTACCCGGAGTTCTTGTTAACATCCACATCTTCGATTGCATAATTTGATGGGATTCCCAATATAGTAGCCAAGATTCACCTCTCGCAGGCTCGACGTTGACACTAACAAGACGGTGACTGAATCTTTTCTAAGTCTTTCCTTAGGTGACCGCTACATAACCACTTAACATGTCTCTTCTACTAGTATTTAGTAATAGTATTCGGTGGAATAAGTTCGAGAGATTCCCTCCCTAACTTAACTTATTACTCTTTAACTCGCTCAATACTACCTAGTCTAATCCAGCGAAAACGTTGCCCTCGATATAGTAGGATACGCTATGGCCGGGTTAATAGAGGCTAATAATGGGATATTCGATTCAACCCCCGGGACCCCCAGGACCCCTGAAGATGGGAACTGTGAAGCCTTGAGCAAAGTCGATATTGAGCGTCTCGGCCGTCAGCGACCAGAAACTCTTGCCAACTGGGCCGCCGAGGCCGGCTTCGTTTTCGCCGTCGTCGCATCGCTATGTATGAGCGAGTACTTCATCAGCGGCTTCAACATCGTCTTGCCCGCATTAGCAGACGCCTTAGATATTCCCGAGTCACAACGAACATGGCCGGCTGGCGTGATAAACTTAACCACTGCCGCCCTACTTCTACCGTTTGCTCGACTTTGTGCTATATACGGCGGCAGGAGTGTGTTTTTAGGCGGCCACGTTTGGCTCCTGATCTGGTCTATCGTCTGTGGCTTCAGCAAAAACGCTACCATGCTAATAGCAAGCCGTGCGATGCAGGGCATAGGCGCTTCTGCATTTCTTCCAGCGGGTCTTGCTCTTCTTGGTCAGACGTATCGGCCAGGTCCTCGTAAAAACCTAATTTTCAGTTTCTACGGTGCATCCGCCTGTGTAGGGTTCTATTTCGGTATTATCATCGGCGCCCTTACCGGACAGCTAGCTGACTGGACCGTCTACTTCTGGGTCGGCTCTGCGCTCGTGTTCGCTGTCATCGTTACCGGCTTCTTTACCATCCCCCGAAACCTTGGCCACGATGACCCGGACGTGCGTATGGATTGGTGGGGAGTGTGTACAATTGTACCAGGATTGGCACTTGTCGTCTACGCGCTTACGGATGGCGGAAATGCGCCGGATAGCTGGCGTACGCCTTATATCTACGTATCCTTCATAGTGGGCGCTCTCTTGCTCTGCGCAGCGGTGTACGTTCAAGGCTGGGTTTCGGCGCAGCCGTTGCTCCCAGCTGACATATTCCGACCGAAGTATATGAAGCGTGTCTCTGCCTTCATATTCTGCGGGTTCGGGGTGTTTTCGATATTTTTGTTCTATGCTAGCTTTTAGTAAGTTATTACAGACTATCTATTTTATTGGTACATACTAATCATCGGAATCAGTATCGAGGAAGTTCTTGGCGCAACCCCCATACAGACTGCCGTGTGGTTTATACCACTGGCTCTAGGTGGTTTCATACTTGCAATTACAGGAGGGTTTGTTTTACATATACTTCCGGGGCATATCTTGTTGATCGTTTCTGGTATTGGTTACGTGCTCTGTGTGTTGCTATTCCCCTTCATACCTACGCAAGATGGATTAAGTGGGATGTCAACCAGTCATCTTTATTGGTCTTACATATTTCCTTCGATGATATGCGGCACAGTTGGCATCGACATTACATATAATGTGACCAACGTCTTCGTCACAACATCCATGGCCCGACGCCATCAAGCTACTGCTGCTGGACTCATCACGAGTCTCGGATATCTCGGTATGGCATTTTGGCTCGGTGTCTCGGAGCTGGCTATCTCAACTTGGGCTCGATCTCATATATCAGAGAACCCTGATCTTCGTGAAAGATATCAAGTTGGGTTCTGGACGGGCGTCGGGGTGGCAGGTCTCACTCTATGCTGTGCCGCGACTGCGAGGATCGGCCGAGCGTCGGCCGAATTAACAGCAGACGAGAAATATGAATTAGAGCACAATGCCGCCTAGAAGTAGGTTAAATAACGATTATATGACTTAGGTACACAAGGACACTATGATAGAAGGATACACTGTATTACGGAATAGTTTGCGCATGGATGCTTTGAAAATTACGAATATTTCGGTATGCTGGTTAATTCAATAATATATTATTATTCGGTTAGATTAAATTCAATATCATTTAACCGTAACTTTGACGAACTCGAATTCTCTTATCTGCTGACCTAAAAAAAACCACCCCCACGTGTTCTTGTGTTCTTCGTTGTCTTCGTTGCTCTTCGTTGCTCTTTGTGACAACATCTAATATTGCTGTTGTCAACTACCTAACCTACCTAGTTACCTGCCTCTCTACCTTTGCCTCTATCTATTTCTTATTGATTTAGGTAGTAATATGGATACTATAAATGACGATTTAGGCCCCCCAATATCAGAGACGCGTCGTCGCGTGTATCCAAAGCCGTCCATCGTGCCGCTTCTGGTTTTGTTGCTATTGGTCAATCTTGGAACTACTCTTTATCAACTACCGCTAAATCGGGTCATCGAGAAGCGTCTCTGTCGGGAATACTATATCATTCATGACCCCTCTATCATCGATCCTGGTGGAAACATCAGCGAGAGGTATTGCAAGAAAGATGCTATCCAACAGAGCCTAGCTTGGACAACTGGGACTATGGAGACGTTGTGGATTGTCGGAGGCGAGTTAAATACCGTAGATTAGATTACTTCAGTATAAACGACTAACACATACGATAGACTTTGTTATGACTATTCCTTTGGGGTTCGTAGCTGAGAAGTACGGCCGAAGGACCGTCCTCTGGCTCAACCTTATACCGAGGCTCTTTATGCTTGCCTGGGCCGTGGTAGTCGGCTATTTTGAAGAGAGTCTGCCTCTGAAAGCCATTGTTGCTGGCCCAAGTCTTTCCGTCTTCGGCGGTGACTGCGTTTTTAATTCCATCATATATGCTCTTGCAGCTAGCTTAACAGAAGACAATGTCGCCAGGTACGAGTTCTACCGATATATAGACCCCCGCCGAAGCGCTAATAATGGGAATATAGGGCAACTTATTTCAGCTGGATTAACGCTGTATCATATGTAGTTACATTTGTTGGCCCCGGATTTGCTGGCGCAACTATGACCTTGAACCTATTCCTACCATTTTTAATCGGTATCTGCCTATTGCTATTGGCCATTCCCACAGTATCACTTCTGGCAGATCCGGCACATATCCCAACGGCATCAGAAGATGAGCAACGGCAGCCTCTCATATCATCACCCATATTAAAGGCTCAAGAAACAGATACATACATCCTAAAACCCGTTGTTGAGCGCATTCGTACTCTCTTTTATATTGTTAAAAGTCACCCAATGAACCTCATTCTCTTGCTAGTTGGCTTTTTTCTCACTTCCCTTGCAAGCTCCGACACCAAACTTTTACCCCAATATATATCAAAGAGATATGATTGGAGTTTTGCTAAAGCTGGCTACCTCTTATCCGCGAAGGCTATTGTAAATTTTACGCTCCTAACCTTCGTAATCCCGGGCATTCTAAGGTCTAAAGCCTCTGTTAATCAGCCCCAATCTCAGTCTCTTTCCGATAGACACAATGTTCGCTATGCTCGAATCTGCTTAGTCGTCTCTGTCTTGGGGGCGTTGGCGATTTCTTCTGCAGTTACAATTTGGCTCTTATTTCCATCTCTTCTATTATACGCACTCGGATCCGCGTTGCCCGTCTTTACGATGGGTTTATTGAAATCTCGATCGGTGTCACCAAAGGATGAAGATCAGCCGGCAAACCCAACCGAACCCGAAACGCACATATTCTCTATCGTCATGATGGTGAAAACTCTTGGCTCTCTGGTAGGGGCACCTTTAATGGCAACATTATGGGTTCGAGGTATTGGGACGGGCGTTCTTGGTATCCCATATTTAGTGAGCGCAGCATTGTACCTTACCGCAATCACTGTCTTTGCTGGCATTAGAGTGTTATGAATATTACATACAATACAGTGAATAAAAAGAGCACAATATCTATTAAGAAATTAACATAGAAACGAGAGCAACAGCTTAGGAAAGCATACAATACCATGGATTTCCTAGTTGCCACTTTAGGATCTGACAAGCTCAACACTTTCCAACATAACAATAGGCCATTCACTCTGCAACCCGTGTTTTACTAACCCTTACTTCCGCCAAGTGCTATCTATTAACGATTGGGGAAGAGCTTATATGCCAGGTACAGTTTTAATATACCCAGCATATCATATTGAGCAGTTCATCTTGTTTTACCTACACAGGATATCCGAGCTTGCGAATCACGTCCAAGATTTCAATAGCAGACGCTGGTTCAACCGGTTGTTCCCATTCCTCGCCGTTTCGCGCCCTATACTCCTTTGTTTGCCAGTACTGCAATGGACTTTGCTCTGGTATCCTATATACCTCACCGCCGATCCTACGAGCATAGGAGCTATCCCAGTTTATCGATGGAAGCCATATTGCAGAATCTCTAAGGTTTCCCTCTTTTGTCCATGGCAACTCGACGCATTTTTCTCTGGCTGGTACGTAACCCCGTTGTCGCCATTTCATTCCCGCTATTGGAAGTTGATCGCCAACAAATATCTCCTCCAAGAGTTGCCAGATGCGCCGACGATTATGTAGACCTCTAGGTACATGTCCGAGGATATTGTGGTAGCCAGTACAGGCCCATATGTCTTCATGGTATTTGAACCCTTCGCGTCTAGAGCTGGAGGCGAAAACGTCAATATTGTTTGGGACATCGAGGCGAATACCCCCATCCACGCTACAAGTTAACTTCCGGGCAAGGAGTTCCCAATTCCATTCGAAATCCTGGCCTCCTGGGCAAGGCTCGTTTGTTTTGTGATCTATTTTTTGGGTGTCTATATCCCATAGCCAAGGCAGAAGCCCCTTGCCGGCCAACATGAACTCATTCTTCCAAATATACTGTGGCAGTATATTGTTTACTTTAAGTGGTAAGTCTCTAAAGGACCGCAAGTGTGACAGGATGATCTGAAAGATGTCTTCAGGCAGAGCCATAAGCCGGGCTCGGAGGTTATGAGCCTCGTCTTCGACTACGCCACGTCGGACCGGTTCCAGATTTGATAGAAGCGTATCAGTGATATTATCAATCTTGATTGGATCGCTTAAGAATGTCTGATAATGTATTTATATGAGCAAGTGGGTTTTAATGACTCTCAGGCGGGTATTACAACTCACATATAAAATATTGAATTTTTCATCTTGCGTCGGTCCAGGCCACTGAGCTTTAGTGTGTTTTTCTTCACAATAATAGTAATCATCACCTATTTCCCAGAAATCGTCATTCGGCCGGTACCAAGACGTTGGCCCCAGAGTATAATTCGCCGCGAGCGAAGCTGCGCCGAATGTATGCGAGACAGCGTGTCTCCAACGCAGGGCAAGGAACAAGCTACGCATGCTACCAACATACCTATTTGAAGAGTTTTCTATAACTCTTTTAGCCATATTAAGACAGACAGAATGTATAGGTATGTACGAGCGCCCATCAAATGTTTCAAAGTCCCAATTGTGAATGTTCACTTTACTCCAAGTTCCACCTGGCACGAAGAAGGAAAATAATGGACCGCCTAAATGTTCCGCCAAATACTCGCTAATTTCCGATTGCTTAGCGAAAGGTTGAAGCAGACGTAAGGATGACGGGTGAGTTTGAGGATGCGAGACGCCCTGGTCACTGAGATTCTCATAAGTGAAAGATGGTATAAGCTGCCCCATTTCATCATCCGGGTCGCAGAGCAATGTAACGTCGCCTAACCATTGCTCATACATTGCCAACATTATCAAGGCGTCGTCGTTATTAAATTCTGGTGGAATAGGGGCGATTCGGTCTTCTATGATCCAACTGTCATCACCAGCGCTTCGGAGGGGAAGCCCACAAACAGGACATTCATGTTCGTGGTTACCCCAAACGTTTCTCTCCATTAGTCTGAAGGTGGAAGCAAAAGACCGCTGGTTAAATATAGATTATGTTTAATTTCTAGTGGTGTTGATAATTCAGTTGGAATTTGCAAGATTTCACTAATTGCACCTTTCCAAGAAATTGAGGGGTAATAAATACCTGAAAAGACCAGCATGCTAGACTATTATGTATTAAGATCCCTGTTCAAGTTAGGTACCTAATATGAAGATCCAAAGACATGCACTTGTTTTATGCGGTAATTTGCAATTGGTATCCCTCTTAATCATCAATCCCTTGTTTTTTTCAAAGATAACATTACTCGTACTGTCTTCATACATTCGACGCATCCTGACGGTATTTTCCAACTTTCATCCATTTTTACATTATTTTCATAATTTCTTTTCTTTTTTAGGATTTTAATAAACGTGGGAATAGCTTCTTATTTGCTCCAACCCTTACAACGCTATCCCCAATCCAAGGATTAATTCTTAATTAAAACACAGCACCCGTTAGGGTGCGGCGAGCTTGCGTAGACAGTACAAGTATATCTATTATAGAAAACCCCCAAACTTGACGTCCACCCACCACAAGTTTCTTCTAAACATGTCGTTTTCACCGACTGCTATTAACGCTGTAATACATTTCATTACTTGTTTCTTCACATCACCTAACCATGATTAATATATTCACCGACCATCATTCTTCATCACATGGTAAATGCCACCCAAGTTCCTGTAATAGCTTCTACATTTCTATCACCGACGATTCTGACAACTTACAGCAATAAAAGTTTGCGATGTACTTAATGGCACATTAGGTACCTCAAGTCGACGCAATCTGAAAGAATGGAGCATAATCTTGGTTTTGCGAATGTGGAAGCAAAAGAAGTCGCAAACTCGAGTACGAGATAGCCATTAGGGTAAAGTTATTATGAAATCATCAATTTATATCTGAGGGATTAGCTAGAAAGTATTTGATTACACAGAATTCTTGACAGATTCTATCTATTAACATCTAATAAAGTGAGAGTTTTATATTTCAGTTTCAATCTGTTGTAATTTATAAACAAGCTACGCTATTGATCTTACAGAAAATCCATTGTCGGGATTTAGTTGACAATGATTCAACTCCTATTCTTTTTTTCTTCCTTACATCCTTACTACTCCTTGTATGTCTATACTTCATCCAGATTGTATTACTCCTCAGAAACTAAAACTCTATCGGATACCCAAACAGGAACTCCATAATTTTCTTTTCTTGTTCATTAGTTGGTATGATCCCTAAGAACTAAACTCGGTATAGTACTGCATATTTACTTTTACTGAAATCTAAACCTGTCTTAGATTAGGTACACATATAGGTCTCTTGCTTAATTCCAGGCAAGTTGGGAGCTTCCGTCAGGGGGCGGAAGAATGTTAACTTCAATATAGTTATCACAGTCAGTATCATCAATAAGTCTGATTGTAGTCGTTTGATTTGTCGGTTCAGCTTCGAATTCGGATCCAGGGTCAGAAGCTTCTGAATCTGCAAATAATTCTGAATCAACGCCGTAATTGGGCATCATTTGGTTTGTTGGTTCAACTTCGAATTCGGATGATTCATCTTCAAATTCAGATCCAGATCCAGAGTCGCAAGCTTCTGAATCTGTAGATGACTCCGAGTCAACGCAGTAATTAGGCTTTGTAGTTCTGGGACGTAATTTATATCGGGGCGCCGCGAGTTCCGTCTCAGTTGCCAATAAACTTGACTTTGCCGAATTGGCCTTTCGCGATCTAACTTTCGGCGAAGTCGCCTTCGTTACCTTCCACTTGCGGCAATCATCAAGCCAATTAGACCTCTTCCGAGCCGCCTTGAGCGATTTCAAGATTTCGAATACCATGTCCCTATTTAAACCCCTATCCTTATGAACTTCAAATACTGCGCAATCTTCAGGACTCGGCTCCTTCTCGTAAAGCGACGTATCCTTATAGTCACAAGAACGCCTTGCACACGCTGTGTTGGTAGTAGGAAGCACCATAATGCCATACGATGCTAGATAGAAATTACCCCCTGTGGTAGTATCGTCGGGGGCCTTGACGGTGCAAGCGACAATCCAAGAGTTATCGTTCACCTCTGTATGTGTATGCTGCGCATAATACCGAGCCGCCATTCCCGATAGTGGGGGTAGTTCTAAACCGTCCTCGCCTGTGTCGAACGTGATGTCTTCACCACCTACCTTAAACGTGAAAGTTTCGCCGTCCTTCAACATTTCCATCGGAGGGAAGCCGATATCGTGGATAGTATCATTGTAATTAGCAGTAACCTCAGGGGGGAACCGAGACTTCATCAAGTTCCATACAATCCCAGCCACGCCCTGTGCCGCATCATTCAGCTCGGTCTCCTCGTTTATTTCCTCATCCGTATTTAACTTTATACAAGACGCAGCCAGTCGAACCTGGGCATCGTTTTGTGTGCCACAAGTATAGCCAATGTGGTGGAACATCTCTGGGTCTTCGTGATTGTCATCCTGGTGACTCTTGATAATTTCCCGGCACACTCTCATCATTATCTGTCGAAGGTCTCCGTCAGGTATAAAATCGCGAAGAACTACGAGAACGGTTTCTTTAGTTTCAATGTCGCGGAATATAACGCTCTCCTCTTGCGGCACAATATACTTAAGAGAGTCAAGGTCCACAGTTTTCTCGTAGAATCCTTCATTATACAAAGGGTCCGTCGGTGAATTATCTGCCCAATATTCCTGACATGGGTGCCATTCCTCGGGAGTTCCTATGGAGGAAGGATCAGTTGGCGGGTATGGCGATCCGAGTTTGGGTAGCTCGACTACCTTAATCTCGGCAAGGAACTCATCTCTCTGGCTTGTCGACCAGTTTAGACCTAGATCGTCTATAAGCTGCCTATTAGCCATAGCGTCTACCTTTCTCTGAGAGAAAATAGTTCGTTTAAGTTGTATCGAGTTTTAATATACTTCGAATTTGAACGAAGATGGAGCAGTAAATTTCGAGAACCTAAAGTCAATTAGTTAGTAGTGTAGATTATCTTGTAAAACTTATTCGTTTAACAACACCCTGATAGAACCGACGTATTTATATAACCAATTATAGAGGCATGTCTAGGTAGACAAGATCATTGTACTTAACCACAATGGTTTTGGTTTCTTTTCAGATCTATATTTCTTTACCCTTAGTATGACAAAGCCCGAGACAGAGGCCATTGACAACGAACAATTACATTGTTTTTAGGACAAGCAATATCCTGTACGATTGTTAGTATACGTTGTCGGCCATACTTGTGATGAATGAAAAAATGAACACAAACCTCCTAATGCCTTCTCGAAGAGCATCCTCCGGGAAAGAATACACGAGGCGGAACCCACCAGGCTTCGGGGCGTGGTACTGCCCCCCTGTTGACATTGTAACGCCTACCTTCTCAAAACGTTGAGAAAGTAAAATTTCAGCTTCCCATCCATCCCCATTAGTCTCCCCTAGTGGTAAGAAGGGGGCTAAGTCAAGCCATATAAAAAGACCGGCATTCCTAAGTCCTTGTTAGACTAATAAAGCTATTTGAATTCTATACTTGGACCATGATTTTACATACCCCTTCTTATGAAAACCTACACCTGCCTGGTTAAGGAGATCTTCGGCTATCAGACGATTCTGAAGCAACAGGTTTTGCGACTTCTCAAGGAATTTTGTCACATACGCTTGATCGTCAAGAAACTTGGCAGCGAGGTCCATTGAAAATTGGGAGGGCGAGGAGAAACAACTAGTGCCGACATAAGCATAGCATGTCAGGATTTGTGAACGATGATACCATACCCTATAGCGCGAGCTGCTTTAGTGAATTCCTTGTTCCGAGATATAAGGCAACCTAGTCGCATTCCAGCAGCGCCGAAGTCCTAGCTGTAACGTCAGAATTCTGTCATGTCGAATGCGAAAAATACATGTATACTTACTTTCGACATGCCGTAAAGCACATGGACCTGAGCAGGATCAATAATTCCACTAGGGTCGATGGACAGTACAGAAGTGAATTCCTCAGACGGACCGTCATTTCGACGGAAGACTGATAGGGCGTATATTTCATCGCTTATTAGATGAATTCCTTTTGATGCACATAAATGCATAAGCCCAACCAGTGTCTCGCGAGCATAGCATCGTCCTATACAAGATATGAGCTGTATGTTATCGTTTAGAAACCAAGTTTCTCACCTACCTATAGGATTATGAGGGTTACAGAGTAACAGCGCTTTGATATTAACACCGCGTGTTTTCGCGGCTTCGAAGCCCGCCTCATAGGCTGCGACGCAATCTGGGGAGAACTGTTCCGTGTCCCCAACATCTACGTACTCTAGGATTGCGCTTCAAAAGCATAAGCGTCAGATTTGGAAGCGAGAGAGTTGTAGAAATGGTACCTACCCAGTTCTCATGGTCAAGTCCCTAGAGAAGGCTCCATAGACAGGCCCGCCAAGTAGGATGCCCTCCTGATTATCAGGATTGCAGGTGAGTAGTGCGCTAGTTTCGTTCAAAGCCGTTACTCCAGCCGCAAAGGTGATTTCCTCCGGGTCGATTTCGTAGGCTGGTTTGAAGTGCGCGTTCAAGTGTTTTGCCATGGCAGCTCGCAGCCGTACCGTACCGGTATATCCTTCGCCATATGCGCATAGTTGCGGATCGAATTGGTTCTAGGCACATAATTCTTATAAATATTTAGTTGAAAGCTTAATAGGCAAGCGTCTTACATGAGAATTGATGAACTCGGTCAAGTCTTGGTGCATAAGCCACTAGATGCTGTATCAGTGCATCCACTATAGAAATGATCTATCCGTTACCGACTTACGTTTTCGGCAAACAAGAAGTTCACAGGTCCGGTTGGATTATTCGAGGCATGATAGTTGTTTAAGTTACCGTGGGCGAAGTAGAAATTCGCCCAACCTTTTCCTCTTGTAGATATCATTGTGGAGATACAAGAACAGTATCAAGTAACATAATTGCAAAATGAGGCTCATATGATAGGCTTTGAATAGTGAACCGATGTTGTTTGATGTTATAACTTTTATAATATCGGTAGATGGTGATGTTAAATATAGGTAGTTTACAAGAAAGATTATAGATGTCCGTTTTGAGGCGAGCACGGAGAGCTGAAGCGGGCTTCGGCTTGTGATGCCGGCGCCCTTCGAGTGGATCCTATATTTGATTGGTTCTCGGTTGTCAATGATTATTAGAGTCTATTACCTAGACATCGGAAGTTTTAGGTATTTATCTATAATGTTGAAACTTTGATATCGATGTGTTAGAAAAGCATTACCGGCTATAAATAGAATGAGGCTCAACGGTAGGGGGTCAGGTACTTGGGTAATTATGTACCCTGGAATTACACGAACATCAATTGCACAATAATGAAAGGAGATGGATTGAAACGCACCATTCACTATACTATTTCTCTTTCTCTTAAGAAGTTTAGATTCATTAGAAGGAGACATCATGCAGATAATCTTGACGTGACGATCTTTTATAGCTTAGGTAAATAGTAGTGTTAATGAGACCCATTAAGTTTAAACCGGACGAATGTATAATTGATATAAGGGAATATTTAACATAGTAACATACATAATATTATTAAATAGTTATAATGGCATATATTTCACACAAGTGCAGATAACATAGGTTAGGTACCTATGTAATATATGATTTCGATGCGGTCCTTCAACACGGTGTCTAGGTACATAGCTACCTCCGTAATAATGCGTGGCTTATGGGGCATGGACAGCAGTGTTTTAAGTTGCTCTCTGTCATCTCCGTGGCGATTTTATGGGGTGCATCCTAGGCTAGCATTGGTGACTACAGTCGGCGCTATTTTCCCTCAAGTTCGATTCGGTTTGATCAAAGCACGATATGGTACGATTAGTAACATAAGCTAAGCACCTGCTGCTTTTACTCGCCATGTATTTTGAAGCTTTATTGTAAGAAATTCGGCTTAATATTAGACAAGAATGTCCAAGTACATTCCGGAATCTCGCATGTGGCCTTCTGCTCATATATCTTAACTAGAAATCTAATATCTTTATTCACTACAATCAGTTGGTTTCTTATCCGTAATTCAAATGCGGTTTACTTAATTGGTTGTATTTCGGTATATGAAAAATCACATTCGGTAGCTGCTTGGCTGGTGTACTTATTAGCAAATATCCATGTACATCGGTAATTTAAGAAACCTGATTGGAAGTCTTCTAACCTCTATGTGGGTATAACTCCTGCACTGTCGTACAATACAATACAGGGGGGCGATTCTATTCTAGCGTCGCTCAGCCCTAAAAGTTTGCAACGCTAAAATTCGGGTTTCTGCATGCGCCTCTGCAATGGCCTGAATGACCGCTGTTGCCCCGAAAATTTATCCAATAATGTATGCCATTCCTTGCCGTTCCTGCCGTTTCCGCAGTCATCTTCTGACCACCCGTCCACAAGGCATTCAATCTTGAAGCTCGGCGCCGGTGGACAAGAAAATCGAGAACAATCCGGTCGGTGAAACCCAATGATATAGTATATCATTCCACCCCGTTTTCTTTTCAGCCGCCAAGTTATAATTGCACTTTCAGCCCATTGACACGACGATATTCAACCTAAATGGCACTCGCAATATCTCGGACCGAGAACCGTTGAAGGCTTGGTAAAGTCGAGGATCAGCCGTAAAGATACCAGTCTGGTAAGATCTGCGCTGGAGGAGTTCAGCTAAGTAAAGTATTCTCCTAAGCTGGATGAATAGATACTCCAGTGAATGCTTTGTATAAGTACCTAAGGTACCTACTTAACCTATGCAAAGTACATACTGAAGAAATGTGGTTATATTGGTTTATTCATCGCATTTAATAATAAGTTTTTATCTCTTACCTAACCTAAACGCAATCTACGATAGGTTCATACCAAAGTTAAGCATATTGATAACAACATAGAAATAATTCAACATATGCGTCGTCCGTTGGCTAATTTCCTCAGAAGGGCAGGTCTCTCTTATCTACTATGTACTCCACGTACAATTGCGGCATCGTGCATCCCAGCTCATAGACCCTTGGAGAAATCTGGCGGAGCTGAACCCCTGCATACTATGTACTGTATACTATTTTAAAGAGAGTTGATTGGTTTCTTGGCAGGACTTAGCCCAGAGCCTAGCATGGCTGGACGAATAAGAGAGGAATACCTACCTAATACTTAGCAAGTATACTACATGTTAAGTGGGCAAATTTAATTTTCCTTGATTCCTCGCCTGCGCCGTATGTATCTAACCTTAGCGGGACCACGGTGTGAATGACATGCATACCTGTAATAGAATGCGTGGTACAATATACATTTTATCAACGACCTATACCTAAACCGGGATCCCGGTGGTCTTGGTCGCAACAATGTCGCTATGTAGATACTCGATCACAACGACGCAACAACACAAACCCGGCAGGCTTTACATTGCAGCATTACACAATTAATTGATTCCCGACTGATAACAACTAAATTCCCCGGCGCTTCGGCGCTGAGCCGATCCGGCTGACCATTACGCGAGCAGCGGTGTACCCCCCACTGATCCCGACAATCAGGCCCCTTATCGGAGAGGGGCAATAGCGGCTCATTTCCCCACCTTTGCTTTACGGCCCCTGTAAGCCATGATGACATAGGCCGGGTTAAGGTTACACTACCGTACGGTCGTGGGAAATAGGTACCTGGGAGCAGGTACCTGGACGCTGTAATACAGGTAGGTACTTTACAAAACTAAACTTGGTCGATCACCTTCATTCCTTTCCTAGTTTTTTCTTCTCTTTTTATTTACCTTTACTTACCTTTACTTGCCAGTTTTTTGTTGAGGAATCGGATATCAAGTAGGGCATTTCGTTGCTTCACCCATACACTATATCGTTATATTTCCGACCGCGGAAAAAAGAAGACGCCATCGCGTGCGCACTATAATGATATCGGGACCACTACACTTCCAACAATCTTCTTACACCTTGTCTAGCATTCCGCTCTCTCAGCGGAGTTCACTGGCGTGCTCTCAATATGGCGGTAGCACAGGACAAATTTCAACCGGTGTCTGCACCACAGCCCCAGAGAGCCGTGAGTGATGAGAAGAATGAAGGCTCAGATAATGACATTCAAGAGACTTTGGTCGAAGTCTCAACTGAAAACCAACTCCTTCGTCACCTGGGTAACCGCCAGATCCAATTGATTGCCATTGGAGGCAGTATTGGTACCGCTCTCTTTGTGAGTATCGGCGGTGGTCTTGCCAAGGGTGGACCAGGAAGCCTTCTTATCGGGTACACTATCTATGCTATCATGGTTGGTATGGTGAACAACTCGATGGCTGAGATGGTTACCTATATGCCTGTGTCTGGATCTTTCATTCGAATGGCCGGCAGATGGGTCGATGAGGCTTTAGGATTCATGGCAGGGTGGAATTTCTTCCTCTACGAAGCCTGTCTCATCCCATTTGAGATATCTGCTATCAACTTGGTGCTGGGATACTGGAGAGATGACATCCCCCCGGTAGCCATATGTATAGCATGCATTGTACTTTATGCGTATGTAACCCTCCTTTAACCCTTTAAACCCCTAGCTATTACAGCATTAGATGACACATTAATTAACTTGAAATGATAGCATTATCAACATTTTGGCCGTGCAATATTTTGGGTACGTGCATTGATTGCAACCGAACAACCCCTAGCATACCTATCGTCTAGTATTATATCTAGATTTGTATTGTACTCCACGAGCCCGCGACCGCTCAGACCAATCAATTAGTTACCGTAATTAGTATCTTTGCTAATCTAGATCGTTTAGCGAGGCCGAGTTCTGGCTATCCACCGGCAAGATCTTGCTTATCTGCATCCTGTACCTGTTCACACTAGTCACGATGTGTGGGGGTAACCCCCAACACGATGCTTATGGTTTTCGGTATTGGTCAGATCCAGGATCTTTCGCAGAGTATATTCACGAAGGCGCACTAGGTCGATTTGAAGGTTTGCTTGGCGCTGTTTTCTCTGCAGGTTTTACCGTCGTTGGACCCGAGTACCTTGCGATGGTTGCTGGAGAAGCAGAGCGCCCGCGGACGTACCTCAAGAACGGATTCAAGACCGTCTACTGGCGATTCGCCGTCTTCTTCATCGGTGGTGCGCTCTGCGTCGGCATCGTCCTCCCGTACAACGATAGCGTGCTGAAAAATGCGGATACGGGAACCGCTAACGGCTCACCCTATGTCATCGCAATGCAGAACCTTGGTGTTGGAATACTTCCCAACATCGTCAACGCTCTCATGATCACCAGTATTTTTAGCGCTGGAAATGCCTACACATACTGCGCGATGCGATCCTTATACGGCCTCGCGTGCGACGGCCAGGCGCCTAAAATCTTCAAGAAGACACTTAAGAACGGTATTCCGGTCTACGCTTTTGCGCTCGTTATGGTCTTCCCCTTCTTGTCGTTCCTACAACTGTCAAACAACACGGCGCAAGTAGTGACGTGGCTTGCTACTCTTACACAGGGCTCACAGATGATCAATTACATTGTCATGAGTTTGACGTACATCTTTTTCTACAATGCGACTAAAGCGCAGGGCATCGATCGCCACACGCTACCGTACTACGGCTATTTCCAGCCATACTGTGCTTATATTGGCTTGGCGTGGATGATTATCATCGAGGCCACTTTTGGTTACTCGGTGTTCTTACCTGGGCACTGGGACGTCGGCAACTTTTTTGCTTTCTACACAATGGCTATCGTGGCTTTCTGCACATTTTTCGGCTGGAAGATTTTCCGACGTACAAAATTCATGTCTCCCGCGCAGGCCGATCTCATCTGGGAAAAGCCGGCCATCGACGCTTACGAGGCTTCGCACGTTGGGCCCCCGACCCGATTCCGAGACGAGCTTAAGGCTATGTTCCTTGGGAAGAGGAGGAAGGAGAACTACATGGGTGAAGACCCGAACTAGAAGTTGGGACTTACGCTTCAAGATCGTGGCTTGACTCGAACGACACCGGAAACGGCTAGTGGATGGAGTCATAGTTTTGGTATACCTTTTGTTGTTAAGTCGTTCCATACTACTACAAATTTCAAGAAAAATCATACCAAGCTTGCAAGTAAAAAATTGGAAATATGATTAAATTTAATCCCTAAGTTATAACCCATAAGTGAAACTTTTGTAAAAAGAGGAGGTTCATCAATAGGCGGCCACATCTGTTCCATCTAAAATGATATTAGAACTCAAGCCTTTATCCAAGGTCTATATTACTATGTGCCGCGTTACTTTAACTGTAGCCATGGCATGGCTAACGCGAGTCGACATCTCATCTTATTCGCCAATGTAGTCTTGTTAAATTAAGCCGACGTGTATCTAGCTTAAAAGGCGACAAACGGGTCGACCTCGAACCTATTCAAAGTATATAAGCGATAATATAATTAATTAAATGGCAGGTACTGTCTGTAAGATGATCACAGGCTGCTAAGTTCATCAAATACAAATCCCTATTCCAATGTTAGAAGGTAACGCTGAGAGCTAGTCATCACGTTTTCGCATACTCGATGTCGAAGGTCCTTAAGTAAGTTTTTGATAAAAACATGTATCTATGATTTCAATGCAAGGTATGATCGCTACTTAGAAAGGTTAATAACTCCAATTGTGACTTATGCATGAATTTTCAAGTTGCATTTTCATTTTCATTTTCATTTTCGCTTCCGGCCGTGCATATCCCACAGTCGATAAACAGACGCTCAGCTCATGAAGCTGTTGATAACGGTGACGACAGTTGTGTAGAGCATAGCAATAACTCCAACTACCATGAATACGATATCTCCAACCTTAGCTTCCCACGATGTTGCAACGCCCTTGTAATGTAGATATGCTGGATAGATGTAGACCAACGGGACACAAGCAATAGACCCGATCAACGCGACAAACCTGTCAAGGTTAGAAGCACCCACTATCGAAAATGCCCCACACGCAAGAACTATGAATGACCTGAACGCATTCTTGATCCACTTCGTACGGGCGCTCTTCTTGCCCGAGTGAGAGCCAAAAATTCTACCTTCGATGATACGGATGGCAGGGAATAGCTGGACGGGAGTTCCGACGAGAACCGCGAGCGAGTAGAGGAACTGCACCGCATTGACAAACTTGTTATCTTGAGGATAATTGTTGATAATTTCAATCTGGGTATTTTCGCCGAACGTGGCATAGCAGAGAGCACCGACAGCAGTGAAAAGAACCGTGATGAGGAACATAACCATACCGAGAAGCCATTCGAAACGCTCTGGTTTGGTCATAGATGACTGGATTGGAAGAATGAGGCCGATGCCTTCAAATGTGAAAATGGCTGCGCCGATAGTTAAGGTGTACTTTGCCGGGTTGAAGAGAACGACACTTTCATGAATGCCATCGGATGCAAGGTGTGCAATGTCGTAGTAATAGATGTAAGTTACACCAAGCAAGATGCAAGCATCTGCAATAAGTGCAACAGGGCCGAGTTTTGCTATGTTCCGTATGAACGCCAGCGGTATGAGAAGGATGAGCTGTATGAGAATTGAAGAGGTGGGGGATAACGGACTGTCGTCGTGTAGAACGGCCTTTAGAAAAGAGGTCATGTTCTCGGCTACAAACACTATGCCGGCACAGACGAACCCCAGCTGCGACATGGTGATGGAGAACAATATCAATCCGCGCATAAACTTCCCTGCTATTGCTTGGCCGATCTCTCCATAACCGCCGCCATACTTTGCCTTGCAGGCGAGAAGTAAGTGGAATGCCAACATGGTAACTGTGGAGACAGCCAGCATGGCCAAAGAGGAGAATAGAATGCCACCATTGTTGAAGGCCTTGGGAAGAAACATGATTCCGGTTCCAATGAAAGCCTTTAGTAGGGTAAAGAAGGTCTGTTTGGTACTGGCGGTAGCGGAGCGCGGCGCACGCGAAGCCCTCCGCCGCCCAAGAAGCGGTCCCGTCTCGCTTGGCTCTGCCTCTTCTTCTCCTTCTTCTCCTTCTTCCTCGGAGAGTATTGCTTCATCGTCTGAATCCTCAAGATCTTCCCCAGCAAAGCTCCCATACAGCTCCAAAAATTCAACAAAATTCCTAGTGACGGGGACCCTGGCAGCCCATATCTCGCGCCGCCGTGTTTGCTGTATGAAAGCTCTGCGGAAGCCTCCCGGGGCCAGTTGGCCGCTTACGGTTAAGCCGTCGGGCCCGGTTTCCCCCATGATATCTTGGGGGTGGTGGAAAGTTGCAGCTCGTTTATGCATCTTGACCCGAGCAGCGGTCTTGAAGAGGTCTCGGTGTATGTCACCTCCCTGGAGCTTTAGCGAGGATTCGCCTGATTCTTGATCTGTCGGGTCCGGGCTCGAGGATGATGCACCAACAGAACTCCCCGTTACCCCATCGAATTCGGCCGAATATCCAGACGGGAGGTGTTCCGAGACGACTTGAGCGTCGTGCTTGGACTGATCTGATATCGGAACGTGTGCCATTGTGGACAACTAGGGAAAATACAAAATAAAACAAAATGAAAAGGAAAAGAAAAGGCAGGGTTTAGATATTGTCTAAGCGTAAATGCACATGAGAGATCTCGCTACTGGAAGCAAACGGTATGTGTAAGTATTCTAACTTAAATCTTAATATAGATTTTGACAATATGCATCTTGGATATTGGATCTTTATGGTGAAACGAAAGAATGACGGTGGCGGTTCTAAAGAATGGAAGCTTCCACCTCATGAACTCATAGAAGACGGTGAAACTTAAAATTCAGGCGTCGTACACTATGGATCCAATCAGGCCGACAACTAGGGTGTTGCCAGGTGGCGGCCCACGATACACTCTTAGTGTCCCTTTACAGCGCCGGCTTGTATTGTACCGGACTTCACCACTAGAGCCCGCTACAGCTACCTAAGTACCTGTTAGGTAGAACTTTTGCGGGGTTGCTGATACATACCAACATGACTGGCCAGAAAATTCTCGCAGATGCTGGCCAACTTTGTAGCGCGTGCAAGTTTGCTGTAGGTATAAACACAAGCTACAAATAAGTTAGCCATCAGTTACTAGTGGGCAGCATATCCAATCACCTTCCAAAGGAAGGTACAAATTTCTCGATTGGTCTAGTGGTCAGGATACCTGCTTGTCATTTCAATGAACAAGTTCGCAGGTGGCCGGGGTTCGATTCCCCGATCGAGAGCATCTTTTTGCAATTTATAATTGGACTTTCACACGACATTGGGATGATTGTTTTTTGGTATTTCCTCAATATTCCTTCCCCCTTCCCCGATTCTCTCTTTCCTTAACAGTGCATTCCCTCAGTGATATTGGATGGTGTTCCGTTAATTTTATCTTCTCTACATAGCCCTTCTTAGTAAATTTCTTGTATTCTCCATTTCGAAGTTGAACAAATTCTAGTCATGTCTGTGCCATCTTCGCTATGGAGTTAGATACGTGGAAGGGTGAACAAGAGAGGTCTCTTATGATACGAAGCTGGTTTTCTAAGTAATGGCCAAGATAATCAATTGGCAATGTGCCGCCAAGACGATTTATGACTGCGATCAGGAAGAGTAATAAGTGTATATAACATTAAGTCCGCCGAATAGTCCACCGTCGGCGGACGAAAAAGTATTGGGGTATTAGTATTAATAATGGTTACCGCAATCCTAAGTAAACCCGAAAGGCCAAGAATGACGGAATAGGAACCGGTCGGCGGATACTATGCCTAATAGAGGGATAGTAAACTTCAATGTGTGGGGTATTTCCGGCCACTAACTCGGATTGCTAACTCGGATTTACGGAACCGGACGGACGAAATCATCAATCACCCTCTTGTTGCCGTAGGATGGATACCACTCCGTAATCCTGTGCTTACAAAACGTATCTACTATTTGGGAGAGTGTTATAGTAGACTCTTGTAGATTATTTAAATATGAACATGTTCCGTAGTTCCGTAGTTGGAGGAGCATACTTCAAGCCAGCAGCACTTACACACTTACACCTACCAACTAACACCAACCTTTTTCATCCTAAACTACTTCAACCAGAATACTAAAAATGCCTTCCTACGTGATTATGGGTGCATCTCGAGGACTCGGCGTAAGTGTAGATATACGGCCTGGTCCAAAAGAAATACTAAATCGTGAAATAGTTCGAGTTCTTACGCCAGCTCTCTGAGGATCCAGCGGCAGTCGTTATTGGACTTGCTCGTGATAAAGACTGGACGGAGAAAAAAGTATCTTCTCAGATTGGACGCTCCAACATCCATATTCTCCACGGAGATTTAGATGATTATAAATCCATTAAGGTGAGATAGCTCGTTTTAATTGAGCACAAGAGATGGAATATTAACATGGTGCATAGAAAGCAGCGGAAGATGCCGCCAAGATCACTGGAGGCGGTTTAGACTATCTCATCGCCAATGCCGCTGCATTTTCTTCAAAATCGGGTCTCTTGACTTTTAATGACATGTAAGATTTTGCGATTTTTTTTGAGAGAACCCTCAGAGCCACCCACTAACTCAATTCATTCAATCAGGGCCGACGATCCTGAGGGTCTAGAGGAAGATTTACTCAAGTCCTTCAAGGCTAATGTAGTTGGAAATATCCACCTATTCAACTACTTTCTGCCCCTGATCCGGAAAGGAGAAGCCAAGAAAGTTATTTCGATCTCGACCGGTATTGCCGACTACGACTTCGTGAGGGAGACAGACTATGAAATAGCCGGGTCATACACTACGAGCAAAGCAGCTCTCAACCTCGCAGTCGTCGAGTACCATGCCCAATTTCACCACGAAGGGATTTTATTCTTCAGTATCTCGCCTGGTGTTGTTGCTACGGATGGTCAAAATGCCGCAGGAGATAACAGTGAGTTACGCTTCCCCGTCGGCTCCACGCTGAAATTCTTTATATTATCCGTTATCGTTTTCAGGGGTATTTGCTAATACGTTCTTGGTGAAAGAGTCTGAAAAGGAGCTCGAAAACCGGCAAAAGATGTTTGACAAGTTCGCCAAATATGCACCTCACTTTAAAGGCCCAATGACTCCAGAAGAGTCTGTCAAGCTCGTCATGAAGGTTATCTACAATGCAAGTCTTGAGCGTGGAGATGGGGGGTCATTTGTCTCTCATTTAGGCACTAGGCAATGGCTTTAAGGGACAGCGTAGAAAGATGATATATAGGTTTAAGCGCGGAGAGTAGCTATCACCTTCGGAAAGGTCTCAGACAGACAGAATGGAAATCAGGACTACATTCTCCTCCACCAATATTGCTACATAGACAGCACTGCCAAGAACTGTTAGCCGCAATATGGACGCGGCCAAGGATCAACAATGCGATGAGGATAATCATTCTAGGAATAATTAGATGAGGCTTGTCACCAGAATCTGCAGGTGTTTTATTGTTGGCCTTAACTACGCGATTCTCTCGAGGCGCAACAGGCGTGTCCTGTGGATGGATTGTTTCACCCATTATTATAATTATAACAGTGACTTGCAGATCTATTTTCTATATTAAAATGGGAGTTTCTATAGGAAGAGATATGAAAGAAACAGTTTTCCATGAGTATGGTAGTTGTCAGGGGGGCTCAAGGCAACTCAGATTTATCAACAACAATAGTCACTTTTCAAAGCAACTATCAGGCGATGCATATGTCTGCCGTCGAATCCATTCGAGTACTGTGGAGATAACGGCCCGTCACTGATACTTCACAAAATTTTGATAGCTTATTCTTCACTTGCTTTGATCGGCCAGGGACGTTGATCAACTTGGTAGAAAATATATCGGGGATGTCAGTAATCAGACTCAAATAATACGAAACTTCTATTGCTCAAGAGGAGATAGCTATGATAATATCGTGCCATGCAGTCGGGGCCTTCTACTGTCAGGCCTACGTATAACGAGGGCCGACTTAATTTCTTACATCTTACATACCTAACTATTTGATATCACTTGTAGTATTGGCGTATTGGTTTCACCAAATAAATATATAATCATAAATGAAAAGAAAACCACGTGGCTGATAATGTTATTTGACCTATCATTCTACTATTATCTCGTCTTTGTTCAAGTCTACCGAGGTCGCCGACATTAGTGTTATAAATAATTGATCGCCTAATATATAATAACAAGGTACCTAAGGGATGCTAGAACTGTTCACTATGTCTCAGAAAGCTAAATACAGATGGCACGCTTTCCTAAGCCACGTGGTTCAGCCGCACAATAATACAAAGGAAGGGGGTCGAATCATTATCTCATAAAATGGAGACTATTAGCTTCATTCTTTGATAAAGAGCAAGTCGTATCACGTGGGCATTGTATTTTCCAACACAGACTCTCTTAAAATCTAACATGTCAAAACAAATTAGATGAAATTAATCAAGAGTCAATATTTTGTTGTAGCACAAGGAGTAGAAAGTATGGATATATATGTGTGTATGCGAGCTGTGACAGTGTTGAACAAGATGGTAGACCATGGCAATCCAGAATCAGATTTTCCCAATATTAACTTGTCACCCATGTGATAACTGAGCTCGACACTCTATTTTCTGCGTAAACTCATAGCAGCAAGACTTATTCACAACATGTTATCCAATGCTGGAGTACGTCACGTTGGTAAGGGGCAGACAGACCAAGGGCGGAGTATGGGCACAGACCCTGACTATCAACCTCCCGCCGACGAAGGTCGAAGTGGCTACGACATCACTTGGAAAGAAGACATACCACGACCGAAACCACGCCCACAGCCAGGACCACACCCAACCCCGAAACCGAAGTCAAAGCCAGAGGAATCTTCTCAGAGCAATAGAATGTCCACTAGAGGCAATCGTCGACGTAAAGGTAGGCTAACTATCTTGCGCTGCTTCTAGGCAGCACATATTCCTAACGTCGCTAACAACTATTCAAGATTAACTTGGTTTTGAATACTCTTGATATGTCTTTAGTTGATGGGTTAAGACATAGATAGAGAGGCATTGAAAACACGATGGGGCATCGGAAAGGGAAGGGAAGAGATATCTCTAGCTTACCAACTTCATATATTTCACCAGGCCTTTGATAGTGTTCCCCCATACGTAGGATAGCAAGATAAATACAGCCGACGGAGAAAAAGAAATGACCAACAATAATATTTAATCACTTCTTCTAACCAATTCACGTCGTAGATAAACGTAGGAGTAATTACATATTAATACTTCGTATTACTATTCTAAACCTGGTATCTGAATTATGTTTTACGCGCACTGGGAATAGTACTCGTTCTACGAGGTATAAGTTAGCGAATCCCGCAACTACCTATGTTCAATAATGAGTGAATCGATTGACATACCTGTTTCTTGCAAGTGTATCCACTAGCGCAAGTACTGCATCCCGTGTAGCCAGAGCCACCGCATTGAGCCCACTGCGCGACAGCACATCCCGAGGGAGAGGTGGGTGTCGTGGGTGCTGCGGTCTTGGTGGAGGTTGCTAGTGTTGTGGAAGCAGGTGGATTTGGTGTGGTTTGGGGGTTCCCGCCAGAACCAGCTGCCGAGCAAGTGAAAGGATCAGGGCCTGACCGTGTCTGTGTTAGTGAGTGCCACTGAGGTTTTAAAATGGATTAGGTACATACCAGGGATGATGTATTGGCTATTCTTGTCCATGGAGTATATGTTGATGAGGATGCCGGGATCATCCTGCTTGTAAATGCCGGGGAAGCTATAGGTTGTGGGCGATTTGGTTGCCGAACCTCCTGAAATATTGATCTGTGCGCATTCCATGTACAGCTGGACGCCTTTACTGGATCCAGCGGCGTGGAGAGCAATCATCTCAGCACGGAGGAGGTATTGGCCGTCCGGCAGACAGTCCGGGATCTTGATCGGCTGCTTGCCCTCGTTGTTGATAACTTTTGAGGTACCCCAGACTCCATTGTTGTAACCATCTTCCTGAATCTTGAACCTGGCGAATAGTGAGCATTCGATCGAAATTCGCGTGCGAACTTATAAAATATCCAACTTACCAACCATCGCCGTATCCCTTATCAGTTGTTGCGTCGTTTACTTTCTTGAGGTAGGCGAGGGTGGGTCCTAGATGGCTCGCTTCCATCACATCACCGGAGCCAGATGTCAGCGTGTGCCTCCAGATGGCATTGACTGTAGATCCAGCTTTGACGTCGATAATCTTGTCAGAAGGCGTGGTCGGGTTAGGACCGCCGTTGCAAGCAACATCGTTGGACGTTACGTCGCTGATAGGACCATCATAAGATGGCGTTCTTATGCCGTGAGACACTGGGTTCGTCACACCGTTTGACTCAAGTTGAACGAATATCGTGTGTGCGCTTGCCAAACTGGCGCCGGCAATTGTAGCCGCTATCAAAGAATATCTCATTTTGTAAGCTTAAGAATATCGTCCTACTGCTAAGATGAGGGCTCCTGTCCATCCCAAGAACTACAAATGAGAACCTGGGGTCAGAGTCATCTATAAATAATTAGGAGGGCTCCCATCATGGTTATGCCAGAGGTGCTAACCCCGGAGTCCGGAGGGATCACACGGTAGCAACTGACCGCGCAACGGCGAAAAGCTATGGGTGGGTATCATCAAGGAGCCAGTATTCTCCTCCAATGGCTAGCGATGCGGAGGGTCTGAGCGGAAACGGAACGGCCAAAATTCTATAACCATCCTAGCGTTTCGATAAGTTGTGGTGTGCTGGGGGATAACTAGATGCCACGAACGATCGGCGGAGGTTGCACATCCGGATCTATTTTCGGCAGGCCCCCCTATTAACAAACTAGGGTGGTAGCGAAGACCGCCGCGAAATCCCGGCTCATGTGATGCTGGGCGAATCCTAGAAGAGCCCAGCAATTCGGAAATAAATTAGACGAAGCCGCTCAAGCATTAACCCCAGACCATTAAGTTAGGTTGGTAGACAACGTCACCAGATTCTTGCTTCTTGCCAAGCCCCAACCAATCCGGGATGGCGGCGCGAGATTCAACTGTGACGCTAACTTTTCAAGCTTGAGATTCGGAATCGTGTCCCGGATCGGCGGAATATCGATTATGGATGATTACCTATATATTTAGTAGCCTTATATTCTCAGCTACGTATATACCTCATGTAGGTGAGTTCAATCGTAATAATTCTATACATCGGAATATCACTGAATCGATATATTCTTGGGACGTGTAAATTTTGGACAATGTGGCTTGATCATCCTTTATTCAATGTCTGTGAAATTTACATATGTGCCTAAGGTTAGGGGCTTCTATCAGTTCACGATCTGACAACTTTAATAGCAACTCATCAAAATTCGGTAGCTAAACCTCAGTTCAAACTACAAACTACAAGACTGGCATGGTCCAAGGTGGCTAAGATATTGCTCTATCCTCTACTTGGGGATGTTCTCAACCACAATAGCCTCCACTTCAGCTGGGCTCAACTGCTTGATACCTAGAAGCTCATTGTCAAGCTTCTGGAAGTGGCCTCCATATCCCTTACCCCAAATTGCTACCTTAAGAGTCAAGATAAAGACGTTTGGTGTGAATGCGGTCTTAATCTCTTCCAAAACCTTCTGAAGTCCCTCGTCAAGCGACGTCACGTTCTCCTTCCACCCGTCTGCTCCAGTGTGTTTCTTGAGGATCTCTCCTATCTGCTTGAGGCTAATAGTAGTCTCTTGCACATATACTGGACGATTTTTGGTCTGCTCAGGGTTCCTAAGTACGCCCACTACGGCTTTGCCAATCGTTGACAGCGTCGTGGCCGAAGCGGTGTTGTTACCACCGTCTGGTAATTCGATAGTACGGTTTTTGACGTCGGCGAAGAACCCGACACGGATCGACCAGTCTAGGAAAGCACCGTTAAGTACTGCGGTCCAAGTCAAGCTGCTCTCGGCAGCAGCTTTTTTCAAGGCTTCCTGGACTTCGACTTTGGGTTTGTAGCAAGGTAGCTGTGAAGCCTTTTCGTTGAAAGTGTCGGAACCAAATTCGGATGGAATGAAGCGCTTCACTCCCGCTTTAGCTGCGGCCTCAATGAGAAGGATCTGTGTATTTAATGCTGGAGTCGTGATAGTCGCAACAACAGCATCTTGGCCTTGGAGTGCTTCTGTTAGAGAGTCGAGCGAGCTGTAGTCAACCTCCTTAACGGTAACATTTGACGGCCAAGCATGAGAACTTCCCTTGCGAGTTATTACAGTAACTTGGAAACCCGCATTCAAGACTTGTTCAAACACTGGTGCTCCGAGACTTCCGCTAGCCTACATAACGTCAGTAGGGAGAAAATGAGCATGGAAGATTCCATTGTGCCTGTCCTTCTCACTTACACCTGCAATGGCGACCTTCGTAATAGCAGTCATATTGATAGATGGGATATGTAAAAGTTGAGAGAAGTTGTGTTTCTTGTCAAGGTCTTGAGGGTGATTGTTGTTGATGGGAAGGGAGATGTTTCGATTTCTCCCTTCTTCTCGGACTAGAAGATGTCTTTATACCTACCTACTTCTGCGCTCTCCATCTTGTAAACCGTCTTCTTTTAGAGGTGCCGATTACTAAGATGATTACGCAGCCTACTGACTCCACAAGGAGTGATGATATTGGAAAATATCGTTCTTGAAACGGTTCAGGGACATACCATCATGGCGGAATCTCACAAAAACAGTTAGAGAATCGACCCCACCCTCCGCTTGGCAAAAGCTTCATCCCACATCCCACATTTTGATCCCACATTGTCATGACTAATATATGTTGATCGGTGATATCGGATTACTGTAAGTCAACTCCGATATCTCCTTCATCGCCATCAAATCTCTCTCCCATTCCACATTCCACATGCTTATTCCAATCCACACATCCACATATGTTTAGGTGGGAAGGCTCATAGCATTGCACGAATATCCCTGCCAACGAGGACTATACCGAAATATTCGACATATCAAGTCCTCAACCAAGTTAGGCCACTAGCTGACTAGACGCGTATTAGTCAAGTCTTGCTTTGTTGGCCTATGTGAGGACAGGGGCGGGAGTACGGGCGGAATGTCTCGATATGTCCTCGTTACCAAAAAGCTGGGAATGCTCGTTTCCTGGGTGTGATAAACGCTTCACTAGAAAGGAGCATTTAAATCGACATAAACTAGGTCATAATCCAGAGCATCAGTATAAGTGCCCTGTATGTGGGCGGCGTTACGCACGAAGGTTTGTACATCACCCTTAGCTTATTGGCTCTCCCCGCCTCGACACAGTAATTCGTTTTATGGCTATCTTGCTAATATAAACGTTAGCGATGTATTCAAGAGACATGTAAAACAACATAACCCAGCCGTTCCTCAGCCCCTAGACACAAGAAGGTGAGTGATGCTTCAGGTAGTTCGAGATTATCACTTACATGTTTCGTGATCGACTTTTAGAATATGTTTGCCTTGCGGTGAACGGAGCACCCAGTGCGATGGGAATTCCCCTTGCGGAGCTTGTGCTTCGAGTTTGATAGATTGTCGTTGGGTTGATTCAGATGACCATCATGAAACTAGTACCGAATCAGCGATCGTGACGCCGGCGAGCGGTTCCAGTCAAGCAACATGGCTTCCACCAACTCCAGAAGGTTGGAATTCGGTACCATTCCCGGCTACACCCTCATACCCGGAAGCTTCAAATGACTTGAACTTTGTTCATGAAGAGCATCGCACCCTAGAACCAGCTGGCTTGGTCCACTCTACATCAAATTCTAGCGCAGCTATATTTGAGCCAACTCACTTCAGCACATCGAATATTACCCACCTATCTCTTCAGCAGACATTGCCACCAACAACACAACCTCAAACGACTTCCGAATCGCCTGGATCTGCCGTGGGGGCAGATTTACAGACTTATCTAGACACGAACTCACCCAATGCTAAGAGGCTTGTCGAACTTTTCTTCCAAGAGATCCATCCGTACTGGGCTATCTTACACGCGCCTACGTTCGAACTGGAGAAGACTCCACCGGTTTTATCAACATCCATGATTATATTGGCTAGTTGGCTTGAAAAGGGACCAGATCACCAAAAACTTGCCCCTATTGTCTTCGACGAAGTGGCTCGGATTCGAATGGTGTGAAAGACTGACCCTACTCTGGATTCCTCCTTTCAATGACTAATACTCACTACATAGGTTCCCCATCCGCCGTTACATTTATTACAGTCCGTTCTACTTTATATCGTTTACGCAACGTACATGTTGGTATGTAGAGATGTATACGCCTAGCACCAGTTTTATCCGGTATTAATATATTCATAGACTGCGGATGGTATGGTAGCAAAAGCCCTCAACCTCACAGGCCTATTAGTATCAACCTGTCGGTTTCTTGGCGTTTTTAACGGCCAATACTCATGTCACGAAAGGAGTGACCTGGGTAGTGGCTGTCCATTTGTTGCTTGGCGAATACAAGAGCAGCTGAATAGGTAGGTAGTCTCTACTTCATCCCAAACATATTCCAATCACTAACGGTATGATGATTCACACTTAGACTTGCATTTTCCGTTCTTCGCGTCGACGCATATCTCAGTATGCTCTTAGACCACCCTCCTTCAATGCGCTATCAAGAGTTATGGATTCCTCTGCCCAAGTCCTCTCAGCTATGGGCTGCCTCGAATGAACCCGAGAGACGCGAGCTCCAATGGAACGAACCAGCAGGCCGCGAAAAGGCACTCTTTTCATTCTTCATGCGCGACGCCCTTAATCCCAACCGCGGAAAACTGCCGTACTGCCTCACCGATATCGACTACCACCTGAGCACCTGCGCAACCCAGACGACTATCTGGGAACTAGCACGAGAAGCTCATAGTTCCATGTCAGACGAGCTTGCCGAAGAGATTAATCCTGGCATCTTCGTCGACATGGCACATCCGCATCTAACCCTCTGGCGAGACAATCGCAAGCAAGACTCCCCCCTGCTCGAGCAATACTTCTCAGGCGACTTGTACGGAACCGAGCATCTCCTAGCTCCGCTCACATTCACACTAATGTACATGTCCACACTGAAAATGTTCGCTCCCATGAACGTCCTACGTATCAAAGGGCACTACTACAAGTCCCGCCCCGGCGCCGCAATCCCCACCCGCAAGCCCCAAGCCCACCTCCTCAGCTGGGTTTCGACCGGGTGTCCCCGCGCCGCACTCTGGAACGCCGCGCAGGTCTGCCGCATCTTCACCATCGAATCCGCCCGCGCCGACTGCGACTCCAGGAGCGGAATTACATGTCCTCTCTTGCGCACGCGTCTACGGCTTAACCCCCTGCTTATCCCAGGTGTACTCATGAGCGCTATCGTAGCATGCTCTTACGCGCGTCTAAAGGGGCGCTGCGCGAACTGCCGCAGCGATGCCGACTCCCCGGGTGCGTCCTCCTCAAACATTACCACCAGCGACGAAGTAATCAACCTATTCGAAGCAAAGGAGCAGGACGCGGCCTTTCAAACATGGAAGCACCACGGAACGCTCGTCCCGTATTGGGGCGGGATTTACGGCAGCGAGCGGGTGCGAGTCTGCAAGTGTCAGCTCTCGAGTCTCGCGGCCTGGTTCCGTGGTGCGTTCGCGGAGGACGAGGCTGCGGAGATGGAGTTCGTGCTTTTCCTTGCGGAGCTGAGCGGTGAGACGAAGTAAGCTTACAAGTACCCGATGTTATATCCGAGATGGTATACAGATAGCTTCCCATTACCCCCTTTACAAGCTAACTTAGATTTAAATATCATCACAATAAATTCGCAACATACACGTCCATGCCACTTGTATTTCAAGTCAATAATTCGCATTTCATCGCTTTAAAAACATGTTTATGAAAAACATGCTGACTTCGATGTGGGCGTCCTTTTGAGGACTACATAAAATTAACTAATACAACACCTCGCAAAGACAATTCGCATTCGCATGCCCTCTCTGAGAGCTGAGCAAAAGCGGCCTCGCTAGCCTTTTTCTCCCCCTTAACGCCAGTGATAAGCCAGACATGATACCCGATCACCTAGTCCAAAGGTACCCTAGGTTCCCCCGTCCATAGGCGTCCGTACTAGGACTAACCAGAACCAGACCTGAAATATCAAAGTAGCTTAGTAGAACCTCCACCGTCAACATGCTCGCTAATTGCGAGCTTCTTTCTCCATGGCCTCCAATTCCTTAACGACAGAAGCCTTCGTAGCAATCTTCTTCATCTGAGTGTCCTCTAACTTCTCGCCGCCAGCATGTCGCATTTCGAGGTCTTCGATTGCGCGGATCTTTTTCTGTAAGCTGCGCAGTTTCTTGGACGCGGGATTCTGGCTGCCAGGCGAGAGCAAAGCGTCGGGAGTAGGTGGCTGAGATGTCTGGATCTGCGGCGCAGTTGGTGGTGCCTGTCCATTTTGTTGCGTGTTGCTACGATTACGCCCCTGATTGTTACCACCCTGGAAGTTATGTCGCGAGCGACTCCGATCATGTCTCCGCTGGCTATACTGCTGGCCACGGCGCTCAGGACTGCGTCCCTCGTTCCCGGAGCCAGGGCCTTGGTCCCTAGCCGGAGGCGCCAAACCACCATTCTCTTTCCTTTCTCCATCCCTGTTCTCGGGGTCTTTGGCCTTTTTGTTGTTTCGCTTTTTCTTGTTCTTCAGTGCAGCCTTTGACAGATTGTCGTCGCCGTTGGTACCATCGGCTGGCACTGCACCGGGAACAGTACGCGCACCAGATTCAAGGAATTCTGCACCAGGAACTTGGCGACGCGACCTTCCAAATCCGCTCGGACCCACGTTCTGAGCACCGTTGCTCATCACATGGGCGGCACCTCCTTCATCCTCTCTTCTAAAGTGAAGCGGCGTTGACATGCCTCGGGCACCTGGAGGACGGTAAGCGCCAACAGGTTTCGACGGAGTCTTCACTGTGCCTAGGTATGCGATAGCCGAAGAATGGGGGGTGGGAACCGGGTGTAGGGGGTCGCCCTGAGGTAGGTTCTCTGGTAGAACCGGTCTCCAAGTCACGTTATAGAGCTCTACCATATCTTCATGGTACATGATGCCCCCACCGACATGCCAGATTTTAACACCATTGTCAACACGGAGGCGTGGGGACGTCGTGGCTGTCATAATATATCGGCTGTCAGGGCTCCATTGGCACACACTGGGATTGCCACTCTCAATAGTGCAAACCTTACGATAATCTTTCTCCAGATCGTAAACGTCAATTTGGCCAGCCAGATTGCCGAATCCAGCAACCAGGGTAAATCGGCCAGTTGGCGAAAAGATGATCGTATTCCGAGGAGCAATAGGAAACGAGTGAGTGGCGACCGCCCTATGATTAAAGATGGTGGTCTTCGCAGGCATATAACCATAGATCACACCAAACTCTTTACCATTTGGAGACCACGAAACATCGTGGATCGGCCCATCCTTGTCTAAGGTTACACGGGCATCGAGGGAGCCATTAGCAGAAAGGAGATAGAGATTAGTTTCTCCATAATAACTCTTGTTCGATTTATCAACATCTGTTTGTGCCAGCACAATCAAGCTCGTTCCCAAGCTGTTCCACTTGAGCTGAACCTTATCGCCCTTGAAGAAAGTCTTCTGCGAAATCGAGTTCGTGAACTGAGGGACGTTGTAAACCTTGACAGCGGCAGGTTGTCCCTATTATCATGTTGTTAGCTTCAAGTCTAGTAAGAGAAATTAAAAAGGACAAACTAACCTTCCGCTCAGGTATGAAAACCGCAACATTGTGGCTTTGACCAGGAGCAATAGCAAAATCGGTTACACCTTCGACTCGAAGCTTTTCCCAGACTTTGCTCAGATCATTGCTTTCATAGAACTGCACTTCGTTGGTGACAAGACGGGCGCAGAACTTTTCGTCAAAAGTATATTGAAGATTCCAGCCAGTCTGGGCCTTTTGGACAAACCGTCCTATGGGTTGCTTCTCTACGTCGTCGGGGAGGTCTTCGACAGTTCGCCAGATCTTCAAGTTCTTTGTCGCATCGCCAGCCTCGTCCTTAGCAGGACGTTCCCAAGTGCTAAGGAAAGAACCGCGGGGAGAAAAGGCAACATCGAAAACGTTGAGAATATCTATGCTAGTTAAAACATGGCCAACAGATGCGTCGACAATGCAGACACGTTCGCTGGATACCCAGGCTAGATATCGGCCACAGGGTGAATAGACAGAGCACCGCAAGTTCCCTTCAGGTTTAACGAATCCAGGGAGAGGCTCGTAGACAGGCGCAGCGTCGGTAACGCCGATAGCCTTTTGGGTTCGGTAAACAAACTGCAATGGATTCGCCATGACTAGTGAAAGCCACAGAAAAAAGAGAATTGCAGGGTTGGTCAAGTGTTGTTCTTGTCGTTTGTATGGAGATTCTTTTGCCCAAAGTTTGAAATAACGGGCGTGCGTGGAAGGGAACTGAGTAGATTTATCAAAAAGCTTTTCTCAGTTGACCTAATAGTAGGCTCGAAGGTGACGGCTACCCTAATACCAGTTAAAGATATTAAACAGGTTAATATCTTGGTAGGCTCGTATCAAGTAGATAATTTGTCTGGTGGGTAAGACGGAGGCCTGCAAGAAAGTCGTAATGAGCCGACAGAGAACGATGTTGCTGTGCCGCGATAAAGCTTATGATCTTCGATTGATGCAGTTTAACTTGTCGGAGAACCAGATTTGACGTCTCGGATAGGCACGCGGGGGCGAATAAGTAATAAAAACGGCAAGAAGAATTGAAGGGAACTTGACAGGTCACCCAGAGGCAGGAAATTGACGAGAGGCAGTGGGTGGACGTGACCGTGACGGAACGGAGCTTGAGTGGGCTGGAGAAGAAAGAAAGGGTCGAGGTTAAAGACGAAAAAATAAAAATACAAGCGAGTCATGACTGCTGCTGACAAGGAAATTTTTGCCATGTACCGGACTTACTTCAGCCACAGTTTAACTTTAAATAGCTAGCGGCATTGGGGCTCACTTGCATCCATTCTTTTCCCTCTTCCAGCCCGACGATCGTGGGGCTAGACCTATCCCTTATCCCCTGCAACCCAATCGGTTGGCAACTGCCTTTTTGTATTCCCCAAACTTCTATTTTGAGACCAGCACGACGTACATAAGGTTAGGTAGCTTTTAGCACGAGTACCTCTTGAACTTCAACCAACTGGTACAATCATACTACCTTACCTATGTAAGGTAAGGATTAATTAGGTACATACACCTACCTAGGTACACACCATATTTAGGTACCCAGGTAGGTAATACATTAGGTACATGTGTATGTCTATAAAGATGGGGGTTGGAGACTTTCATCAAGGTACCCAATGCATGAACTACATGTAGGTATGTACCTAGTTATTCAATAGAAGTTACCTATTAACTAGCCCTTATGCAACCGTGTAGACGATTGAGGCGCAATATTTAATATACCATACAATATACAGTATGCAAGATATCAAATTAAATCGCATGTCTCAATGAAGAGAAACAACTATAGTACATCTTATCTTAGGTACATAAGGTATACTACGTGTAGGTAGTTACATGTTATGTTTGCTTTGTTCGTCAAATCAGACGACGGAAAGAGATGGTTAGTTGAAAGTCAAGTCATGGATCTACTTGCTTCCTTGGCACGAATTCAACATTGAAGTTAACCACCTGTTAGTCCAATTTCTTACCAAGTCAAACTCTAGCTCCTCTTGCTATAGTAAACCGTCATATTATATTTTACCGGACCAACTCCTTCTCATAGCCTCCTTTATCTTACGATATTAGACTTGGCGCAAAGCTCTTGAGTGAATAGGGAAAGGGGGTCTGGAGTAAAATCGGAAACGAATATTCATTATTATTCCACGGTAGGAAGCATGAGTTCCTCACCGATTCCATTAAATACCACACAAATATAGAATATGTACCTCACACAGCATCTCTAATCCAACAGTTCCGTCCACACAAGATACAGATTGGGCAACTTTGATTTTTCGTACGGCTTAACCTTCTTACCATCTTCCTCCATCTCAAAAATCCATGTGGGAAACGTCACTAGAGTAGAACTCCTGAACGGTTTCGGAGGGTTAGACCATACATGATGCATTTGAGGTGCTCCGCAGTTGATCTGTATTGCCCGATATCCCCTAGATTTCATTTCGAGCATTATGAATCTTGCTAACGCTTTCATGAGTCCTTGGCCATAATACCCGTGTCTTGTTCCGCTACCGACCCGTTCAATAACCTGTCCGGTCGCCGTGGGCTCCCATGATCCTTTCGGTCGTGGGTCATGTGCTTCATAATGTTTACCCATGGGAACATTCAGAGGCGTGGCCTTCGTTGCAGCCTCCCACCCCTTCGGGTCACCAGGGGCGAATTTATCGAACGACAATCCAAATCCAACAATCGGAAAATCCAATGCATCAAGTAACCTTTGACGCCCATTAACCTCTAGATTAGGGTCGTCGATATCGAAGTCATTCCAATAACAAGCACCACCCTTAGTAGCTGATTCGGGCCTCTTAAATACGAATTCCTTGTCCCAGATGCAGAAGGAGAGGCCATTCTTCGCTGCCATTTCAGGCATCTCATAGAAAGGTTTGCAGGCATGGTAAGCCTTCAACGCTTCGCTTGCCTGGCGTCCTTCATATATTGCGTTCCAGATGGGTGAGTCGAAGTAGTGAGTAAAGAAACTCAAGGCTGAGATCGACTCGGCAAGATCAGGCGTTACTCGCCGGATTTCATACCTCGAAGATAGCTCAATCCCGTGGTTATTTCGTATTGGAGCACCTGGTCCCATAGTCGTCTACTAGTTAGACTTGTACGCCTTTGAAGTTATTCCACCCTTTTAAACCCGGCGAAGTAGGTGACGCCCAAATATCAAGTTCACCTAGAAGCTTAAATAGTACGAGAGGCTATATCTCATCATCGCTAACTATAAAATATGTTATGTTACTTCGATCTTCGTTCCGGGAATACAAGAAAGATATATATTCCGCCATGACGTGAGCGTGAGATGCGCGAGATAGTATGGCATATCCTAATGTAGCAAGGAATTCGCTGCACACAGTCAAGGGGGCACGTGGCCAATTGAATGTGTCTATTTATCTAGCTGTGTCGCATTATTTACCGCACTTATGAACACATTAGGAAGCTGACTTCTCTTAGGATGACTTGGCAATTTTTATCACGATTTTCGACACGCTTCCTATCACCGCAAATACTGTTAGCTATGATACACTATGTCCACTTGACCATACGATATTATCGATTGTCTCTAGACTACATGTCGCTGTATATAAGCCCACTACGTAAGATATTGCGGCCAACGCAGAAATGACATGAATCGGTCATTGGTTCACGGCTAGTCCTACCACTTAGGGTATTGAATTTGGCCATGGAAATGGGCAATGAAGATTTATACAAGGTTTATTTCGTATTGCTCATATAACAATTATATTTTATCATATGCTAATATCAAGCTCCGATATGCGGCCTGAAAGCCGCGGAAAGGTTTTACCACCCTGCGACTCCAGCATAAAGCAATAGGGTGTCGATAACATCCTCTCCCGAGAACAAAGTTGCACTCACCGCCCCAGTAGGCGATTTAATTGCAGTGGACCCGGACCAGTAGCCTATATCCTTCAACGGGCTTTCGCCCTTCTCGAGCTGCACATCTGTTCGTATAATCTTGGGCGCAAGTGTGAGTGGCTGCGTAATCGGAGTCGATATTTTAACTAATACTTGCGATGAATCGAAATTGGCTTGGTCTATTCTCGCTGCGATAGTAATAAATACTATGCCATTCGCGACACGAGTCAAGCTGGGGACGATAAACGCTTTATCTTGAATGAGGAAAACTTGAGTCTCAAAACCTTTTGCTGCGATGGCAAATGATGATGCTTTTGATACCTTGGCGCTAGATATCAAGAAGTATTAAGGGTACTATTGAATTGATACAGAAAGAGTGTACCAATTCATCCAATGATTACGTTGATGAAATCCTCTTCTCAAAAGACCATGGTGTGGTGATCACTGGAGAAATGACAGAAGAAAATCCTGGACGGGCTCAAGGCTTCAGTCGTCCGACAGACCCATGGTTCTATCTCCATGTTCAGGAAAAGACCAGCCCTTCTTCTGGTCCAGCCACAGAGTTCATTCCTCTTCCAGAATACATTTTCCGATATGATAGGGGGGGCTTTTGGGTCGGCGGTTCCGCTTTTGATTACTTCGGTGCCCCTTTCAATAAATTGACTCGTCAGTACCTGGATGACTTCATGCATACTCGAATGCTTTACGAAGCTTTGCATGCTAGCAGGGAATCAAGCCGATACATAGTCCAAGACCTTGCGTTACCTTACTCGACTGTGGAGGCCTTCATCGACTACACGACGAAGAGCTTCGACATTTGGCCGCTCTGGCTATGTCCTATTCAACAAACCGAGTCCCCAACATTCAATCCACGCATAGCTCCCATACAGCAGCAGATAGATAGAAAGACAATATCGCAATTCATCAACATCGGACTCTGGGGTTTTGGACCACAAGATCGCGCGGCTTGTATGGTGCTTAACCGGGACCTTGAATATCGTCTTCACAAGGAGTTTGGTGGTATTAAATGGTTATACGCGCATACCTATTACACAGAAGAAGAGTTATGGAATATTTATGACAAGAATGCGTATGACACACTGAGGAGGAAGTACCGTGCCAGTACATTACCCTCCGTGTATGAAAAGGTCAAAGTTGACTTTGAGGAAACCTCAAGGAAAGAAAGAGAGGAATAGGGACCGTGGGTATTGTCCTTCTGGCCTCTGGGTGGACTCTGGGGCATCAAGAAGGCTATCGACAGTGGGAAATATTTGCCACGATGTCCACCCTGGCGGAATCTATAATTAAGCTGTATAAAGTTGTTAGATATATACGCGATGTTCCTCTTTAGTACGAATTTTTATCTAGTATACTATTTTTGAATTTAATAATAGGTACTGAATAGAAGCCGGTTTCTATAGTAAGGAAGTTAGAATAAGAAAAAGAAAAAAGTGTAGTCGTCTAGGGAATCGAACCCCAGGACCTAGCAATACTTCATAATGATATAGTATAAGGATACGGTGTTAAAGAAGTTCTTAGGAGGGGCGGGAAGTACTCGCTAGGCCGTTCCAACACGACCTTTTGGCATTTGTTAAAAAACCCGACCGCTTGTTTGGTTTATAAGTCTTCATTTTTTAGACTTTGGATGGAAGAATGTCAGGCCTCAAAGCCAAATTGCTACTATAAGTATACCTAGGTGCTATGTATACCTCTTTACCCAACGGTCGGAGTTACCCCCTTTTGAGAATTGGACAAACATAAGCTTCTTCGGACGCTATAGGTATCACAATGATATAAGCACCCGCCAACTAGAATGCCATCTCAAAACTAGGTACTTGATCTTTGAACATAAGATCTAGCGTATTTGCAAGCTGTGATCGAAGGCCGGACTAAACTATTATCACTATAAATTTAACTAAATTCTCACTTGATAAACTTAAATCCCCAGATTCTAGATCTTCTCTAGCTACCAAGTAAAGTTGAATTCAACATTTTGTACTTCTTCTCTCGGTCGTATCCTCACAGGGATGTCGCTTATCGGCGTTAAAATGCTAGTTGAAATATGTTGTTTTGTCCCAGGGATATTCCACACTTCCCCAACAGGTTCAATGTCGTATTTCAGTACCATGATAATCAGAACACTCATAATTTCGTTCATCGCAAAGTATCTTCCAGGACACAGAGAGTTTCCTCCGCCGAAGGTGCGATGGGAAGATGCAAGGACCCCATGTGGTCGCTCCTTGAGGAAGCGCGTCGGGTCTACTATCTTAGCAGCTGGGCCCCAAGCGGCCTCGCTCATATGTACCTGCATTGACGGCATAGCAAGGAACGAGCCTTTCTTGAGTAGGTACGTCGTGCCATATTCGTCGTCAATCAGAGTGTCCTTGAGGAGGAAGCGTGCAGATGCATTGGTACTTTGAACACGGAGGACTTCTTTAACCAGCGACTCTAGAAGTGGGAACACTTTGATTATATCAGGAATGTTGACTGTGGCAGCCTCTCCCTTGCCCTGTCGATACACTTCAGCTTCGATGCCGTCTCGTATCTCAGCTAAGAGTGTGGTATTGGAGTAGACGTGACACAATGTCCAGAATACACCCGGTACGGTATTGACGAGAAGCGCAGTGCAAACACCCAGGTCAAAATGTGCAATGTCTTCGTCTGAGACGCCGTGGTAAGTGTTGACATCGTGGCGTGCTTTGATAAGGCGAGAGGCTGTGTCAAGCCCACCTGTAGCGTAATACTCCTTGAAGGCGTTGAAGAATCGGCTCCTCCCTCGACTTGCCTTAGGAGCAATGAGATTAGGCATTGTCATAAGGCCTAGGAAGGCTAGAGCCTTGTCTACTGCCCTGCGAAGAATGATATTAATATCTGGTACACCTTTACCTAGCGATAGAGCAAAGTTATTCATACCAAAATCCATCGTACACCTCATGGTCTTTCATTGGATTGTTTTCGGGTCCATATACAGCATTGGTGCTAGCTGCCGTGACAAACCTGCGGATCCAATCGAATAAATGAATCTCTTTAGGAGTGCTAGACTCAATCTTTAGGTCTAGAGAACTAGACACATCCTTTAACATCGCCTGCGTTATCTCAGTTAGACTTTCGCTTGGCATAAGAGTATTATGCATTGCTCTCATAGTCCCGGCGCGGAGAGTCGAAGCACCTTTCTCTCCAAGTATATCTTCAGCTAAGAGATCTATACTAGGCTGGCTCGCAACTAGAATCCGCTTGGCAAATTCGACGACATATGGTTCAAAGGACACAACCTTAGCGCGTCGGTCACAAGCTGTTACCAAACTAGGCGACGTCACTATGTACATCTTCCCGCCGGGGAGGCTTAACGTGAAGATTGGATGCTTGTGTTTCTTCCTAATATGTTTTATTAGTCACATAGTTGGTGCGGCACGTGGATATTCCAAACTAACGCCATCTTCGAATAATAGCCAGAGCCATGACGGAGCAAACCAATTGCGTGCCCAATAAAAGGTAGTTTTGCTGGTATAAGCGGTGGCTCTTGCGGATCATGAGGTTGAGTGAAAACCCGAATGAACAAGTGGGATGCAAGTATTACTACGCCTATTACTGGCAGAACTTGCAGTAGCAAAGTCATCATCAACTTCGAATATGCCCACGTGAATGTTGGTGCAGCAACGGAGTCCTAAGTCGATGTTGGAGTGGACAAATATGTAGTATCTGGTAGGAATATTGGAGTAGAGAAAACACTAAGTAGAAGTCAGGCCGCATATAAGGAAAATGGCCGACGACAGGCTTTACACAATAAGGGATATTAGATCCCTAGAGATTTCGCTGCCGATTATGACTATGTCGACACTGATTCTCAAGTGTTACGAGCATGCAAAGTGAATCATACCGTAAGATAGCCTGCAGAAAATGATACTTATTAATCCCACGCCTCCTGTGTGTCCGTAATTCTGGGCTTACGTTTCAGTGAACGAAAGAAAGGCTGGGACTAGGTGGCAATATTTAGGTTACAAAACGTAGCTGCACTGAGATTAAGGCTCTGGTTTGTTGTTGTATAACCAAGTGGCTTGGTGCCAATGCTTTTTCGGATTGGCTACTTGTGTTGGCCATCACCAACCGCCCCTATACCGCTCTGCGCATAGCGAGCTCGGGTTTATTCGGCATTGTTACGATAGGAACAATCAACTTCAGTGCCTCTAAGCATGCGCTAGCCACGGCTCGCCCCCAATAAGACACACATATGGTAGAGTTCAGCTTTGTTTAAACTTACTACTGATTCATATTGTGTTCAAATTTAGAAATGCGGTGCTACCTACATCTAGGAGCCAGCACTGGGCTTCTTTTTTTTATTCGTTACTCTCTCCTTCGTGGCGGTGATCTAGCCTAGCCCTTAGGTGATTTATGAGAGTCTAAACAAGGCTGAGCCGCTGGAGTGCATTATTTAGCATTTACGAATAAACATGCTTTCCATGATAATGCTGTCAGGCGAGTTGATGCCTGAGCGGTAGTTTGGTGCCAAGGTAAGATAATGGGACGTGTGATAGATACCTTGGAAAAGACGGCTTGGCATAGGCCAGAGGTGGCCAAGTATGTCTCAGTCCCTAAAATACTACGGAGAAAATAGAGTTGTCTGGTGACACCTTGGTGCACGTAGAAGGAGTAATGTTTTATTAAAATAGGTTACGTAGAAACATAGTATACACCATATTACATTATACCGAAACCAACAAGTTATGGCAACAATATGTAACACCTTTTAATTACTGTTATCCGGGACACTATCCTCGGACACAATTCCCATGGCCTTATCCGACCCTGTAAATGTTACGTGCCACTTCCGTTCCGGGTCTCTGGGTCGAAGTTCGACATTGATATCCTCATCTGGGACGGGGAAGCCTGCTTGGACCGGTGAATTTTCCCAGGTAGGCTCAATCCACTTGCCAGCGACAGGTATTACATCGAACTGAAGTACTAACAATGCTGCAAGTGCCATGATCTCTGTGCTTGCAAAGTGGCGGCCGGGGCAAAGGACATGGCCGCCACCGAATGCGCGGAATGCCACTCTGTTCGGTTTCTTGTGTCCAGAGGTTGGCTTCCGCACGAACCGCAAATGATCAAACTCCCTAGCATCTTCACCCCATGCAGAGACATCGGTATGCTGCACTGGAGCCGGGATCATGAGCATGCTACCCTTCTTGAGAAGAAACCGTCCTTCTAAGAGCACATCCTCGAGAAGAACACGCGGGCCAGGGTTGACGGCGCGGTAGCGTAGCGTCTCTTGAAATGTACTTAGAAGTATGGGACAAGACTCGCGGATGCCAGCCAAATCAACAGTGTTGATGACGCCCTTTTCTTTGTCATTCTCCTCATGCACTAAGATAGAAACTTCGCGGCGGATATCAGCTAGTACTTTCTCGTCTGAAAAGATGTGGTAGAGGACCCATAGAGCACAGGGTGTCGAATTTCCTAATACAGCAAAGGTGTTCCCGAGTTCCCCGCGCGCCACGTCTTCAAGACTGAGGCCGAATAGCTGCCGATGATGTTCGAAGCGCTTGCGCACGAGCCCGGAGGCCTTTTCGTGCCCGCCCTTGCGCATATAGTCAATCATGGCATTGGCCGCAAGCTCACGTGCACGAACGAGCCTGGGGAAAAGTAGAGAGGCGAAAGGAAAGACTGAAAGAGTTAAGAAGCCCGCCTCGAATGTTCTATGGCGATTATTAGTAGGGTTCTGGGTCTAATGGAGGCTTGATAGAGCTAAGGGATAGTGATCGTGCTTACTTCCAAGCTTCGGCGATAACAGGGTCTCGGTACGGGTTCTGTGGCCCCCAGACTGCTTCCGTCGTGGATTCAACCATGATTCGACGTGACCATTGCCACAGGCCGACTTTCACGGTTCCTTGTGCTCGCAGCTTTTCCATGTCGGCTGAAAAAACCTCGATCGATCTTCTGTTTATCGCATCGAGGTCCTCTCCAGGTCCCATTACAGGCGTGATATACTTAGGCCAACTTATACTAAAGCCCTCCTCACTTGTTAGGTTTTGATGCATTACCTTCACAGCCTCCTTGCTCATACCAACAAGGTTACCAGCATCAGCCGCGATAGCGGCAAAGCTGATAGTGCGCCATTGTTTCTGTAGCGCGGGAATAAGTTCGGTGGCATTCACAATGTACATTCGCGAAAAGGGCATGCGCAGGGTATAGATTGGAAGCTTGTACGTGTCTCTGTTCCAAGTTCTATATCAGTGCTCCGAACAAGAATCATACTTTGGTATGAGTTGGTATTTGTTGCTTAAGAATAGTTGACAAACCTCAATCGAATATAGAAGCGTGACTTTTCTCTGAACATTCCAACCAGAGGACCTAGGAAAGGAATCCCAACCTCGATGGCGGGTGGTTCCTTGGCATCCTGAGTTAAGTGAAGGAGAAAACGAAGAAAAAGGTAGGTAGCTACTATGCCACTAAGTGCGATGGTCACGGCGGGCGCCATAGTGTTCGAAGATTTGACAATGGAATGATAGAAAAGAGAAGGAAAGAAGGGAGGGGAAAGAGCAAAGAGATTGAGCTCTCAATGAGTAAGAAGTATGAGGAAAGGCTGTAGCTTCATAAGGATTGATACGAAGGATTGGAAATAATGATATATCACTTAATAATTTTATGTCACATCCCGAAAGCATGTTGCACTAACTGGAACCTTATCCCCTTGTCAATGCTCATACAGCTTGCTGTTACTTTTGTTGCCTGATCTGCCTAACCTACCTAGGTACCTAGGTAGGTGCATATGCGGGATGTCTTGGTATTTCGCCCAACGAACGAATCATAATCAGTGCCGTGACACTGGTAGTGTAGCACAGAGAACATAGAGTCGCATTTTCCCTGTCCGAGTATGAATGGGGGCCAAAGGGGGGGACATTGAGGGAAGAGTGCTAGCTTACTTTTTGCGTCCGTGTTAGTTGGTAAGATGGGTTGGTGAGAGAAGGTGGGCGGTTGGTATGGCATGGTACTTCTTATAGATGAGGCATATGTATGGCGGTAGAGATAATATATGATGGCTCCTACAAGGTCCAGCCATGATCATGATGGACGCAAAAAGGTCTTAGTCAAACTCCCTAATAATGAACAATATGGATTCTACCTCGAGCAGCGTTATTCTACCCACAGTCAACGATGGCATATCTGCGACGGCTTTTTATGTAAGCATAGTCTTCCAGAGATGGAGACAAATGTCATTTAACATAATGTCATTGCACCAAGACTAACTGACATATTCTCTCAAAGGCATTGAACTGGATCTTATTTGCGCTATGTAATATTGCATTTGCTACCAGGGCTTATATTCGTTATGTGTGCTTCCGCCGACTCCTGCTTGAGGACTACGTTATGCTTCTGGCTCTGGCCATGCATAATGCCGAGGCAGTTCTAATCCAGCTCTACGTTCGATACGCATACGATATAGAAGCTCTTGAAAAGGGCGACTTCACCAAGTTCGGACCAGATTTGAACAAAGGATTCGTCGCGGTTGGGGCTTGCGTCAACATTACGATTGTTGGGGTCTTGCTCGTCAAGTTGAACTTCTTACTTTTTTTCCGTCGTCTTGGCGCGAATATACAGCGGTTCACCATCATATGGTGGGCAGTTACATTATTCACTGTGGCTGCTGCCGTAGCTCAGATTGGAATGCAATTATTTGGATGCTTCTTCGGGGGACTCAATTACATATTTAGCGAGCAGTGTACCGATGCGGCAGCTATGCAGCGGATCTTCCTCAATGCCATCTTTTCAGCGACAGTAGATGCCATATCCGATTTCCTTAGTAAGTTCTTCCTGTTGTCTTCTCTTATCACTCACTACAGTCGTGCTCGTACCTAATAGTAATCATCTCTCCAGTTGTTGGTTTCCCTGTTGCGGTACTTTGGGGAAGCCGGATTAGCATAAAAAAGAAGCTGGTCCTTACGTTCGTGTTCGGCCTCGTATTTCTCACAATTGCTATCACAATTGTGCGTGGCAGTATTTTTCACGGAGTCTACAGTTCAACTTCTGAAGAGGGGCGGATGCAGAGTGCAACATTCACTTGGTTCTGGTTTTATTGCGAGTATAGCGTTGGTAAGTTTACCTGTCTCTCAAACTACTTTTCTCGGGGACTAGGCTACGCTAGAATCCATAACTGACAATCACATCTTATCACATGAAGCTTTCATCATAGCATGCATCGTCTCTTTCCGTACACTCTTTGTACAACGGGAGAATAAGAATAATGAGCGCCTTCAGGAGCAGCAGCGACGTGAGGCAGCCTATCAAAGTGCTATTCGTCGGGGTAAACGATGGCGCGCCAAGGCTCTCCACTTTCATGACAGCGTCCTTGACACATGTAGGACGCTCGAGGGTTGGTCAGGAAGCGAGGCTGAGACACTCTCCATGCGCCGTCTTCCTGGTGTGCCGTCTGGACTCATGACAGTGGATTTCAACGATGACGGTAATTGGAGCAGGTCTGTGACCAAGGACGGTCCGGATGCTGACAAGATAGTGGCGGCGCGGCCCGTCTAGGTGCGGAGCCTGCTGAAAACCCCAGATGCACCCCAGGTGCACGCAATGGCATGCTGATCCGATTACATACCTAGGTACTATTTATGTACCTAATGTAATTGGAAAGGCCTAGAGCGTGATGATGACAAGGAAGTGAATCCTACTTAGATGTAGTAGCATTGCTACAAAGGTGTTATGATGGCGGTTGGTGAGGAAAGGTGTTAAATTTGGATGTTATGAATAAATGAAATGAATAGTACGAAGGTTGGGGCCAAAAGTTTCGCACATATCCAAATCTTGGCATTATATTTTATATATTTTTTAAATTATCGATACTGTATTAGCCACACACTAAGCTAAAAGTTAGATAGTCACCTATCTACTAAATTCAGGTGGTTTGCTACTATATTTATAGCAATATTAGCCACTATAACTTAAATAAAACCGTACAGTCTGTTTTTATTCGTACGTGGCTTTGCCAAGCTTAAATATGCGAAACTTTTGGCCCCAACCTTCGTACTACTATATAGAATTGTACATACCGCATCCACTGAGAAACAATTCATTCTAGGGCACGGACCACGGACTTCAACTACACTATATTTGGACTGACCTAAACTATATCCGGTTACTTGCGATATTCGCTAAAGCACCCCACACCAGGATATGGTCAAATCATTGCTAGATATGGTATGGTTGAGGCGTGTGGTCCGTGCCCTAGAATGAATTGTTTCTTAGTGGATGCGGTATGTACCTAACCTATGTAGGTGTATGTGATATGTGACAATGGTTATTATATTACTACCCCAACTACCTAACTACCTATATAAACATAGCCCCCACGTTGTACTTTGTAATTTTAGAAATGACGCTTAAGCGCGGTTAAATAAAAACTTATCTCAAGTCATATTGAAGTGAAGCCGTGTAACATCAGGTACCAAATATAACAGGTACCTAGGTAGGTATTGTAAGTAACCTTAGGTACATAAGGTATATATTTGTATTTTTTCAGCCTCCACCCCTAACTACGCGGGACTGTGCCATGCTTTCGTAGCTTACACACCTTATCCTCTACTATACCGGCGCGTCTTTGCCACGATAGCTTCCTTAGCCTTATAGCAAATGCCCTATCTGCCGGGTGCCAACAAGTTTAATGTGCGCCTTTAAGATTCCGTAACATACCTCATATTTTTAGAATAGCTAGTCCTAGACTCTGCCAACATGTGTATCACCCGGTACTGGTGAAGCCTAGACTGCCCTTGATTGTCCTTGTTAAGGTTGACCTATCCCGATACTTATTGATCCAAATCGTACTGCCTAGGTAGGGATCCATTCTTTGATCATCACAAATCCCAACATTCCCGGTCACGTTTCAAAATGCCTTCATTTATGTTTATACTTTGGATATCTTTTGGTCTTGGAATAGCATGGACTGTTTATTCGGGCCTCTGCCTATATCGTAACTACGTTGAAGCCGCCAAGATCGGTGTCCCTATTCGCATAATCCCTATTGATCATCTTAATAAACTATGGCTCCTCGTGGATAAACAGGTCGTTTCAGTGGTCCGGCGACTCCCAGGGGTATTGGGTAAAAATAACTTCACCAGGTTCAATTATCGCGGTTGGCACGAACACGATGGAACTCGAGCACATGATGAGATGGGCGAGGCTTTCGTGCTGGTGACACCATGTCACAACTGGTTGTATATCGCGGATACAGATGCGCTAATGAGCATGTATCGTCGGGGGAAAGACTTTCCACGTTGGGTAGAGATTACAAGTACGCAAATTACCTGTCTTGTTTCCCTTATAGCCTTCCTCGTCATAATAATTATTATATTGCGTTCCTATGGAGTTTGCTTACAAGTCATATGATCATTAGAAATGTTGGACGTATTTGGAGGGCCGAATATAGCAACCGTAAGTGGCTCCCTTCGAAACACACCGAGTGAGTTACCGATGAAACCAGCTAAATAATAATGTAACTAGGCTTCAGGGGAACATTGGAGAATGCATCGCAAGGTCATCAACTCTTGCCTTGACGAAAAATGCAATGAACTTGTATGGTCTGAAGCTGTTTTGCTCGGTGACGAAATGGCACGTTATTGGGCATCTAAAGGCGTCTTTATGAGTGTTGGTGAAGATACGCGAACAGTATCTCTCCATGTCCTAAGTAGAGCTTGTTTCGGCCAGTCGTTCGCATTTGAAGGCTATGATGAGAGATTGCCAACTAGCCCGTCAGCAAGTTTCCGATTCTCCTTGTTGACTGTTATGGAGGGTGCACTTCTTATCCTTGCTCTGGGACCATCATTATTCATGAATCCATGGCTGCCTCTTCCGCATAGTTGGAGAATCATTGGAGAGGCGTGTGCTAAATTCAAAGGGCACATGACATATCTCTACAACCAAAAGTTCCGCGCCCTAAGCGAGGGTCACTTGGAAGAAGAGACAACACTCATGACTTCACTTATTCGCGAGTCTCAAGGAAAAGGCGACGGAAAGGGGTTGACCGAAGCTGAGATCTATGGCACAATGTTCGTAGTCAGCTTCGCCGGTCACGATACTACCGCACACCTTCTAACCTTTGCCATGTATGTACTCCAGGTATTTTAAACCCATTCTATATACTTGCTAATATTGTTAAACATCTCCAGCTTCTTCCTCGCGGCCAACCCATCTATTCAGGACTGGCTTGCCCAGGAGTTACGCCATGTCTTAGGCGATAAGCCTCGACAAGAGTGGGATTACCATGCCGATTTCCCCCGGCTTAAACGCTGCATGGCTATTCTTTATGAGACATTGCGCCTTAAGACTTTGGTGGCGGAGGTCAAGTGGACAAGCAACAATCTGCAATGTTTAGATATCGGTGATCGGACTGCGATGATTCCACCAAGAACTTTGCTTATTCCCAGCTATAAATATGTTCATCAACATCCAAAATACTGGGGTCCGAATGCACAAAAATGGATACCGAATCGCTGGATAGGAGAGGCTAAGGGTAACGAAACCTCCAAACCGGCTGTGGCGGTACAGACCCAAAATATAGTAGAGCAAGATGAGGATCTAAAAAGGCAGAATGTTGGAGATGACGAAATTTTACTCCCACCTCCATCGCGCGGAAACTATCTCGGCTGGTCCCGGGGGGCGCGGGATTGTCCAGGAAAGAAGTTTTCGAAGGTTGAATGGGTAGCTATCTTAGCAGCTCTGTTCCGCGACTGGAAGGTGGAACCACGGCTCTTAGAAAATGAAACGTTCGCAGAAGCACGTACGAGGACATTGGATTTCATTGAGAAAGAAACGGACTACGGAGGGTTACTGCTACAGTTGATGCATCCAGAGAAACTGCCATTAGTTTGGAGTCACAGGCGTTAGAAATAGTAACGCTTTCGATATATCAATACTAATTGGAAAGTATAGAGGAATAGTTAGGAGTTAACTTATATTCCATAGCGGGATCACTGGGTGTTCAGTCGGCCAGCCCTTCAACCCATCGAATACATATCAATATCTAGATACTCTTCTATATTCTCATAGCATATGATAGGCCATAAAAATCTGCGTACAAGTGTCTTAATTCCCCGCCTTCAACTCGCGAACATCTATGATAACATGTGAAATAGGTATCCAACATGAAACCTAGGACCTGTATACGAACGTATAATTAGCCTAGTACGAAAATAGAATTAACTTCTCATGAGCTCTTATCTTGAGCATCGAAAATTCAAAAGAATTACCAACAATGGATCTGCACTTTCGCGGCTTGAACAAAAATATCCCGTTACATTTGGTCTTTCTTACATTTCCGTATTACCTTGGATTGTAAGCGCCGACGTTACAAGTGCCAAGCGTGTTAGTCATGCAGCATACTTTGCATGGCACAGCCCCTCCCCCCCGCATGATTTATGTAGGCTGCTTACGATGTTTTGCTTATTGTTATAGTTCTTACGGGGAATTGGACAGTCGTGATAACGGCCGGTGGTAGGACGCCTCGAGGCTTACCAGTAAGGGGGTTACAGCAGTGTCAAGGTCACCGTGACAGTGGGGGTTATTGGATGAGCTAGTAGGAGTAATAATTATATCTATAGAAGCGTAACTAGCCTTGTAGGGCTAGTACATAGTCTTTACAGTTGTCCGTAATACTTACGCCAGAGGTGTTGATATAGCAAGCCATAGATGCATTAGTTTACATGGAATGATAGAACAAGACTATTAAAAATAACTTCGAGATACATCTGCGAAACGCAATATGTTAGCACCACGTCGTATGACATCTCCTTTAGTCTTCAAACTTAAGGCCGCAGGCAGAAGTTGGAGAGCAGGCCATCAAATGCTATTAATAGGCACCATAGGTAGGAAGTCATATCCTTTGCATATAGTTTAGACTATCGGCAAATTTTCTCTTGACTAGGACACTATATGTCATGATATAATATACCTAGCCTCGTTATTCCTATACCTAAATTTCTCAAAGCCTTATCCACAAAAGCAATCTCTAAGAGTGACTGAAGCTATGCATATATGGTCACTGAGCAGTATTGCAGGCACTTGCAGCACGGTTCTCGCACTTTTCCTCTTGGCCATTCCTTTTGTATCTTTTAAAATCTGGCAGCGGAGCCAAAATAAGTCCAAGCAACCTCCACGACTCAATGAGACGATCCCATTCGTGTCTAACGCCTGGCAGTTCATGACAAATAAGAGGGCCTTTATATCACGAGTAAGGTAAGAATTCAATGTACTTAGGTGGCTTAGAATGTTGCTCATAAGATTGTACTATAGAGTGTCTTTAGAAACAAGCCCCATTGTACAATGCCGAATCGGCCCTTTAAACCTACATCTTGTTACTGGTGGAAGTAATATCTCAGCAATCTTCCGGTCATCTTTCACCTCAGACCCTTGGATCTTACGCATACTCCAGCATAGCGCAGGATATTCACCCACAGATCTAGCCAAGTTCCGCCAAGACGAGTCTGGTAGTGCTAACCTCCCGCGTAGCGGGAGCACCCGATTTTTTTCCCCTGAGAAACGCATCTGGTATGCATTGCACCGGACATATAACGATGGTCTAGTTGGCGCTCACCCTGTTGATGCCTTTTCCGCATCATTCCAATCCTCCTTCAGCCAGAAGCTAGCCATGTTCCTACCCGGGGAATGGGTTGAAGTTCGGGTCTTCGACTTTCTCAAACGGCATATGATGACTGCCGCAACGAACTCCGTGCTAGGGCCACGAATCATCGAGGTTAATCCAGGTTTTGAAGATGCCTTCTGGCAGTATGAGAAAGCTGTCGAGACGCTGGCTTTTGGGTTACCAAGTTGGTTAAATAGAGAAGGTGTACGAGCCCGAGATCGCTTCAGTGCTATGTGTCTTAAGTGGTACAAGCTTGCTGATCAAGAATTTGACTGGGATAACTCTAAGTCACATGAAGGCGTACCCCTGGACTTGGAGCCCGTTTTCGGATCACAAATCTCGAGAGGACTGGCTCAGTGGTCGAGATCATTTGGCTTTTCAGCCGACAGCGTGGGTGCTGTGTATGCTCTATTTCTCTTTGGGTAAGTTTCTATCCATTACAATAGCTTTACGTCACGCTTAGCTATTACGTATCTAATCTATAGAATAGACTTCATGCTAACACAATCCCGCTTTGTGCATGGATTATGATGGAACTTATCAAAGACCCCAGCCTCTTCCAAGCAGTCAAGAGGGAAGTTTGTGAAGCTGAGATCACTGGTTCTCTTGTTTCTGAGAAACTGGACTATCAAAAGCTAGCCTCACTACCACTCTTGCAGTCGGTGTATACTGAAGCTCTGCGTCTCCACGTGGACGTACTTATTACAAGGACATCTACAGAGCCTGTTACAATTGCTGGTTATACTCTACCTAAAGGATCAGTCGTCCAGGCTCCAACTGGAGTTGCTCACCTTGATGAATTTACCTGTATGTACATTCCTGGCCCATGCTTTGAATTCATGTCGATGCACATCATAAGATAATTAATACTTAATGTCTACGAAGGGGGCACACAAGATCATCCGGCTAGTGAATTCTGGGGTTATCGGCATATAAAGGAGATAGAGATAAAAGATGATGTGGGACATATCACGAAACAACTTAGTTTCTCCCTTGCATCTCGTACAGGCTCCTTTTTCCCATATGGTAAGCATTTAACCACGAGAGAACTCTTGAAATCAATTTTCTTTTAATGCATACTAAATTTTCTATAAATAGGCGGTGGCATAAGCATGTGTGCTGGGCGAAATTTTGCAAAGCCAGAAGTGCTACTCGCTGTTGCTATGATGGTTTCGGAGTTCGACATAGAATTCGTCGAATGGATCGAAGCGGACGGGTCTCTTTCCCCCAGAGCTGCCGTGGATGACATGAGATATGCAAATGCAGTAGTGACTCCCCCTGATAGAGATATGAAAATAAAGTGGCGAAAGGCGTGGTAAACGAGTCATAATGAGTATTAAGACTGGTAAGGGATGGTTGCGACGGAACTAGGCTTCGACATCCTCGCCAGTCAACTGCGCCCTCTCTTTCGGCGCCATCAGGACAAATCGTGCCGGAATAATAACAGTTTGTTTACGACTTATTTTAAAGTTAACATTCCCAATTATGTTTTAGATTGACTTGGTGGTGTTAATCCGTTGCCATTGGCACATTTTTGCAATGTATTTTATTGGAAAAAAGATAGGTTCGTCAACCGTAATCTCCTGCTCGAAAATACCTACGTAGCATACTAGGTACCTAGCTTTCCATGGCAAATTCCATTTGTCAATCAGTCCGTTTGCGTTCGCTTGTCCAACAGCCGTTTTTCTAATGGGAAAGGCTTCTGTTTATTTATTAATAAGCGTATCCTTCATCAACGATATGTCGTTATTGCTTAGCTTTCCTTCCATCTGTACCTGTGTGGGGAGAGTGTCCGCCAGTTCTCGGCGAGAACGTCCACCCAATGCGGCCAAGTTTGGCAACTTTCAAGGCGTGGGGAATTTATAAGCATAAGAGTCGTGTTAGTTGCGTTAGTTGGCGGTTTTGAAGTTTGATTGTTGTGTTATAATACCCGGAGGACCCAGCCACATCATTTTTAAAGCAGTCATACCCTTACAGGTACAATAACACGGGCTATATATTGTGGAGGCACAGCTTGCTTTGTTAAAAAGAAATTCTAGCGTTTATCCCAGTGCCTATTAAACAGCATCAGGGCCTGCCCCGGCGCCAAAGGGGCTTTATCTGCCACTCTTCGAAGGCTAGACTGCTATATTGGAAACCCTTGGTCCTCGACGGAATACCATTAAATTTGAACAGTACCTGTTATGGTGATATTAAACTTCCCTCATGGAATGCCTAGACGAGTCGTAGAGTGATATAAATCTCTCGAGTCACATGATCGGTATTGTTGACTTTATCCGGCTCTTTCATGAAATGCACATGATATTTCTATTCATCACCGACAGATGTTCCCATATACCGGTTAATATGACAAGGTCATCCTTATTGCCTTGCTTACATCTCGCAATTACCCGCCTACAGGCTACTATATGCCGAAATGCATTGCGTGCTCAGCGCCCGCAAATGCACGTTCATTGCAGCTATGGAAAATAAGACGCCCTATTATCTTCTACGAGCTAGATTCTCGCATGCCTATACATATAATACTGCCCACAGTCATATCATACCCAGGTATAGAACTTAGCTCCCGTGCTTGAAATAAACCATACTTGCTGAGAACCACGCAAGACCACAATGAAGAGGGCATCACTCCTATCCTCTCTGGCTGCGGCCAGCTTCGCTCACGGGCAGTCCGCGCCTGCAACTATCCCGACTATCCTTGGTATCCGTGGAGCCAACTCAGCAGGCTGCTTCTCGGCTACGAGTATGAGCATCTCACTAAAAACCGACAGTTTGAAATTCGACTTTGCGGATATGAGGGCCAGCGTTACCCCAGCTACCCCGTACGATTCGGAGGCCGCGATATGTGTAATGTCCATCGAACTAGGTGCTTTTCCGCAAGGATGGCGCTTCGCCTTCTCGGACGTCTCGTATGCAGGATACGCAAACCTCGCGGGGGGTGCACGGGTTCGGAGCTTCGCAGCCAACTCGTACTTCCAGTGGGAGCATATCAAGAACAATGATGCAATTGATCAGCCCACTATCAAAAACTCATCCGGTTCTTATTTGGTGAGGCCTAATCTTCATAGGCATCTAAATTAATCTTGAGCATAATTCTAATACGATGCCTTATCACAATTATTAGTTGGACGTCCCGGAGAAGATCGTAGACTTCGGCGCTGCAGGCGCTTACAACAATAACTTCAAAGTCGACATCCGGAACGACAAGTTAGCTTGGTCTCCCTGCTTCACCGGCCAAGAGTACACATTCGACGATAACATGCAGGTCCAATTTCAGTTCCAAGCCTATCTAACCAAGGAAGGTCACTCGAAAACCGGAAGTGGCGTTTTTGGTCGTCCTATTGGCTCTGCTCTAACGGCAGACTTCAAAGTTGTTTGGGAGCAATGCGATCCGGCGCAGAGGAACTCCTGGGGCCAATTCAGAATGGGTGACTACGAGTCTTGCGAGCGTATTAGTCCGGCCGATAGCTCGGATGGGCAGCCCACCGTAAGGTGGTGATGAGCTACGGAAGTTCACCCCCTTTTGTATCAGTCACAATCACGATGCCCCTTTATAGGCGGATGTAATATGAGACCAACAGAACATCAATAAAGTGCTGAAATTCATGAACTTACAATAGCGATATGAGATACTTGGGTGAAAATGCTTCAAACAGGCGTATTTCAGCCAACTAACCGCACATATCCTAGTTCTATATGCGAAATGCATGTGTAGGTAGCTATTTGATGTGAAATGAAAAAGAAACTCTATATGACCGTCGCCCATTCAGGGAGGATTTCTTGCTCCCGCGGTACTGATGCTCGATTGCGATCATTGATGTGTTCATTCAGCGGGAGATCCTGGTACTGGCTTCGTATACCCATATCTACCCCCCTCTTCTGAATATACCTCGCGAAGCCTATCGTCTCTCTCTTCCACTCTTCCCTAGATATCTTTCCGGCGATGTAATCCGCGTAGATCATTGCGTCAAAAGCGGCCTGCGAAGTAGAGGCGACCGTATGGGGCCGGAATCCAGCAAGCGCGTCGCCTATTAGGACGACTTTGCCGTCTAAGTACTCGTTCTGGGGGGTCAGAACGTCCGTCACGGCTTGAACGAATGGCTTTTTAGTTCCGCGGACAATCTCTGCAAATTGCGGCGGAAGCCTTTCACGCGCGAGCTCTCTTTGCTTCTCCCAGGCGTCTGGGTTAATCGCACCTGGCGGGATGGTGATTTGCCTCCGTCTTCCATCCTTGTCTGTCATAATCTCTTCAAACTCTGTCGAGCCTTCGGGGAAGTTGGTGTAGTAGACGAAGTTAATGAGACGTTGATCTGGTTCTATCGTCCCGTCCTTTCCTGGAATCAGGTACGCCAGGATTTGGATTCCAGGAGAGTGGAAGAAAGTAAATCGGTGACTAAAAGCTTCTCTAGCAGACTCGCTAGCTTCAGTCTCGATCACTGTCCCACGAAGGGCACAATAACCGGCATATTTCCTCTCGACATCCGGTTCAAGGATTTTTCGTATCGTCGAGCTAGGTCCATCGGCTCCTATAAGAATATCACCAAATATACTTCCCTCTTCTCCCTCACTCGTTTTCCAGTACACCCGAATACCGTCGTCCTCCTTATTGAAACTCACGACTTGTCGATCATGTAGGTGAGTCGCTTTCCCATGCTCGGGGGCAGGCTCCGGCACTTTGCAATATGGACTCTCAATACCGTCGTAGTTGGCGCGCATAAGGTAGTACGTCAAATCCCAAGAGGTCATATATTGCACTGTTTCCTCTTTGTGCACTATATTGCCGTCCCTGTCAAGATACTGTCTCCTATCCGAGCGAACAGCAAACGGTCGATCGCATCGATTGTATCGGTTGAAAAGCGCGAGGGTGTCACCACCTGCGACTATTCCCGCTCCTTGGTCCTGAAGCAACGGGGCGGGGTTGCGCTCTAGGATCGTGGTGTCGTGGCCGAGCGCTTTCAATGCAAGGCCAGTTGCAAGACCACCGAGTGATCCTCCAACCTAATAGATTCAATTAGTGAAAATTTATATCTAGTTCAGTAGTCGCACTCACAATCACAAAATGTAGCTTTTTTGCCCCCTGGCCCTCTGCCAGCTGCTCAGTCGAGGGAATAGCCATGATCAAGTTCGTATCAGTAATCGGTCGAAAACGAAGCTGTTGATGAAGTATTCTGCCAGAATATACAGCGATCCCTATCAATTAAAGTAATCCTGTTGGCCGACGAACATACGTCTTCTGAATTACCCGGAGGACATCCAATATGGAATGTGCCGGACTTGACGTCACATCGACCTAATCACATTGAACGGCAGATGCCTTATTGATTACACTCCACTACTCCCGTATGCATTATATTTGATAAGATATAGTAAGACGGCCTCATCACATCATGAGAAGCTAAAAAGCCCTCAAGATATATTACTAAGCCGTAAACATATAAATGAAAACAGTCAGGAATATTTGCATTTGAACAGCAGGTAAGCTATTAATTCAAATAAAATATGTTTACTATGTACTTGCATCTATAATCTAGCACTCGGCATCGTTTAAGCTGCTCCTAGTCAGCTCAATTTATTACATAGCATCGAAACTTTTAAGAATCAGAGACTATACGACCCCTTAAGGACATTTATATCCTATCGTAATTAACTTCCACAATCAGCCTGCGTGTAGTTACTATGCTGTGGAGACGTCCTTGTAATGAACCAGATACACGTGATAGTGTCAAGAGTTAGGGGAGCCTTGAAACTATTGATCTCATATAGTTGTAGTATAGGTCGTATAATAATTACTTCGGTTAGGTAGCTTTCGGGGCTTCGTCGACGTTAACGTTGTTACAAATCTCGCCAAAAACTTCCACCATATGATCCAACCGATCCCTACTCTCTTTTATCCTTGCTGCCATATCCCTTCCTAAGGGGAGTATCATTTCCTTCTCGTGGCCTTCACCTATGCCCTTGCCCATGACTACATCATATATTGCTTGAGTCGCTTTGACATGGTCGCCGGGAACAGCAAAATTTCCCGTGCTCAAGGCAGTAAAGAGTTTCTCTGTTGTTGTCCCTTCATAGTCAGGGTCAATAGATTTACATACTGCCCCAGTTCTAGTAACCATGGGAGTATTGAACGCTCCCAGATAGAGTAATAGAACACGGACATTGAAGTCTTGCATTTCCTTATGTAATGTCTTTGTTATACCTTTAGTTTATTAGTCCAAATAGTAGTTAATCAAGATAAGGAAAATAGTTACCATCCAGAGCCGCCTTGGAGGCGCCGTAAACACCTAGAGACTGCACCGCTTCCATTCCGGAGCCGCTGCTGAAGTTCACAATCATACCCGAACGTCTCTTGCGCATATGAGGCGCCGCCGCACGCATTAATCGGTACGGCCCGAAGAAATTCGTTTCCATAACCTGATGAACTTCTTCTTCGGTGAAGCATTCCGCAGGGCCTGTCATGCCGATGCCCGCAGAATTGACCAAGACGTCGATCGCTAGTCCCCGCGCTTCGATGTCTTCAATTACACGTCCGCAGTCTTGTTCGTCTTGGTCTAGCCTAATCCATTCACCCCCCTTCTTCGTGAATTTTTCTACCAGCTCCGGTGTACGACTAGGGTTCCGGGATGTCGCGATAACATTATGACCATTAGCTTGGGCAGGCCGTGCCAGCGCCAGGCCGAACCCCGACGAGCAGCCAGTGATTAACCATGTTAATTTCCCCTCCGACATTTCCAGCGTCACGGTTAAATTATGTCTTTAGGTCATAGAACAATCACGCGTTGTTTAAAGGACTTAGAATGCCAGGCAATTATGATAGGAATGACATATGAACCTTATAGTATATATAGTTCGAGAACGGGTTTTGGCGGATATAAAAGACTATCTCCATGATCTCGACCCCGCAGCATCCCTACTACCTAGGTCACTAACCAAAGCCGACCATGCGGGTCGGGATGGAACATCACCCGATCCCGCAGTCTATTTATACAAGTGCTCATTCGGCTGTTACCAGAGTATGTTTAGACGTCATTAATTCTAATAAGTGCTATGTTAACACGACTAATATACCTAGTAGGTATTTAAAGGTAGAGTACCTCAGAACTAAGAGTTTCTATAATTTAGAATATAAAACATCTTTGAGGTATAACTTGGTCTACTATTTAGAGAGAATAACAGAAAACCACCAGTAGATTCGTATACAGTTATACATCGAGCCTCGTCGTGAGATACATATTGTGCAAACCGTCCTACCCATTCTAACTAGGTAGATATTCCTCGGCCATAGGTCCTGTGCCAGTAACATTATCAATCAGTTTATAAACATGTTTTCACCTTAGCTGTATGTTAGTTAGGGACATTGGTATTTATTATGCTGTGTGTCTGGGGTAGTGGTTAGTTTATAAACATAATATTTTTGATGGTGCTCAATAATTACTCTGAAGTCTCCTTTAACAGCCCAGCGACTATTGCTAGGATATGAGAGAATGACTGTACAATTCCCCACTAGAGTAGGATCTAAATACCAATCAGGTGCATGTCCTTGAAATAATTGCTTCAGTCAACAAGAAGAACGTCGTAGTTTCGACCAACCGGATATGAAGTCCGGATAGATAATCGTCCCGTTCTGAAGACTCACCTACAGGCACTTTGGGTACCATCTAGATGACCAATTGCATAACTTCCAAGAGGGTTAATACAACGGGTACGTATGCGAAGTGAATAGCTTAAAAAAAAAAAAAACTTTACTAACTTTAAATGTCTATTCATATTATCAGTCAATGTACACCTAGTCAACCTATAATATTAAATCATTTTTCAAATGTGTCAAGGTATACATACCTAAAAGTTAAAGGTAACTACAAAAGTAAATCTACTATACAAAAAGCACGTAGCACCCTCTTAAAAAGGTGAAAAAATAAGTGTTAATAGTTTATTATTTATCATAACATTCACTTTATTTATAATAACACCAATCAAGAGTATGGTATTTAACAATATCTAGGTGTTTAATGTAGAGCATAAAGACATCTTACCTGTACACAAACACTATAATCACAACCTTCTAATCTGCTGTCTGCTGTAGCATATTTTAATGAATAGAAAATACAGTACTTGGATATCAATACATCAAGGCTTCTTCTCGTCTTTATTCTTCATCAATCTAAATAATATCTCCCTTTTAAATACCTAGCCCCCCGTCACTATTTATCTAACTAGGCAATAAACGAACTAACCATTTCTTCCCTGGCCATGTCGACTCCAAGGACTTGTAATCAATCTTTGTCAAAATGCACAATGCCACTCCACTATACCGGTACAAACCCGTCTCATAATGCAGTCTCTTCGCAAAGGCTTCCATATGAGCTTATTTATCTCATTGCAAGAGACTTTTCCGGACTACGGAAAATCTGTCGACTAAGTCAGATGTGCCGCCAGCTGGCGGTGCTACTTAAGGGGCTTCTCTATCGGCGTAATGTGTTAGATGTCAAGGCTGCTCAAGAAGCTGCTACTGCCGCAAATCGACATCCAATCATTCACAATCTACGGTTCTCGGAAAGCATCAAAGACTTCCAGATGCATGCAAGAAGATTACGTATCAGTCCTTCTCAATTTTCGGTTCTGCACTGGGCTGCATGTCACGGGTCCGTTGAAATTGCAAGAGCTGCTATTAGAACATCATTAAGATTATTTCCCGACAATTTGAATGTCAAGGACACATATGACCACACGCCGCTATCTTACGCCGCGGCCCGTGGACATGTAGAGATTATGCAAGAACTTATGGATGCGGGATGTCTCGTAAACACCGGGATCTGGAGCAGATTTCTAAGCTCTAACTCTCACTTGCCGACACACCGCTATGCATTGAGTACCCCTTTAACTCTAGCAATTATTTCACACCAAGAAGCTGCTGCTACCATTCTGGCCCGACGCACCGTTTACCAATACAAGCTTTACCGTCGGCCGATCCTAGGTATCTATGGACCACTCCATCTAGCAGCATGGGCACGCATGCCTCGTGTTGTTGAGATATTATTATCTAATGGATTTAACACATGGGAACTTATGCCTGCTTTTGGGGATCGATCATCTTTATGCTATGCTGTTTTGACAGAAGACAATACAGAGACGATAGATATCTTGCTTGGCCACGACGTCTCTATGAATGTCGCGGGTCTTTGGCATAATCATACCCCTCTTGAGTGTGCTATATACCATAAGTGCTTCCGCAATGCATTACATCTCATTGAAAAATATCTACCCGCGGGAGAATATGGTGAATGGGCAGAACGCGCATTGGTCATGGCAGTTGTCCATGATGATGGGCTTACTGTCACGGAAGCTTTGGCAAACATCCTCAACGCGCAAGGCGAATTTGAAGGGATCGAGAGTGCTTTCGTTAAATCATCTAAGCACAAGTCCGAAGCCCCTGAAACCAATAAGTTCCTTGCTAAATTATTGGCTGTAGGGCTCGATAGGACTTACCTTCGGGGCGGACAAGGATACCTTCATTGGGCTTGCCAGCAGCATCACGTCGACATGAGAGCTTTGAACCTTATGCTTCAAAATGAGCATTGCCCACTTGACATTAACGCGAAGGATGCAAATGGGCTCACACCTCTTGATCATGCAGAGTTACGGTGCCATGATGATGCTAGCTTTCTTCTCCGAGAGGTGTATTTGGCGAAATCGGGTGACGAAGTATAAGTATGAATACGTGGGCATAGATGTGATTATATTATTACATTTTCTTCCAGGGAAGTAGATGATTTTTTTTCGACGTGGTGTTTTCTTAATAGTTACCTACATACCTTGGTACATAGATATCTAATACATTATTTACATTCATCTTAGAAATGAATATGCCATCATGTTAGGTTAGGTATCTCAGACCTTATTTAGGCCCCTGACGGGGACCCCGCAGTCTTCTAGCACACATTATTCAGGCTATTGCTGCTCACAGACTTAAACTGTGGGTTATCAAGAAGTAATTACCTAAACTATGTGTAATTGAGGCGAGCACAATCAACTAACATCGTTTATTTACCAAGAAATTCATACTCCAAATGTCCCCCAAGACCGTCTTCATTACCGGCTGCGGTCCGGGTGGCATCGGTTCGGCCCTTGCGACAGAGTTCCATCTGCGGGGCCACCGCGTCATCGCCTCATCGGAGGATCTACCCACACACCTCCAGGATATCGGCATCGAGACGATAGTCTTAGATGTCACGTCGCAAGACTCGATCGATAAGGCCGTAGCGCACGTGTCCAAGCTCACAGACGGCAAGCTAGACGTCCTGATCAATAATGCCGGCATCTTGCACATTATGCCCTTCGCAAACACCGACATCGTCGCCGCGCGCCGCGTTCTCGATGTCAACGTGCTAGGCGTATTCGCTGTGACGCAGGCTTTTCTTCCGCTCCTCATAAGTGCCGCCGCTGCCGCTAGGAAGAGCGGTGACGACAGCGGGAGAGAAACTGCGCTAGTAGCTAATATCGGCAGCGTCAACGCCCAACTTAAGCCAGCTTTCTTCGGCATTTACAACGCGTCGAAAGCTGCCCTTGACGTTCTAGGTGCCACCATCCGCCCTGAATTGGCGCCTCTGGGGGTTCGTATCGTGACTGTTAAGACGGGTAGTGTCGAGACTGGACTCTTTGCTCACGCGCCCCCGACAAAATTGCCAGAGGATAGTCCGTATCAGCCGTTGCGGGAGTACATTGAAAGTCGGAAAAGTAGGTAATGTATATCTTGCTCTAACATCTTGGCTGTGTTACCAAATCTGAGCTCCTGGACCAATTATTGAAATAAAAGACTGCTAATTATTATTGAAGTGTTGGAGCGGATAAATTATATAGATCCCGCGACATATGCGAAGAGTGTAGTTGATGATCTTCTTAAACGCACTGTAAAGCCCGTCATTTGGTACGGCCCCATGTCGACAATTGCCTGGATCTTGAGTTGGTTTGGCTGGGAAGGGATGACGGTGAGCTATAGAATATACTCGTTTCCTTTTCTTGATTCAACTTGCTGATTTTATGTTGTAGGATAGTATCTACATCAGAGAGAACTTGTTATATAAGTGCGCTATAAATAGGTAGGTATATAGTGCTTTAAGTCAAGACAGTTAGTCCCATCATCACCAGTTCTCTCGATTTAAGAGGGATTAGCGGAGTCGCCTGGGTTAGAAGATGTATATTAGGTATCTTTTATATAGTTGAGCGGGGACTGAGAGTTTCTCATACTAATATTACTGGATCTAAAAGAATAAAAAATAAAAAATAAAAAAAACCCTCTAACATAACATACGTGGTAAAGGCAAAAGGAAAGGGTTTGGCCGGGGATTGAACCCGGGACCTCTCGCATGCTATTGCAAAGGGTGTACCCTAAGCGAGAATCATACCACTAGACCACCAAACCTTGCTGATCAGACAGATCGCAGAATACAGACTGTGCTGGATGTGAACGTGGACCGCTAAATAGCCGCTATGTTCGAAATCGTTGGGACCCGGTTCGAAGGAGCTGGGGCATGCTAAGTGGCTCCAGATGGAAACTAAAGATCCAATGATAGGCTAAGATCGGTAACGCGGTGATGACACTGAGGATACAGGGCAAATCTCTCTGCAAGATCGGATCCTCGAAAACTCCGACTCGTACTCGGCTAGAAATTTACAGAGAGGCAGGATCGTCGTTCATCTAATGCACAAGGATACTTAATATATCTCATTTAGAGATATCCCGTGGCTCGAGGCATTTTCCGTAAAATCGTCAGCAAACCCATCTGTCCCACTTTCATTAATATCAGGTACCTATTAACTGAATTATATCTAAAGTGTGGCTTGCACTTGACATCGGTGTACGACGTGTGGCTGATCACGCCAACCTTCGCGGCGCCTCTTTTTTTTCATTTAACACACGGCTGACTTATCGCAACTGGGCGAACCATTTCTCAACTTAATTATTAATGCCTACCTACCCTAAGAATCCGGATTTATATCTTCTGTATATCGCGAAGGTCTAACTAACTCGGCTGCATTTTCATTTTCAAGATTACCTTAGGTACCGTAGTTTTACGAATCTCAAATTTGTTGTATTTCTGGGAAGAGTTCGCTTGAGCAAAAGCAAAAGCAGACCGCGACGGGCGAAGAAATATTATCTTGGTGAAATCTGAGGTCGACCCCAGCGACTCCCCGATAAAAAATGAGCTGGCCATACAAAATATTCGCGCTGGACGATGCTCAGAAGCATGCTCGGCGCCAATCGCTTGACCGTCATGCGGCTTACGCGCAGCTCTCGGCGCTGATTCCCATAGGCCTCATCTTTCTCTACCGGCTAGGAGTATTTTTGTTAAGACGGGCGTCACCTTATCAGCCCGTGGCTTACTCATCCGTTCCGAGCTCCCCGGGACTCAAGCATGAGAGACAGAGTCCTGCCAGGTATTGGAGTACCACGGCGAGGCGTATCGCATGGTGGCTTGGCGACGATGTTGTCATTCTAGGGCTGAACTTGGGACAAAGAGACCAGATGGTTTTCGGCTCTTTATGGTCCATGTGGCTTGTCTTCTTGTGTTTCGATGGCACTGGAAATGGTAAGTAATATGCCGTGTCCCAGTTTACCCCAAACCCGAGCTGTCGGGTCGATCTGATTACTACCTCATAACGTAAGAGATACTCCAGCTGATCTAATACAGATTACCTTCACCTTACAAAGCGTTTTGGGATAGTTGCCATATCTCAACTTCCGCTGCAATATTTATTAATATTGAAGAACATCAACCCCATCGCCTTCGCGTTCGGGTCTTCTCATGAGCAACTCAATCGGTGGCATCGTGTCCTCGGTTGGATTATCTACTCCCTGTTCCTTGTCCATGCAGGCTTATACTTAAACTTCTATATTCAAGAAGGCATTCTCTCTGAAAGAATCGTCCGACTTGTTCCAGCTCTTGGGCTTGGTTCAATCATTGGCATGAGCTTGCTGAGTGCTACGGCCCTTAAAACTATCCGTACTTATTCCTACCGTGTCTTTTTCATTACGCACCTTGCGGTAGCGATGGCTCTCCCACCGGCCATCTTCTTCCATTCCCATCACGGGGGTCGGCAATATTTAGTCGAGGCATTACTCGTCTTCTTCATCGATCTCGTCAAGCGCAAGATTGATACCGTCACCGTGACATCGACTGTAGAGCTTATTCCCGACACCAACTTAATCAAGATCGTAGCCAGCCTCCCTTCCTCAAAACTCGATCGCTTCCGCAAGTACGCCGGAATGCATGTGTATTTGAATATTCCCTTTGCTTCCCGCCGCAGCTCGCATCTTATATTCGAGTTTGCCTATAACCCATTCACTATCGCGTCGGTAGATGAAAAATCAGGAGAACTAACTTTAGTTGCGCGACGCCAGAGAGGGCCTATGACTGGAGCCTTAGCCCAATTTGCAGAAGTTGAGTTAACCGACACTAAAGTATCGCTATGCATGGAAGGCCCTTATGGGTACGCGACATGGTTTCCAAACCTGGCCGGCCCGGAGTTTGATCGGATCCTTTTAGTTGCTGGTGGCATTGGTTCCACATTCATCCTACCTATCTCCAGGTATGCCCAGCTTTCACTTAGTTTGATTAATAAAACGTTCATACTAACACCGACCTAAATGCAGTAAGTCATTAGTACCTACCTAGGCACTTTTATAGCTTTGATTTCTACATCAAACCTGATTCTAGAATAATACCTGACCCAGTGTCTAAACACGGGGTTACCGAGCCTAGATGCTCGAATAAAGGATTAATCAATATCCTTGTGTAGGAGACTAACAACTTATAGGATATATTATAAATGAAAATCCATTAGCCCGGGTACAGGTTGTCTGGTCAGTACGCGGAGCCGCTGATGCATCGTGGCCTCGAGACAGCGCGGCAGATACTCTCGATGACAACATACAGCTATTCTTGACTGAGGACGTTCCGCGCGAACCCGCTTTACGAGAAGCAGTCGAGTTAGATAGTAATTCGTATCTTAATCCCAGGCAGGTTCATAAACGGCCCGACCTACGGCAAGTCGTTGACGACTTTTTTCGCCAAGGGCTTGAAGAGAGAGTCGCCGTGTTGGTTTGCGGACCGGAGGGGATGGCTCGTGAGTTGAGATCACACGTCGGTGTTTGGGTTAAGAAAGGTCGGAACGTTTGGTGGCATAACGAGGGTTTTACATGGTAGCTGTTTAAAAGATGAGGGATTCGATGGGACTTTAGGTAGTTTAGGTAGGTAGTTTAGGTAGGTAGTTTAGGTAGGTAGTCTTGGAAAGGGTGAACTTTCTTTTGGATGGTATTCTTGGATGGTGTTCTTGGCACCTTGGCGGAAGCAACTTAATACATACCTCTATTTCTTGATCTGCTAACCCTGCTAGCCCAGTGATCACCGATTCATGCACGTCTCCAAGAATTCACCCTCTAAGTAATGTTTCTTACACATATAATCATCACATGCGCTTCTCAACCTTGTAGAAAATCCATGTCTTCTTTTCTACTTGGGACTATAGTGGCTTGGCGGCTTGGCGGCTTCCTCTTATGGGAGCATTTAAGTTCACCCAGGGACATGGGTGCTTAATTTTCCCTTAAGGAATCCCGCGACGGGGGACTAAGGTGTAAATAATTGGCATACTTTTTCATTTTTTTTTCTATCAAGGAACTACTGTCTCTGAAGATGAGATGAAATGGAAAGTTCTAGCTACGCCTATTTCATTTAAATGAGCTGTATAGAAACGGATTACCTCATTGTAGAATTGTCGAAGCTTATGAAAGCTCTATTTCCTTGGCATCTTTGCTGGCGCGTTAATCTCAGCTGGTTAGTCTGTCATTCGACAACTTACTTTTAAAGGGTTAGTTAGGTAGGTATCTAATATTTGTGCCATTACCAACAAAGCAACTGATATTCCATATCTTACCGACTATTACGTATTTGGGGCCATTCGAACTCGTATGCAAATCTCCTCGATCGTCCAAGGACTTTGTCCATAGCTGATATGTCCCACAGAGGCCCACTGAATCGTATTGATGAAAACTAGGTGTTTTGGAATCCTATTTTGGAATCCTAGCTACTAGGTTAGAAGATATTATCTTATCAAGAGTTTGAGATCTAATCCCAAGTTCCCGTATAAATGATTTGATTCGTCGAACCCGTCGGATTTTCTAAGGTCCTTCGAACCAATCTAATAGCCAATCTAATAACCTAGACCGGCACGTTGATACTCGTCTCCACTGATCATCTCGAACATGGCGTAGATTTGGCTATATCATCAGTACCTAGTTCAGGTACTCGCCTGAACCTTGCATCCGAAAACTTCTGTTAGCTTCCTCTATTAGCCTTCCTCTATTAGCTTGTCAACGGGCCGAACCCACTAATAGAGCCGTGTATTTTAACTATATGGGATCTTCGTAGTGGTAAACCCAGTTCGGAATAGGAAAGAAACGATCAGAGAATCCTGATAGAAGCCAAGCTCGTAGACGCCCTAATGCAGGTAAGAAGGGCCGCATGAGTTAACTTTGTACATAAGGTACGACGAATCATGCCATCGTCCGGCTTCCACCTTATGAAAGTAGATGGTCGTGCTTGGCGATGATTACCTACATAGTACAAAGTCGTCACCGTGATGGTGGCGGTGCTGACTCTTTCCTTCCGAGATGATCAAGACAGGGGACCAGGTCCTATGATGAACGTTAAATATAAAATGGAAGGATCGTCGTCACCCAGGACGACCTAAATACTATTAACTTCACATCCAGAGGTCTTTTCACGTTCTCCTTGCCTCAAGCCGCTCATTTAATTTAGTCTTAGCACTTCAATATGCGTTCAGCACTTCTTTCTCTCTCCCTACTCGGAGGAGCCTTGGCGGCACGTCCGTTTCTAAACGAGCCCGATACGGGGTAAGTCTTGCCGAGTAATGCCCTTGTTTACAAACTCAGGAGAAGTGCTTACACGGAAGAAGTTTCGATGAGTACTTCGCCGATCTACCGGCCGGAGAGCTACCGCCTCTAGAGAAAATCGTCGGACTCCCAGATTTCGATGCGGCGGCGAGAAGGCATCTTGCAATTCAGAACTACACCTATTATCGCAATGGTGCTGGCGGCGAGTGGTCGTACCGGAATAACCTCGAGGTTTTCAACCGATACGTGCTCCGTCCGAGGACTATGGTGGATATCACGAATATCGAGTCAACTCTCCCGTACGTTAGTCTGCAGTCCTTAGCTTATTCGATATGTTTTACTGATGATGAAGATATAGTACCACGATTCTCGGCCACAACTTCTCCGCGCCCTTCTTCATCAGCCCCGCTGCTCGGGGAGGCTACGGAAACATCGATGGTGAAAAGGGACTCGTCGAGGGAGCCGCAGCGGGAGATATTCTCTACATGGTATGATTCTGACTTGCTTCGTTTGGCCCGTATCACTTGTAAACTCACATACACTAATATTGATGATCCGATGAAGCCCGCCCAGCTAGCTAGCTTAACTATCGAAGAGATTGCTACGTTCAAGAAAGACAACCAGGTTACCTTTCAGCAGGTTTACCTCGACTCAAACGACACCGCAACAAAGGAAGTCTTCGCTCGGGCTGAGAAGACCGGAAGTAAGGCCATTGTTTTTACGATAGACTCGGCCGCGGACGGAAATCGCCACCGTGCGGCACGCTACGGCGTCGGTTCTGCGTAAGCTCATCGGTTCTAAGTACCATATTCCTAATATAATAAACTAACACGTCATATAGCGACTCTTCTTATACTTTGATAACCGTAAGTTCACCAAGGCGAAGTTCCGGAGGCATAGTTCGGCTGGTATTGGATCCGAAGAGCTAACATGGGAACTCATTTTCTTAGTGGGACTTTTACGACCACATTCGCACTCTGACAGACCTTCCGATCGTCTTAAAGGGCATACAGACGGTGGAAGACGCGCAAAAGGCCGTCGAGCACCAGGTTCCAGCTAGTACGTGACATCAGGACTCCCTTCTTAGGTCGTTCTAGAAACTAGCCCCCTGTTAAGGGGATATAGACCTAGAAATACATTTTATCCCTTGTTAGAAATCACTAACCCACATCATCAGTCTACTTATCCAACCACGGAGGTCGCCAAATCGACGGCGCACGCTCGACTCTCGAAGTAGCTATCGAGATCCGCGATAAAGCCCCTGAGGTGTTCTCTCAATTAGAAGTATACGCTGACGGCGGCGTGCGCTACGGTGCCGATGTAGTCAAGCTGCTGGCTCTTGGTGTTCGCGCCGTCGGGCTCGGCCGCCCGTTCATGTATGCCAACGTCTACGGCACAGACGGGGTCAAGCGCGCTATTGATCTTCTCAAGCACGAGATTGCTATTGATGCAGCGAACGCGGGGGTTACGGATCTGAAGAAGATCGATCCCAGCATCGTAGGTTTCTCTTTTCATATTCTACTATTGAAGTGAACGATGGGGACTGACATAATTATAGGTCGATTGGACGCCTAACTGGGCTCTGCCATAGGTTTTGATACGGATCGTATAAAATAGAATAGATAACTAATGAATGACCGCTTGAATTTTGCGCATACTTCCATACAAGACGACCCGGTTAACCCATTTATGACAAGATTTCGTTGGAGGATTTTCCTAAATATACTACCAGTCCCCATCTTCGACATCCTACGCCTCTCGGTCTCGTTTGGTTCTCGCCACCATTCTTCGGCTTTTTTCTTCGAAAACCCCCTTTTCTCCCATTCTAGAAGATACTCTGGGCCAATCTGGTGCCAGGGTACGCCAAGATCCTTCGAGACTTGGTCTTGTAAATATCCTATGACATTAGTTGGGTGGACCTCGGGCGCCTTGCCATCAACAAAGAATATATCAAACATTTCGCGCTCCTCGCGTTTCCTTTTATCCACTGCTTTCTCCATCCTCCTTAGTGCTCCCGATTTAGTGTATGATGGCAGATGCATCGAGGCGTCTACCATTTCCCAGTCCAACTGAAAACCGGCAGCATCATAAGTAGGTGAACCCTCGCGGCCCTTTTTATGGCATATTTGTAAGTCGTGGAATGCTTCGCTAGGGTCCAAGAAACATTTCTGTTCGAAGAGATCGGCCTTGTCTGCGGCATTAAGCCTGCCCTTAAGCTTTTCTGGCTCGGGGATATAAAATCGCTCTTTGAAGCCCTCCGGTATGTCGAAACAGTCCCGTCGCGGTCGTCTTACACGTCCGGGCGTGGGGCGCGGATCGCGTAGCTGACTACGATCATAGTCGAACTCCAAGTCTGGCGTCGTTAGGCGTGGTTTACGTTTCTCGTCGGGAATCCCTTCTGGTTCCTTGGTGCCGGATGCCCTAGCCTGCTTTCCTCGCCTAGGTCTACTCGATGACTGCGAGTCGGTGGACTTTCTCTTGCGCCCCCTCGTTCCGGTAGTCTTCGAGGTCTTGGCTGTGACTTTACTGGAGGATTCGCCACTTTGGTTTCCTGAGTTCGCGCGTGCTGACGCGCTGCGCAAATGAGGCGGCATTGTGGAATAATATTGAATGCAGAGAAATGCCGACAAGTTAGTCCAAGAACTCGACCTTGCTTTTATTCACATTCTTCAATTATATGATATCAATGGCACGGATCTTATATTGTTCGTTGCGCAAGGTCCCAGGCCGCTATAGAGATCGTCCCCTATCCCTGTATCATCATTACCAGGCGTTTACATCATAGCACGAACTCCTAAAACCCGCACTCTTCCTTTTATGGCGCCCCTTAGAAAATACTAAATAATATCGTATATCATTCTAACACGTTTTTATATAGGTGGTGCGGATGTAAGGTTGGTAATGTATATTCCTTTGGGAACTACTATGTAACTGTTAGTCTCCACATCCAGGAACTTCTATAATATCCAGTTATTTCCTGTCTAGTTCTGCATTTTATATTACTAAAATTCATTCTCTGTGCTAATAAAAGTCTTCTTGCGCTCTTCAATATTAACTTCAGGCAGGAACGTAGGGCTGAGTTGAAATATCCTGGTAGAAAATCTATAGGAGGTAGCAATAGAATGTTTGAAAGTCATCCACCAGTCATTTCGATACAGTTCGGACGGATAGATGAATTATACGTCTTTTCTCCATACTGGGACGATAGAAACAGCTCAGTGCTAACTCACTCCTTTGGAATCAATCTACACTTCACAGTGTGATTCCATACCAACTTAGTAATATTCCTTACTTGCATATTAAAAAGAATCACCAGTTACTAACTGTATCAACTACAGCTAACCAAGTAGCAAAATAGCCACAGCTACATTTCCTTTAATATATAACGACTGTTCCTGCACTTCTTCCTGCATGCAAAACGACAGGATGCATCAATCAATCCACTCAACTCCTGCAGTAATAACAATACCCCTTATAAGAGTTGGAGTAAATCCATCAAGCCAGCAATAGTTACGATAACCAGCCATTACCACCATCAAGATGTGCAACGAATGGGAAAAGTATCGAGCAAAATGCGGGCATGAAGTCTGGATGGCCATCTTTGACTCCTGCGCAGACTACAAAAAGTACCACACCTGCCAGAGGTTAGTCATTCACCATGGCAGCTGCTGTCCTCCAGGCAAGTTGCCCTTCGCCCCTGACTTCTGTGCCGGCTGCAAGGCATCTTCGGACTGGGTTATGATCATGACCCAACGCTACCTAGATGCTAAGAAACTAGATTTCCACCACAAGAACATCGCAGATTTCGATGCTATGCATTTCCAACTGATGGAATGGACCAGCGTTCCATACGTCACCAAAAACGCCATCCACCAGAGGGTTATGAACGACTGGGTCCTCCATCGTAGAGTCAGTGATATCGCGACGGAGATGGTTAGGGCCGGCGCCTGCACGGCACGCGAAGTCGACAGTGAATATAGACAGTTTTGGGCGAGGCCATGAGTGTCGATATCGATGCCGATATATACACTCTGTGTGTACCGAGATAATATGGACTTGCTAAGCAGGACTTGGAATAAGGGGTTGTTCTCAAAGCCCTGTCAAACTCGGTGGTTTTGGAGTTGATGTCGCATTGAATAATAGCGTCGACCGCTGCTTTTATTCGAGTGGAATTACTAACATGAGCCTGGCGTTTGAGATATACGGGTTGCGGTAGGTGCTCAACAAGATATAGTGACGGCTGTCAATATCCTTTCTAGCGTATTGGCTTATACAAAGTTTAGTAATAATACTATTTTCATAATATAGCTGAAAATCAATGGGCGATGCACGATGACAGCGACAGCGCTTTACTTGATCGGGGCGTCACCAACCCGGTCCAGAGCTTCTAATCATTCACCTCAATTTCGCAATAGAAGCTAATAGCCAATCTCGAATTTCATAACTATAATTAGTTCATAAGTCAAAGCACCCTTACAAGGGCCACCCTAGTAGGAGCCACCTTAAAAACGCAATGCGTTTGCAATAAGGTTTACATATAAATTATTATATAATTTTATTAATTTTTAATTAATTAAAAAATAAAACTTATTATTTAAATCCTTATTTTTTTACAATTCTAAAATGCCTATTTTCTTAACTTAATTGCGTTGTATTATAGCGATAAATAACGTTTTTAATAGCGTATCTTTATAACAAACGTTTAAAAAACACCTTATATTATAATATTATTTTACGGACTAAATATTGGATTGTAAAATATAAAATAACTATTTAAAAAAATATTAAAAACTATTAAAATATTAAAAAAAGAAATTAGCTAATTAAGCTGTTATATTAAGCCATATTAGCCATACGCTTTCTTTATATTAATTTAAAAATATTACAAAAAGATTATTAGCCTATAATTACCGGCCTAATACCTTTGGTAAATATTAATATATACAATTTTTATTTCGTTATCCTAATATTAAATTAACTAAGGCTTATTTAATTAATTATAAACAAATTAATAAGATTATAGCTAATAATATTAATATCTTTTTTAACTAACTTAAAATCTTTAAAATTAAAAATATCTTAACTAAGCATACGTATAATATTAACAAAATAAAAATTATAAAAAAGGTTAGGAATAATAGAATAGTTATTAGTAAAGCTTATAAAAAACGTATTATGGTTAAAAACTATAACAATAAAACCTAAATATTAATTATTAAATACGTTAGTAATAACGGCTAATTTTTAAATCCTTTTATTATATATATAAGTAAATATATACAATAATAATAATTTCCTAACGATAAAGACGTTAAATTTAAAGGCTAAAAATTTACTACATTTCTTAATAGCTAAACTAATAATGATATTGTATTTAAATAGTTTCGTAAAATCTTTTTAAAAAAAATAAAGCCATTAAATTATTAATAATAGTAATTATTAATCTTTAACAGTTACGATAACTATATTATAATAAAATTCTTTTAAAAATATTTTATAAATAAAATCTACGTTATTTTTATCCCAACATATTTATCGTACGTTTTATAAATTACTAACGTAAATATATTCTTATTAATAAAATAAAGTTATTATTATAAATTTATTAAGATATACCAATTATATTATATCTTTAATCCTAGTAAAAAGGAATTTATTATAACTTATTAAATAATATAAAAAGAATGTTTAACTAGATATAATATATTAACTAATTAGAAGGTTATAAGAATTTATTCTAAAAATTAAAATAAACTATTAAATTACCAATTTATATTTCAGAAAACTCCCAATATTACCCTAGCCTTTCTAAGCCTTATTTCTAACCTAAAAAAACCTAATTTTATTAAAAATATAACCTTAATCCTTTTAATAACGCCCTTAAATTTATAAAATATTAATATTTTAACCAAAAAACTATTTAAAATCGATATAATATTTATTAAATCTGTAATAAAGTTTTTATTTAATAAAATTAGTAAGGTTTTTAATAAGGCTACTATAAAATTAGTTATAATAAAAACCCGCGCCGAATATTTAAAAAAGGTATTAATAAATATAAAATCGTAAAAATAGCGTAAGATATTATTTAATCTAAATTTAATGTTTATAAATATTAAGGTTATTATAAAAAAAAATAATTAAAAGCCCAGAAATTAAGTGATATAGTTATAATTAACAATTTCAATACCAATTTAAAAAATAAAGTTTTATTAGTTAAGTCGATAGCAGAAGATTGTATTGTCGTTAAAATATAATAAATTATAAATTAATTAAATTTAATTTAATTAAATAACGTTAAATTAAAGTTAAGGTATTTATTTTAAAGGTCTAAAAATTTAAGGTAGCCCCCATTAGGGTGGCCCCCGTAAGGGTGCTTTGACTTATAAATTTGAATTCAAGTGTATACAACGTATTGAAAGATGGAAGCGCATGACAGCCCCTCTAAGTATAGTAGGGAAGCACTATATAATACTCTTTGTAGATAGGTAAGTACCTTGCATATGTCCGGCATGAATGGAGAAAATATAGGGTCAAAGAGCTTTATTGGTTGGTAGCTAACCCGGACATATGCGATGGTTGATATTTTCTCCAAATGGCGCAATCGGTGTCCATGAGCCCATCCCAAGTCTTGTTGACCGAACATAAAGAGGCAAGTCGCAGCCGAGTCCAACTCCGCTAACAGTTGAGAGGCAATTCCAACTATTATGGCGACTGTCACGTACGTTACCCCTGCGGCGGTGAAGCCCCCTGGGCAGCCCGATATTTCGTATGCGCCCGATTTCAAGAAATATGAAGCGCGAAGAGACAGCCGCGTTAAGTCTGGTATCTTGCCAAAGGAACTTCCCAAGGGACTGCCCCGGCAGCTAACCGGAAAGTTGGTCTGGGAGGGCGACTCTCTTGCAAAAGAATACGATTGGACATATGTCCTTGAACAAAACCATCTCGATGAAATAGATCTCGCTGTGAAGCACTTCAAGTGTAGGTGACGGCATAGGCTATTACAAGATCCATGCTGATAGTATTCAACAGCTCTCAATTTACCCCTCGGTTATGTGAGCCAGGAGACCTTCCCATTGCCAACCCTACATTCTGAGCTACGGAAGTTATCCGATGAGCTCCATAACGGACATGGCTTTTTCGTAATTCGCGGTGTTCCCGTTGACAAGTACAGTCGCGAAGAGAACATAATTATCTATGCGGGTTTATCGGCGCATATTGCTCCTAAACGAGGCCGCCAGGACAGCAAGTTCGACGGCAAGCCTGCGGTTGTTACGTTGTCTCATATCAAGGATTTGAGTGGCCCCGGGCGCAGTGAGATAATCGGTAGCCCGGCTTTTACTACTGACAAGCAGGTCTTCCACACTGACTCGGGGGATATCGTTTCCCTGTTCGCCCTCGAAACGGCTGCCGAAGGTGGCGCAAGTAAGCTCGCGAGCACATGGCGAGTGTATAATGAGATCGCTCGTACCCGCCCCGATCTTGTCCACACGTTGACCGAGAATTGGAACCCAGAAAAGTATGTTTCTTGGAATAATACTAATAGTTGTATTCAAAGGTGCCTAGGTAGTTAGCTAACGCATAGTACTTCAAGCTTTGGTAATTACGAGCAGCCGTTTACGTCAAGACCTATTATGCATTATCAGCCGGCTACTGAATCAGCGCCGGAACGCGTGATTCTCCAGTATGCTCGACGTTCGTTCGTCGGATTCGGTGCCTTGCCTCGCAGTCCGGCCATCCCGCCAATCACCGAAGCTCAAGCGGAAGCATTGGACACACTACACTTCCTTGGAGAGAAATTCTGCGTCGACACGTATTTCCAAAAGGGAGATATTCAATATGTCAACAACTTGGCTGTGTTTCACGCCCGGGACGGGTTTAGGAATGAAGGCGATAAGCAGTAAGTCGATCCTAATTCACATTGCAGATAACTTTAGCACAGTTAACTGAACATACTCAAAGGCGACATCTGTTACGGTTCTGGTTACGCGACCCGGAGAATGCATGGGAGACGCCGGATGTGTTGAAGGAGAGGTGGGCTTTGCTATATGATGACAGAGCGCCGGAGTCTGAGGTTCTACCGCTTGAGCCGTACATTCGAACTGCAGGTAACAAGAGTGGTCGAGTGGGTTGATGATCTTGGCGAGACCGAATTCCAAATCAATATCATATATAAGCCAGCAAGAGTACACATTCCCAGGCATAGCCAATGATATAGCAAAGGAGCAGATTCCTTCGGCTTTTCTTCAATCTCCGAGTATTAAATGTAAGACTACCAGGTAGGTAGTTATGCAAAATGATACTTGAGTCCTGTCGTAAACACAATCCTGTAGCACCATGGCCAACGAAACTACTATCCGAAAAGGTCATAATAGCATATCTCGTATCACTTGGCGTACATATCGTGTGGCTTGTAATGGCACACCCCATTAAAAGTCCGTTTCGGGGTCATTGAAATAGCTTGGTGATATTGGAACGCTTTGATATCAATGCGGCGGGCAAGACTCGCGGCAAAACTATACGCACCCACGTTTTCTCGAGACTATAATCATCTAGCGCCCGTCAAAAAGGATATAGTATATCATTATATGCTTGGGATTACGCAATGTTTTATTGGCCTTCCAACACATCTAATCGATCTGGGATTGTTCTGTAACATCGTGCCCCCAATCCAGCATGGTTGTCATGACCAACTAGTATTGCGTGATTCTCGGCCCCTCTCACCTAGGAAGGTCGCCGCACAGTTTGATCCAGACGGTCTCCAGGAACTCTGGGAGGACCCGTCTGAATATAGCTTTATCTACCATTCGGATCGCGTTACACGGTCCGGCTCGTCGGGCTGATACCCCCAAATATGTCTTAGACGTTCGTGTAGTGTGCTCTAAGGACCGATTGTATCATCGAGCCTGGCGATCTCGTATGGAAAAGGGTCGCCTCGGCGCATTCTCATTAAAAGCTCACGACCTGCTGTCGCGGTAAGTACATCTCGTCGTGATCCTGTTTCTCACGCTTCACAACAACAATACTCTGGATTGCCCGAACGCTCCCCTTTATTCATCGTTGGGACCAAGCGGATAGGCTTTTGAGGTAATGGGGCTCCCGAAGTTCTGGGCGCGGTCGGACACGACTGAGGTGCCGGCGGTTGATACCCATCCATCAAGTTCCGACATCTCGGTGATCCACGACGGCAATCTCGCGTATACTCTAGAGAAGGCAGAAAATGGTTCGAAGCCATCTTATCAGGAGGCTGCCGGCGCTCCTGTCGAATCCAAGTCACCGCTGGGGTACCACGTTGGTTGGATAACCGTCATCTTTCTCAATGTCAATCAAATGATTGGTACCGGTATTTTCTCGACGCGTAAGATACTACCACCACTAACCACTACCACTATCCAGATCCTTAAAATGGGAGGAAGCAGAACTGACATTCAATTCCCTCGTAGCTGGAACTATTCTTAACAGTACTGGTTCTGTCGGACTTGCTCTTATCTACTGGACAATTGGCATATTATTAGCTATCGCGGGCTTCAGTGTCTACCTTGAGCTCGCGAGTTACTTTCCAAATAGGTCGGGTTCTGAGGTTGTCTACCTGGAGCAAGAATACCCAAGGCCGAAGCATTTCTTCCCCGTCACCTTTGCAGTCTACTCCGTAATCCTAAGCTTCAGTAGCAGTAACGCTATCGGTGCGTATCCATGACATCTCAAGAATCGGCAGCTATTAACACTGATTAGTCTTGGCCCGATATCTATATCAGATTGCAGGCTCTACGCCGACAGACTGGCAACTAAAAGGTGTTGCGATTGCTGCTTACACTGTAGCAAGCTTATGTAGGTTATCTTTGTCTGAACAAGTTGTTACCTAGGTCTAACAAGTATGCACAGGCGTGATTCTACATAACAAATACTCTCTATGGCTAATGAATGTGCTCGGAGTTGTCAAAATCATTACTCTCATCTTGTACGTATCAGTTTTTACAGAAAGGATGTCCGTCGATTAACACGATCTTCTCGATAGCATTAGTATAACCGGCCTCGTGGTCTTGGGCCGAAACGTCCCTCATATTCCCGACCCCGGAGCCAACTTCCGAAATGCGTTCGAGGGCACAACAACCAACGGAAACGATCTCGCCGTCGCTTTAGTCAACATTGTCTTTTCGTACGCGGGCTTTGCGAATGCCTTCAACGTGGTCAACGAAATCAAGAATCCCATTCCGACGTTGAAAAGGAACGGTGCCATCTCGATCTTTGTTGTTGGCTTGCTGTATATGCTCTGCAACATTGCATACTTCTCTGCCGGTATGAAAAAAAACTAAGCACCCGCGTATATCAAGCAGATGCTAATTAACAATACCTATAGTGTCGAAGGACGAATTCGCCAAGTCTAAAGAAATTGCCGCAGCCGTGTTCTTCGTGTCGGTCTTTGGCAGAGGCCGCGCGAACCAGGCTCTAAGCTTTTTGGTTTTGCTAAGTGCCTTCGGTAATCTACTTGCTGTATTGGTCGGTCAGTCCCGAGTGATCCGTGAAATTGGCCGGTAAGCCTTATGCTCTCTTAAATGCCTTGCTCGCAGATACTAACGACGAGGCTCCGTTATAGGCAAGGCGTGCTCCCATTTACCAACTTCTGGGTGTCTACTAAGCCTTTCGGCACTCCCTTCGGCCCATACTTCCTAAAATGGGTTATGACATGTATCATGATTGTTGCTCCCCCTGCTGGCGACGCTTTCCAGTTTAGTAAGTCTTATCGGATGTTTTTAATTCTCGTAGCCCCTTTTCCGATTTGCACAGTGCTAACAGCAGAAAAGTTGTGAGTCTGGGAACTTACCCGGATGGAATATTCCACCTTGCTCTTGCAGTGGGTGTATACCTAGTTCGTTATAGACACAAGCGTTTAGGGAGACAAGCGCCCGAGTTCAGGACCTGGGACGTAGTTTTGATTTTCTATATCTTGCTCCAGGTCTACATCATCGCAACTCCGTGGATCCCTCCGAAAGGTGGCCCCTACGCTGGCGAGGTTTCGTTTTGGTATGCGACGTATTGTGTCGTTGGTATTGGTATTGTTATTGCCTGCGCCATATACTATGTCGTCTGGATCTATGCGCTACCAAGATGGGGAGGGTATAAGATACGAACAGAAATAATAAGCGTCGAGGACCAAGGCGCCACGACTCATCGATTAGTTAAAGTACCTCTAAACGAGGTGGAAAAATGGGACCAGGACCACGATGAAGCCGGACATTTGAGACGGAGACATGTAGTTGCTTCGTCAACGTCTTCACAAGGGGATGACGGCATTACTGAGGCGCCCAAGATTGGATAAACTGTTGATTATACTTGCGACGACTTTGTTGAACAGTTAGCCTCTATCTGGAGATTGAGATTATGGTATAATACGAACTTCACAATATAAAAAGCGCTGGTTATTCCTCATAAACACACATGCCCGGCTTAAGTAAAGTGATCCCTATCAGTAACGCATTTGTACATTGCTATAAGGTGGTAGTTGTGCATTGGTCTCTTGCCCGGGGTCCTAGCTTGAGCTTTCATATATACATGTATGTAGACTAAATTCATAAGCCTCTAAACGGGAACTCTCCAATAGGTGGAAGGATTTACTATGTATAGCATACCCCCCTTAAGTACGGGATATACATAGGTAGTGTCATATTCTTATATTATGGGGAATATTATGGGACTGTATGCGTAAAGCAGCCGCAAGACTGAGGGATCATAATCCCTGACCGTTACACTTCAAAGCTTTCCACTTTAGCACCACCGCCCAGTCTATGTGGTGTAAAATTGCTATATTAGTACTAAGACAACAGCGGTTCTTAATAACTCAGTAATGTTAAAAGGCCAGGTAAATTTTAATAAAAGGCCAACCCATCCACTTTTCACGTAAGATAAGAACCAAAACCCATAACCCACCTAATTTATATTAAAATTAATTTAAATTCTTAATAATTTTAAAATATCGTATTCATTAAGAAACAATTTATTTTAAGGTATAAATTATGTATTATATATAGAATTATTTAAGTTATATTAAATAATGGTTGTTTTAATTAATATTATAAAAATATTTAGTTTTAAGTAAATTTTATTTTTAAAAAATTGTAAAAATTATATATAAAAAATTTTAATTTATTTATTAAAAATAAAATTTATTTTTATTATTATTATAATTTTATGTTAAGGTAAAAAATAAAAAGTTATTATTTAAAATAATTATATATTATTAAAATAAATTTTTTAAATTTATTGTATTTATTTATATTGACGAAAACGTAAAATTATTTTATTTTTTAAAAATTATTATATATTTTTAAAAAGTAATAAAATAAAGGAATATATATATTTTAAACGTATATTAAATAATATATTTATTGTTAAAAAAGGTTTTAAAAAGTTATATTTAAATAAGGTTTAAAATTATTTTTTAATAAGTAATATTAAATTAATATTAAATTGATGAAATTATAAATATAAGTTATTTAAAAATTAAAAATTTATAATTAAGAAATATTTATTAAAATAATTATTATTAAAAAATTAATTATGATGGTTATGTAATACTGATATAAAGGCACTTTATTAATGATAAGATGCCTTTATTACCGATAAAGAAAAAAAAAATAAAATACCCAACTTTATTAAATAAAAGGATTAAGTATTTATTATTATTAAAATATAAAAATACGCTATACTTAATTAATCTTAAATAGATTCTTCCCTCCTTAAATATCTCAATATATTAATTTTAATATTATTAATTTATTTATTATTATTTTATTATTATTATTATTATTTTTATTTACGTATGTATTTATTAATATTGATTAATATTGTTAAATAATAATAATATAAATTAATAAGGTTAAAAAAGTTATTATTATTTTAATTTAAAAATCTTTATTATAATAATATAAACAATATTAATATTTTTTTTTATATTACTTCTATAATTTATAATAGATTATAATTTTATTTTCTTATATAATCCGTTTATATCTTTGGTAAATTATTATAATTTAAATCCTTTATCCATAAAGTTATCATTATTTATGTCATTAATTCTTCTTATTATATCCTAAAAAATACAAATAAAAAGTTTAATATAAACGTAAATTTATGCCATATACAATTTTATTAAATAGGAAAATATAAATAAATTATATAAATTCTTAAGTTATTTCCTTAATTAAATATTTATATTTAATATAATATTTAATTATATAATAATATAATAAGAAAAAATCAATCCCTAAATAACTACACTTAAATAAAAAATAATATAAATATTTTTTATATTAATAAACTTTAAAATTATTAATAATAAAGTATTATATATATATTTAATTAAAAAAATAATA